AATAAAAATACAGAACACTGTTTTGGTCTGAATTCCTCGTCATCCAACATCCGTGTGTTTTAAGCGGGAAATTGGAAATTAATATTTTCGTTTGAGGTTACTGTGACGGGTTTAAGTGAAGGTGTGTGATTTGTTTTTAGTGTGGATAATTTAAGTGGTTATACACGATGTCTTTCCGTCGAAGACAAAAACAGATATGTACAAAAGTTAAACAATTTAAACGGCGTAGATCCTTATACAATGAGTGCAAGTGATTTTAGTTTGTGTTTAGACGATGTCCCTACCATAACAATGAATACCATTCTAAACTTTTTTATTTTTAGAGTAAGTAAAATAACCCACAATAAAACTCGTGCCTTCAAAAGTCCAGAGGCATTTATTCAGTTTTCTCTTTTTTAAACAACTGTGTCTTTCAACATTACAAGTATTATGAGTTGATTTATTTTGATATCCTAAATTTTGTGATAGAACATAATCAGGATGGTTCACATCCGACAAATCTGCAGGTTTACCTAAAAGAGCACCAATGTAGTAATTTGTTAGAAACTGTAAATCTAATAGGTAGGTACTGTACCTAAAATAAAATGATCCGAACAAACATAGGAATACTTTACTTTGGCTTCGTTAAATCCACTCATTTCAAAGCTTTTAACGAAAGCTTCCGCCTTTTTTCCCATCCTGTATATATTTACCATTATTGTTGCTAATTGCTGCGAAAAGAAAATAAAATTTGTCCGCATTTCTGGTGCTTCAATTCGCGCAACCCACAACAGCACGAAATTTAGGCATTTTCTCCTAAAATACAAAATATTATAATATTAAGATGCTAGTGTATTTAAAAAACATTGATGTACATTAACAAAGAATTAATTTGCAAAACAAATAATATACCTAAGATGCAACGAAATTAACCTGTACATCACATTGGAAAACATTATTTTTTAAGCATATTCAAACGTTATGGTGCGTTTTACAGATATCTACACAGTCTAGAAACTGTAACAAACTTACCAAACTATAAAAACACAGTTGACAAACTCTCAAATTTAAATGAATTCCGAAAATATTAGCATTGACTCTTATGAGAAAACCGGCTAGTTGTCAAACGCTGCCATCTTGATGACCTCGGATGACGTCAGTGTATTTGGCTAATTAGTTCAATGGCCAAGGCCGCGCTTGAGGTCACGCCATATGAATATATAAGCGAGATATTATACATCTTAAATAAATTAGTGTAAAAATAATCAATTTATTAATACATACTTTTAATCAACTAATTAGTTACATATGTGTACAAAAGTTTTCGAAGGTAATTTAAGTCGATATTTGGGGAAACTCTTGTAGAAATATTATTTGTTACAAATTTCGACACAGAACAAGATTCGAAAAATACTAAGAACTTGTTATACAAATTAAAAAAAAAACACTACGTATATCTTGTCATTTAGCACTGTTACACGATAAGAGTAAACGTTCTACTTCAGAATTGCCTACCATTCGTGTGCAATCCACAGGCGTAAGACCGTCATTGTCGACAACGTTAACCCCAACATTTTTTTCCAATAACAATTTGACAATAGGGTAACCATTTTCTTTATTTTGACAAGCATAATGCAAAGGCGTCCGTCCATGGGCATCTGCAACGTCGTCCTTTACACCTTTATCAGTTAATATTTTCACGTATTGGCGACAGCCCTTTGCGCACGCGCAATGAATTGGCATCACGCCATCTATATCTGGAACATCGAGTTTCGCCCCCTTAAAAATTAGGAATTTTAATAGAAGATCGTACCGGAGTTCGCAAGCATAATGTAGAGGTGTTCGTCCTGTAGAATCTGTAACGTTTAAGTTTGCACCGTGATCAAGCAAATATTTCGCTATTTTAAAATTTGTTTGGCTATCATTCTGACCTACGTAATGCAAAGGAAATCGTCCAGTTATATCAGGCGTATCCACTTTTGCTCCTTGGTCTAGCAACAGTTTGACGGTTACATGACTTCCAGTTTCACACGCATAGTGTATGGGCATTTTTTGGTTTTTGTCTGCGACGTGAATGTTTTGCCCTCTATTGATTAACAAGTTCGTAATTTGAAATCCAGAATGTATTTTTTTGCTTTGTGGGGAAAATTTGTTTCCACTCGCATAGTGAATGGGTAGACGACCATCTGCATCTGTAGCTTGAAAGTTGATGTCCTCGTCCAGGAAAATTTTTACCGTTTCAAGACTTCCACTTTCACATGCGTAATGTATGGGCATTTTGTTGTTAATATCTGGAATATCAAGTTTTGCGTCTTTATCAAGCAAAAGTCTTACTAGAACAGTACCGAATTTAAAATTTCCGCACGCAAAATGAATAGGCATTCGACCATCTACATCTGTTGCGTCAAGGGTTTCCGAATTTTGGTTCATCAGTGCTTCGACTATTTTAAGATTTCCGTTCATACAAGCGTAGTGGATGGGAAGTCGTCCTTTTGTATCCGCAACGTCTACTCTAGTGCCTTTCTCTATCAACAGTTTCACTATTCCATAACCGCAACCATTGTTTTCAGACGCGTAATGTATAGGAAGACGGCCTTCTACATCTATAACGTCAAGTTTTACATTTTTATCGAGCAATAATTTTACTATATCGAAACCATCTTCTTGGTTCCTACATGCAATATGCATTAGCGTTAATCCGTTTACGTCGGAACTATAGAGACCGACATCTTGATCTGTTAGCAGTTTGACAATTTCAAATCCTTGTTTCTCATTTTCACATGCGTAGTGTATTGGTAGACGATTGTCTTCGTCTACTGAGTGTAAACTATGACTTTCGTTTATCAAAATATTTACTATTTCGACACCATAGTTTCTATTTTTGCAAGCATGGTGCATCAAAGTCTGACCACTATTATCTACAGGATTTTCTTTTCCACATCCACGTGTTAAAAATTTCACAGTTCTGTCACATCCACTCTCACAAGCGTAATGTATAGGCAACAGACCACCTGCATTCGGAACATCAAATTTTGCTCCTACGTCAATTAAATATTTTACTATTTGGAAACCACACCATGCATTTCCGCAAGCATAATGTATAGGCATATTGTCCTTCGAGTCTGTTGCGTCCACTTTTGCTCCGTTGATAACAAGAAACTCAATAATGTTTGAATCTTCAGTCACATGAATACAGGCATAATGTATCGGCATGTACCCGACAGCAGTGACGGCATTTAAATCTGCACCGTTGTCTACAAAAAATTTTACTATTTCCATACTGATAACTTCGTACTTACAAGCATAATGTATCGGCATTTCACTGTCTAGATTTGCAGCATTTACATTCGCACCATTGTTAAGTAATAATTTCATCATTTTATAATCGACGTCTATGTTGAGGCATGCTTTGTGTAAGGGCGAATCACCAATTAGATCAACTACGTTCACTTCTGTGCCATTCCGAATTAACAGTTTAACCAAATCTAATGAAATTTCGTCATTTCTAGTGGCTTCATGTATCGGAAACTGACCATAACCGTCTGGAACGTTCAACTTTGCTCCTCTATCGACTAATAAGTGTACTATATCCGGAAATTCGTGTCTACATGCATAGTTAATTGGCAAACGACCATTCACATTTTCAGAATTTACACTGACCCCCATGTCACACAACAAATCTACGATTTCCACAGAGTAGTCCATATTTTTACAGGCAAAATGTATCGACATCCGTCCCCTAGCATCTGGAATATTTACGGTTTCTGAATTTTGAATCAAAAATTTCACAGTGTCTACATCTCTTAGTTTGCAGGCATAATGTATAGGTAAGAACCCATTGACATCCGGAACGTCGAATTTAAAGCCCTTGCTTTTTAGAAAATACAAAACGTCAAGACTCCCATTGGCAACCTGGCAAGCAGAAATCACTATGTTTGGATTGTGTGTATCTCTAATTGTTTCATCTAGTAACAAGTCTAAGGTTTCACAGCCAGGTAGTGGATGGTAAATCGGTAAAAAATTTTCAACCTGTGGGACCTTATGGGTTGCTCCATTATCAATTAATAATTTTACTGCGTTAAAATCTTGGGATTTCAATTCTCTAAAAGTTGAATAAAGCAAAGTTCTAAGAGCATAATGTAGCGGCACTAAACCGTTAGCATCTGTAGAATTTACACTCATTCCTAAATCAATTAGAAACTTTCCTATTTCCAACGAGTTTTTGCTATTGTGCTCAAAAGCGTAATGCATAGATGTTTGACCATTTGTGTCTTCAGTGGCGACACTGATGTCTTTGCTGCGTAAGTACTTTAGATTTTCAAGACTGCCTTTTCGGCAAACAAGACAAACAAATTTATTTAAGTTGATTTCTTGCTTCATCATCAGTGAAAAAAATTCATCAGATTCAAATGAGCATACTGAAAGTGGAATTTCTAGGTCTTGTCTCACTACATAGCTGTATTGTTTTTTCAACAGGAATTCTTCTAAGCATTTAAGAGACTTAAGTCGCACTGCCATACTTAACAAGCTGTGTGGATCGAAGTTTTCATAAATATCTCTCAGATATTGTACATTTTCGATGTATCTGAAAACAACTACATAATCAAATTCAATTGCATAGTACAACATTGTGGCAAATGATTCAATATTGAAAGAAAAGTCCGGTTTATGCAATAGTGGTATTAAAAATGGTAAAAGCAGTAAAATTTTTTTAATATTACATGGTAGTGCGTCACAAGCTGGAAATATTTTCAAGATTTTTGAAAAACGTAATTTCTTGTTCCTTTTAGTAGTCGTTCTATTCTCAATTCGTAGCTTTCCGCGGACACTACTTGCAGTTTCTACGCAACTACTCTGTTCGTTCCACCTACACGTCACTTCTAATACACTACGCCCAATCTGGTCCCTGCAACGCAAATCTTCTTCTGTGCATTGGTCTAGAATTATACAATTTCTGCACAGCACTGCGACATGAGCTTTAGAATTTTTACACAACATTAAGTCCAAGAAAAACCTGATATTGTTAAATTTTTTATTGGAAATAAAATCGTCCTGTTTTGCTTTTTCTCGGTTAGTATCGAACAAGTATAAAGCTGCAAAGTACTCACCGTACGAATTATGACTAAATTCTGGCACGTTTTCTATTGTTACGTTGCTGATTAAACCCACCGGATCCCTCTCTTGTTTGATTTTTTACAAAAAGTTGTTAAATGAGGTGAGACATTCAAAAGTTCTTTTGAGAATTACTCTATACTTGCTTTCTAAATATACATAGTAAGCTAATTCCTTGTAAAAGTTTACTCTTTCTTCCATTTCGTCTTCGCAGTCTTGGTCGACGGTGTCAATCTTTCGATTACTTTGGCGTTTCTCGTTAAAATAAATTTCAAACTTCTCGTGTATAAAATTTTCATATAAATCTAATAAAGTGAACCCGGTATTTAGAAGATCTGCATACTTTTTCGAATTTTGTTTAAATAATTCTGTTAACATGTAAATTTGCAAAGGAATTCCCAGAATATCGTTATTTGAGTACATTTCTACGTTTACCTTAATTTTATGGAATATAACGCGTAGGTCATCTTCCGATAGATTTAGACGTTCTTGGACGTAGATATGCTGTTCCGCTTGATTAAATGGTTTGATATCTCTTGAAAATATATGGAAGCGGTTTTCCAAGACATTTCTCACGTTAGTTCGAGCCGTTATCCACTGTCTCACTCCTTTGTTAGATATAGCGCTTATCAAAGTCAATATAACATCTAAACTTCGATCAGAAACTTCGTCCAGTCCGTCCCAAATCAGCTGCACTTGATCCTTTTCCAACAAAGTTCTAAAAACTCCTGCATCGAAAGTATGACACAAACGACAGTTCTCGTCTAAAATATAGTTAAAAAACCCATCGACGTCACCTCCTCTTTTCCGGAAATACAAAGCATGATTCCTTGCGCTAATCAGAATCGTCCAAATAGAGGAACAGGTACTGATTTTCAAATTTTTCATCAAAGTACTTTTGCCCATTCCGGGATTAGCACAAATAATCTTCGTTTTGTTATCGTCGTTAACCAATTGTGATTCGTGTACACTGTGCGTACTAAATCCGCTCAAGCGAAATGTTTTAAGTTCTTCTAAATTGTTCGTACTTTCGATCCATTCTAGAGCCTTTTCGTCGACGTATTTAAACCGATGACATTTATTTTTTGCCGGAGTTTTAGTACACAAATTGTGGAACTCTTGTTGGGATAGTTTACCTTTATATAGATGTACGACATTGTTGCGCACTTCCACACAAACATGTTCGTCGGTGTTTTCATCTGAATGATGGTTTTGGGCTTCTTTTAAGTGTAGTTTTACAAACGCGGTAAGGTCTTCCACTTCGGTCACTACAATAACGGAATTGGTGACTGCTTCCACGAATTGTACGTCTATCAGAATTTTTGATAGTGTCCGAGTGACGTGACAAGGTGGCAAAACTTCCTTCACACTTCCAATAAGCAATGGTCGATCGATCGTCTGAACTAATTTCGAAGTGGTGATCATTGTATCAAGTTCTTCATTCCATTTTAATCGTTCGTTCAAAGAAACCTCCGTTTGTCCTTCCAACGAATAGGTAAAATTATTCAAGACGCTTTTGAATATTTCTTCGTGTTTTCTCAAATCGGATACATTTTTGAAAATATCATGACCCAGACTTGTTGTTTCGTCGACGCTCAAAATAATAAAACATCTTTCGGGGCATAACGCTATTGCTCGCTGTGTTTGGAAAGAATCTTCAACAACCAGTGGACACTTTTCCAACAACCATAAAAGCTTACTTACTTCTTGATCTTCTTTACGTAAGGAGTCCTTCGTTTTGATTTGATCTAACATCAAATGGTATTTTGTTCTAGCTATTTTGAGCTGTACAATTTCAACTGCATCGATCACATCTGCCCACAAATTTTTTATTTTGGCATAATCGTCGTTACCAAGAAGAGTAACGTGAAAGTTAGAAATGGCACCAGCAATAACTTTCTCTTTTTCACTAATAGAACCAAATGAGAACGACAACGGTTTGACGAAAGGAGACACAAGAGATAAAGCGATGACGTCTTGCATCCACGATTTATCCAGCTTCAGTTTGTTCCCTTCTTGCACGCTCCATTTCGTGATGAAACTCACAAATTTGTCGAAAGATGTTTTGTCGCCACTGAATGCATCAACAAACATTTTGAACGCATTTTTTTCCATCTGGTTAACGTCGGCTTGTCCAGAATACAGAGACAACGTTCTGAAAAAATCGCTGTGTTTGTCTTCCGTTTCGAAAACATAACAACTTCCATCTTCGCAAGACGACAACAAATCACTTTGTGGAATATTCCGCACGTTGACATTAAATTCTTCGTTTTTGAAGTTGAGCAGAAAATTATCAGTGATTTTGGCGTTCAAGTTTGTATAGAGAATAAAGTTGGTAGAAGTGTTATGAAGCGGTTTCAGATTTTTTTCGTAATCTCCGAAGTATTCAGGTATACTGAAATTTCCTTTTTGTGTGGACAAATCTTTACAACGTACTACTTTGCTTTTGCTCTGTTTCAGCTGTACAGCGTATATTTGTCTGTCTTCTTTGGCTTTGTACTTAATTTCAACTACGACGTCATCAAAAGAACCGTATTTTTCGTCGTTCGACGATACGTAAAAGTTTTCTATGGCGTCGTCTGGTACTAATTTTAAAATTATGTTTGCTATGTAGAGATGTTCATAGTCTTTGCCCCTGTCTGTAGTCCCGGATCGTTTTTTGAATACCTGCAAGTTATTTTGTTTTAAATTCTGAGTATATTGGTAATAATCTTATCTGATGAATAGCAACAGGTTAAAAATTTATTACCGGAACGATAACGTGTTATCGTGTTTAAAAATTTGTATTAATCTGCTCCTGCAATTTTACTAAAGGTGATTCACTCTTAAACTGTCTTATCAGTCTATTTATATCAATAGAACTCAAATTTTTAAAAATTTCGAGTTTATCAATGTTATTTAGTACGGTTTATATCACTATTATTGGATAAATTATGTATTTAGGTACTTACTTCTGCCATTATTACCACGTTTGTTTATATTTTTATAACTTCACTTAACATCTCAATAACAATCACAAACTTTAGCTATATTCTCTACAACGATAAGTAATAATATGGCCGATAATGCATTTTCCTGTATAAAGATAGCATATCTCAGATGTTTAATCTCTTTAATTTTTTATAAATGTTTTAAAAACTCTCGACACAAAAAACCTCAAACGTACTCATTTTTATTAAAGCAACTCCCTCAACTCCTTCCTTAAAATCTTCCCCACCCCATTCCTCGGTATCTCCCCCACGAACCTCACCCCTCCATGCAGCCTCTTCTCCACACTCAAATACTTGGCCACAAAATCTACAACCTCTGATTCCTCCACCTCCACCCCCTCCTCCCTAACCACAAACGCCACCGCCAACTCCCCGCACCTCTCGTCTGGCTTTCCCACAATCGCCGCATCCCCCACCCCCGGATGAAGCAGTAAAATTTCCTCGATTTCCAATGGTGGCACTTGGAATGCTTTATATTTAATTAAATCCTTCAGTCGATCCACTATGTAAAAGTGGTGCTCCTCGTCGTAGTACCCCACGTCTCCCGTTCGGACGAACCCGTCGGCGTCGAACGACGTTCGTGTGTTCTCGGGATCGTTGAGGTAGCCCTTCATTGTGGCGGTCTTGACGCAGATCTCTCCTGATTGGTTACACCCGAGAGATTCGCCAGTGGCCGGATCGACGATCTTTACCGAAACGCCGGGGGTAACCTTGCCGGTGCTTCCCGGCTTGAAGGAGGCGGTGGGGGTCATGAAGACGGCGACGCCGATTTCGGTGGCGCCGTAGATTTGGCGGACGGATTTTATGTTAAATCTAAAAATGAAACAAACTGATTAACTTTTTTGTTACCAAGAGGGTTTTACCTTTTGAGGACTTTTTGGTGGGTGGTGGTTTTGAGAACCGCCGCCGCTGAGTAGATTTGTTCCACTGAGGATAAGTCATACGTGTCGAGTAAGGGACTGTTAGCTAGGAAGTCTGCTAATGTCGGAACGATGAATAATGTAGAGACTTTGTGTTCTTGGATGTTGTGTAAGTACGACTTGGGCTCGAATTGGTCCATTACCAGAAGCTTGAGACCTCGGTACAGCCCGCAGTAGCACACCCCACAACCGTGGACGTGGTAGAAAGGGATGACGTGCAGAACTACGCTGTTATCTTCGAAAGGGTATAACTCCCTATCTCTGAAAACATGCTGCATTAGATCTAGTAGTTGACGAAATTTTACTTACATAACGTGGCTCATATTCAAGCGCAAATTCGCGTGTGTGACCATGACCCCCTTGGGTAACCCAGTAGTACCAGAAGAATTTGCTATATATGCAACTTGATTGTCAAGATCATCCACTTCTTCCATTTCAAAACATTTTCCGTCGCACCCCTCTTGGATCAAATCTTTATAGAGAATAACGTCCTTGCTGGTATCATCTTCGTCATCAAAAAGTACGACCGCTTCGATAAAAGTACACTCGTCTCTAACTACCTGAAGTTTAAGTAGAACCTGTTTCGAGCAAAATACCACTTTCGGTTCAGACATCATCAGGTATTTTTTCAGTTCATCTGTAACTCAACCACGTTATGTATTCTAGAACTATTCAGTGACTTACAAGTGGTAAATCCTGGGTTTAGTAGGTGGAATGGAGCGGCTAGGTATAGCCCAGCCAATGCAGCCACCCAGATTTTGTGTGAGTTTTCGCTAATGATGGCGAGGTGGTCATTTTTTACTATTCCTACTGAGTTTCGGAGATTTCTGGCTAGGTTTAGGCTGTTGATAGCTAGGTTGCCGTAGGTGCACGTTACGCCGGATTTGACTTCAAACTGTAATTGCAAAGTGGAATTAAGTGAGTAGAATGTTTGATGACTTACGAAAGCCACTGCTGTGTTTTCGAAGGTGCTAATTCTGTCAAACAGTAGTTTTCCTGTTGATTCTAGAGGAATTTTGGAGGTTTTTGCAGCAACTGAAATAATTTTCGTGTCCATGTTTACCACTTGTTGAAGTTTGACTGAATTTAAAAGCACGTACAAGATTGCGTCTAGTCACAGGTTATTGCTTTAATTGGCATGACTTAGATATTGTGCATTTTTGGTTTAAAAAAGTTGTACAAGTCACATACATGGCAAGAAGAGATTAGCAAATTGCAATATAAAAAAGGGCAAAACGTATGTCTTTTAACCGAATGTCGATGCTAGGTTACGATGACAACGTGTCGAAAAAACCTTGTCAAAATCACCAATTCTACACTTACAAATGACCTTTTCTTTCCGACACACTTTATCTATAGTTGGTTGCCAAAAACAAAACCCGAAAATAATCATAGTCCCTCCGAAGACATCCCAATTTCCACCAGAATCAGCAGGAAAATTATTTCTTGACAGACTTAAAACACACAAACCAGATGCTGTTGCTTTTGTAAGTCCCCATCAAACGTTTTTCCTGTCTGATACAACGAATTTGTAGCTCGAAATCACAACTGACATCTCTTGCACTTATGGCGACTTGGTAACAAAAAGCGTCAACTTTGCCATAAACCTTCGAAGAACCCTAGGGATCGTACCACATGATACAGTTGCTATCCTTGGTAATTATTCGCACAAATTCTGGGTGGCAGCACTGGCTTGTTTATACCTCGCAGCACCTTTCCATTTATTGAACCCAGAATATACCATTTGTTGGTAGCGTTTTCGAAAGTTTCCATCATTCTAAGCGTTCGAGTTCCAGATGAATTAAAACGGTACTTGATGATGTCTGAACCCAAAGTGGTAATTTGTTCGAAACAGGCCGTACCCAACTTTCAGTCTTTAAGAGACGAATGTACGTTTATCCAGTCGATCGTAGTATGTGATGATGATGATGATGATGATAATGGTAATAGTGCTGTCATTCTGTTCAAAGACTTGGTTAGAGACAACCAAGATGTTTCTTTTGAACCGGAAAAAGTAACTGATATTGACGATCGGGTGGCCTTTATCGTAAACTCTTCAGGTACTACTGGATTGCCAAAAGCGGTGATGGTCACTCATGCGAATCTTCGATTAAATATAAGCCATGCTGAGTGAGTTTCCTAAAGGGATTGGATCAGATATCGACATTTCTTTGGTTCTTGTTGTTACAGAGATCCTGATTTGTATCCTTATCACAGCAAAAGTGTGCTTCTTCACGTAATGTTTTTCCACCACATTCATGGATTTAATACTTGTGCGTGTGCATTGCACCAAGGAATTAAAATGGTGATTACGGATACTAATTGTAGTCCTGAAACGTATTTGGGATGTATTGAAAAATATAAAGTTAATAAACTATTTGTTGTTCCCATAATGGTCGATCAGTTGGCAACTAACCCTCTAGTGGATCAACACGATGTGTCTTCAGTCGAAGAGATTTACTCGGCGGGTAGCACATTGCCACATCCTATCCACGACAAAGTTTTGAAAAAGTAAATGAAAATACACAGTTACGAAATTGATTGAAATCTTTCGTTCCATTCCAGGTTCAAAATTAAATCTGTACGTCAAATCTATGGAGCCACCGAAATTGGGGCCGCCGTTTGCATTTCCCCACTTGGTTCCTTCATACCAGGAAGCTGTGGCAAAGTAACTCCAGGAAATTCCCTCAAAATCGTCGACATCAACACTGGCGAGCTGCTGGGTTACAACCAACGTGGAGAAATCTGCGTTAAGGCGGCTACCATGAAAGGTTACCTCAAAGATCCCGAAAGCATGCGAGCAGCTTACGACGCAGACGGGTTTTACCGAACGGGAGACGTAGGCTACTACGACGAAGATCTCAACGTGTATATCATCGACCGTTTGTCAGATATTATCAAGTACGAGTCGCACCAAGTACCACCGGCAGAATTAGAAGATATTTTGCTCAAACATCCCGCGATTAAAGACGTCGCAGTTATTGGCAAACCTGATAGGAAAGGAGAGTTGGCGGTGGCTTTTGTAGTTAAGAAGGAGGGGATGGATGTGGGAGAGGAGGAGATTGTTGAGTTTGTGAAGAAGTTTGTGACTGAGGAGAAGTGGTTGCACGGTGGGGTGAGATTTGTGGACAATATACCGAGGAACCGAAGTGGAAAAATTGGGCGCAAGGATTTGAGGCAACTACTTGAGAAGGAATTAAAATAAATGTTTATTTTAAACTATAGGGTAATTTATTTGGAATTTAAGAAAATATTTTTGCATAACAGGAATTCCACATACATGACGATTTTGCACATTCTTTGATAACTCTAGGTACTAATCCGTTTTTGTGAACGTCGCAGTACCGGCTTTGCTTTTGTAAGGAGCTATGATGTTTTCCAAAGAAATATTTCTGGTTTTTATTGTTGCGGCAGTTTCTGCAAACGCGTTGCTTGTTAGAACAGGAGTCGCTGGAAGTAAGTTACTATTTCATTTTGGTACTTCGATATCACTAAATTATCACGTTTCATGTACTTTTTTGATTAACAGAAGCAACAAATGTAACTTCTGCAGCCACCAAGAACGCAAACCAGACGACATATTTACCACCTATTAAACCATCAAATGGTTCTGTGTCAGCAGTTTCAAGTACCGCAAATACAAGTCAACCATCTGGGGTGGTGGCTTCCAGTCGTTCCGATGGTTCTGCGCCAAAAAAGAACTCAACACAAGATGTTAGTTCTGAAGAAAGTACTGAATATGCGAATCAAAATGCCACTAAATCCTCCCCCAGTTTGAATCTCTCTGGATCACCAAAAGATGTACATCAAGATCATCAGAAAGGATATTCTGATTTAGAAGCTTCCGATAATTCAACTCAAAAATCTACAACTGGAAAAATTCGGTTGTGAAATATTAAAAAAGTATAGGTTTTATTTTTGTCTGTGTATTGTTCGTTATATTTTTACTGGGATTTTATAAGGTATTGTTATTCTACACATGCTAGTAAAATATTGGGGTCGTAAGCTATGTATTTTTTAATAAATATATGAATATTAATGGTACCAGAAAGATGATCGTTCTATGTACAACTTGATTGCAATATTTCCCGTTTCTTCCATTTCAAAATACTTTTCGTCACAGTTCATCTGAAACTCAAACCCGTTATGTATTCTTGAACAAATCACTGACTTACAAGTGATGAAATCTGGAATAGGTGGAAAGGAACTGCCATCTATATCTAAGCAAGTGCTGCCACCCAAATTTCGGATTTAACTTCAAACGATAATTGCAAGGACAAAATAAGTAACTGGAATGTTTGTTGGTCCATGAAAGTTACTACGATCTTCTAGGATGTGTTTATTTTGTCAAAGGCACTTTTCCTGTTAATTGTAGGAAACTTTGGAAGTTTTTGCAGGAACCGAAATTATTTCCTCTGATCTAGATATTGTTCGACGTCTAGGTGACACTGACAGCTTGCAGAATTGTTGTGAAAGTCGCCATTTTTCCGTTTAAATGAGCACTATTTTCCGGCAAACCTTACGAAGACTAAGCTCTCAAAACCAACACTCGAAAATAATAACAGTTCCTGCAAAAACTTTCGAAATTCCGGCAGAATCAGCAGGAAAATTATTTCTTGACAAAATAAAAACACACAACCGTGATGCAGTTGCTTTGGTAAGTTTCCACTGACAGTTTCTTTTTGTACGAGACATTTGTAGCACGAAATCAAAACTGGCATCTCTTGTACTTACGGCGACTTAGTTACAAAAAGCACCAACTTTGCTATAAATCTTCAAAGGACGCTGGGAGTCGTTCAAAATGATCATGTTGCTATTTTCGCTGAAAATTCACACAAATTCTGGATAGCGACACTGGCTTGCTTGTACCTTGCAGTACCTTTCCATTTGTTGAACCCAGAATTTACCATTTGTTGGTAGCGTTGTCGAAAGTTTGCATAATTCTGACAGTTTGAGTTTCAGACGAATTAAAAAGGTATCTGATGATGTCTGACCCAAAAGTAGTGATTTGTCAGAAACAGGCCGTATCCAATGTTCAGTCGTTACGAAACGAATGCACGTTTATCAAATCTATCGTACACTACAGTGATGATGGTGTCGGTGACAAGGACGTCGTTTCGTTCAAAGACTTACTTAAAGAAAATCCGAATGTTTCTTTTGAACCCGAAAAAGTAACAGATATTAACGATCGAGTAGCGTATATGATAAATTCTTCTGGGACTAGTGGTTTGCCAAAAGGTGTCATGATCCCCCATGCGACTCTTCGTACAAATATAAGCCACTATATGTAAGTACTACATGCTGAGTAGATCAGATATGAATGTGTCTGTTTTTCTTGCAGGGACCCTAATTTGTGCCCTTACCACAGTGATAATGTACTTCTTCACGTACTGCGTTTTCAACACATCCTCGCTTTTACTATTAATTTTTCTGCAATATACGGAGGGAATAAAATAGTGATGGCGGACCCTAGTTCTGGTCCCCAAAAATTTATAGAAACTATTGAAAAGCATAAAATTTCGCAAATGTTTATTGTCCCCATAATAGTCGACTATCTGGCAACTCATCCTCTCGTGGATCAATACGATATGTCTTCAGTTAAAGAAATTAGTTCAGGAGGTTCGCTACTCCCGAGCGCCATTCACAATAAAATTTTAAAAAAGTTAATGAAACTTGGCAATAAAATGCTACATTATCTAAAAATTATTCTTCCGCTCCAGGTTCAGAATTAAGGCTGTGCGTCAAGTCTACGGAACTACCGAACTTGGAATTGCCGTTTTCATTTCCCCGCCTGGATCCGTCGTAACCGAAAGCTGTGGTAAAGCAACTCCTGGAACTTCCGTTAAGATCATCGACATCAACACTGGAGAGCTACTGGGTAGCAACCAACGTGGAGAAATCTACGTCAAGGCGACTTCCATGAAAGGATACATCAAGGATCCTGAGAACACCCGAGCAGCTTTCGATGCAGACGGCTTTTACCGAACCGGAGACGTGGGATACTATGACGAAGATCTCAACTTTTACATCGTTGATCGTCTGACAGATATTATCAAGTACGAATCTCGCCAAGTACCACCGGCAGAATTAGAAGATATTTTGCTCAAACATCCCGCGATTAAAGATGTGGCGGTTGTTGGCAAGCCTGATAGGAAAGGAGAAGTGGCGGTGGCTTTTGTGATTAAGAAGAAGGGGGTGGAGGTGGGAGAGAAGGAGATTGTTGAGTTTGTGAAGAATTTTGTGTCCGAGGAGAAGTGGTTGCACGGTGGGGTGAGATTTGTAGAGAATATACCGAGGAACCAAATTGGAAAAATTTCGCGCAAGGACTTGAGAAAACTGCTTAAGGAGGAATTGAAATAAATGTTTATTGTAACGTATGGGGTAATTTATTTCGTGTAGTACCAACAAATTTTATCTGGAATTGAAAAAAATACTTTTGCGTTGTAGGAATAATTTCACACATCAGTAATCAGTAATCACAAGTTATTGCTTTACTCCTCATAACATAATACGGAAGAGTTCGGTTTCAAATGAGGCTAGTGACTCGTTCGGTAGTTTCGAAAAACAAAAATCCACCAACATAGACGATTAATATTTGGGTACTCACTTTTCGGGACGGGGAAAATTCCGAGTTCAAAGTCACGCTTTTCACGGAAGAATAAATGACTGTTACAGAACAACGTAAAAAAAGTCATTGGAAACGTGTACTATTCTCAACTCACTTGTAGAGGCCGATGCGTCATCATAGCAAAGGATAGTTGTAACAGATATCTCTATATTGCGTAAGTGAAGTGGATTTATTGAGGAGTTTTCGTTATTAAAATAGTGCAGTTTTCAGACACTAGATGGCAAACTGGCGAATAAGAGGAGTAGTTTAGTTTTTAAAAACAATTGGACGAATATTTTTCTTGTAAGAGTGCAAAGAAATAAGTTAGTACACAACTTTTTTAAGTATTAAAGATACCTCGATAATCTTCGTTGTCAAACGTTGGCAGAACTGCTAATAAATCTAATACAGCTACTTATTAGTTCAATGGCCAAGGCCGCGCTTGAGGTCACGCCATATGAAGAAATATAGGTAAGCGAGATATTATTCATCTTAAATAAATTAGTCTAAAAATAATCATTTTATTAATACATACTTTTAATCAACTGAATAGTTACATGTGTGTACAAATGTTTTCGAAGGTAATTTATTTCGATATTTGGGGAAACTCTTGTCGAAATTTCATTTGTTACAAATTTCAACACAGAACAAGATTCGAAAAATATTAAGAACTTGTTATACAAATTAGAAAAAAAAAACACTACGTATATCTTGTCATTTAGCACTGTTACACGATAAGAGTAAACGTTCTACTTCAGAATTGCCTACCATTCGTGTGTAATCCACAGGCGTAAGACCGTCATTGTCGACAACGTTAACCCCAACATTTTTTTCCAATAAAAATTTGACAATAGGATAACCATTTTCTTTATTTTGACAAGCATAATGCAAAGGCGTCCGTCCATGGGCATCTGCAACGTCGTCCTTTACACCTTTATCAGTTAATATTTTCACGTATTGGCGACAGCCCTTTGCGCACGCGCAATGAATTGGCATCACGCCATCTATATCTGGAACATCGAGTTTCACCCGCTTAAAAATTAGGAATTTTAATAGAAGATCGTATCGGAGTTCGCAAGCATAATGTAGAGGTGTTCGTCCTGTAGAATCTGTAACGTTTAATTTTGCACCGTGATCAAGCAAATATTTTGCTATTTTAAAATTTGTTTGGCTATCATTCTGACCTACGTAATGCAGAGGAAATCGTCCAGTTATATCAGGCGTATCCACGTTTGCTCCTTGGTCTAGCAACAGTTTGACGGTTACATGACTTCCAGTTTCACAAGCATAGTGTATGGGCATTTTTTGGTTTTTGTCTGCGACGTGAATGTTTTGCCCTCTATTGATTAATAAGTTCGTAATTTGAAATCCAGAATGTATTTTTTTGCTTTGTGGGGAAAATTTGTTTCCACTCGCATAGTGAATGGGTAGACGACCATCTGCATCTGTAGCTTGAAAGTTGATGTCCTCGTCCAGGAAAATTTTTACCGTTTCAAGACTTCCACTTTCGCATGCATAATGTATGGGCATTTTGTTGTTAATATCTGGAATATCAAGTTTTGCGTCTTTATCAAGCAAAAGTCTTACTAGAACAGTACCGAATTGAAAATTTCCGCACGCAAAATGAATAGGCATTCGACCATCTACATCTGTTGCGTCAAGGGTTTCCGAATTTTGGTTCATCAGTGCTTCGACTATTTTAAGATTTCCGTTCATACAAGCGTAGTGGATGGGAAGTCGTCCTTTTGTATCCGCAACGTCTACTCTAGTGCCTTTCTCTATCAAAAGTTTCACTATTCCATAACCGCAACCATTGTTTTCAGACGCGTAATGTATAGGAAGACGGCCTTCTACATCTATAACGTCAAGTTTTACATTTTTATCGAGCAATAATTTTACTATATCGAAACCATCTTGTTGGTTCCTACATGCAATATGCATTAGCGTTAATCCGTTTACGTCGGAACTATAGAGACCGACATCTTGATCTGTTAGCAGTTTGACAATTTCAAATCCTTGTTTCTCATTTCCACATGCGTAGTGTATTGGTAGACGATTGTCTTTGTCTACTGAGTGTAAACTATGACTTTCGTTTATCAAAATATTTACTATTTCGACACCATAGTTTCTATTTTTGCAAGCATGGTGCATCAAAGTCTGACCACTATTATCTACAGGATTTTCTTTTCCACATCCACGTGTTAAAAATTTCACAGTTCTGTCACATCCACTCTCACAAGCGTAATGTATAGGCAACAGACCACCTGCATTCGGAACATCAGATTTTGCTCCTACCTCAATTAAATATTTTACTATTTGGAAACCACACCATGCATTTCCGAAAGCATAATGTATAGGCATATTGTCCTTCGAGTCTGTTGCGTCCACTTTTGCTCCGTTGATAACAAGAAACTGAATAATGTTTGAATCTTCGGTCACATGAATACAGGCATAATGTATTGGCATGTACCCGCCAGCAGTGACGGCATTTAAATCTGCACCATTGTCTACAAAAAATTTTACTCTTTCCAGACGAACTTGGTAGTTACAAGCATAATGTATCGGCATTTCATTGTCTAGATTCGCAGCATTTACATTCGCACCATTGTTAAGTAATAATTTCATCATTTTATAATCGACGTCTATGTTGAGGCATGCTTTGTGTAAGGGCGAATCACCAATTAGATCAACTACGTTCACTTCTGTGCCATTCCGAATTAACAGTTTAACCAAATCTAATGAAATTTCGTCATTTCTAGTGGCTTCATGTATCGGAAACTGACCATAACCGTCTGGAACGTTCAACTTTGCTCCTCTATCGACTAATAAGTGTACTATATCCGGAAATTCGTGTCTACATGCATAGTTAATTGGCAAACGACCATTCGCATCTTCAGAATTTACACTGACCCCCATCTCACACAACAAATCTACAATTTCCACAGAGTAGTCCATATTTTTACAGGCAAAATGTATCGAGATCCGTCCCCTAGCATCTGGAATATTTACGGTTTCGAAATTTTGAACCAAAAATTTCACAGTGTCTACATCTCTTAGTTTGCAGGCATAATGTATAGGTAAGAACCCATTGACATCTGGAACGTCGAATTTAAAACCCTTGCCTTTTAGAAAATACAAACTGTCAAGGCTCCCAGTGGCAACCTGGCAAGCAGAAATCACTATGTTCGGATTGTGTGTATCTCGAGTTGTTTCATCTAGTAACAAGTCTAGGGTTTCACAGCCAGGTAGTGGATGGTAAATCGGTAAAAAATTTTCAACTTGTGGTACCTTATGGGTTGCTCCATTATCAGTTAATAATTTTACTCCGCTAAAATCTTGAGATTTCAATTCTCTAAAAGTTGAATAAAGCAAAGTTCTAAGAGCATAATGTAGCGGCACTAAACCGTTAGCATCTGTAGAATTTACACTCATTCCTAAATCAATTAGAAACTTTCCTATTTCAAACGAGTGTTTGCTATTGTGCTCAAAAGCGTAATGCATTGATGTTTGACCATTTGTGTCTTCAGTGACGACTCTGATGTCTTTGCTGCGTAAGTACTTTAGATTTTCAAGACTGCCTTTTCGGCAAACAAGACAAACAAATTTATTTAAGTTGATTTCTTGCTTCATCATTAGTGAAAAAAATTCATCAGATTCAAATGAGCATACTGAAAGTGGAATTTCTAGGTCTTGTCTCACTACATAGCTGTATTGTTTTTTCAACAGGAATTCTTCTAAGCATTTAAGAGACTTAAGTCGCACTGCCATACTTAACAAGCTGTGTGGGTCGAAGTTTTCATAAATATCTCTCAGATATTGTACATTTTCGATGTATCTGAAAACAACTACATAATCAAGTTCAATTGCATAGTACAACATCGTGGCAAATGATTCAATATTGAAAGAAAAGTCCGGTTTATGCAATAGTGGTATTAAAAATGGTAAAAGTAGTAATATTTTTTTAATATTACATGGTAGTGCGTTACAAGCAGAAAATATTTTCAAGATTTTTGAAAAACGTAATTTCTTGTTCCTTTTAGTAGTCGTTCTATTCTCAATTCGTAGCTTTCCGCGGAAACTACTTGCAGTTTCTACGCAACAACTCTGTTCGTTCCACCTACACGTCACTTCTAATACACTACGCCCAATCTGATCCCTGCAACGCAAATCTTCTTCTGTGCATTGGTCTAGAATTATACAATTTCTACACAGCACTGCGACATGAGCTTTAGAATTTTTACACAACATTAAGTCCAAGAAAAACCTGATATTGTTAAATTTTTTATTGGAAATAAAATCGTCCTGTTTTGCTTTTTCTCGGTTAGTATCGAACAAGTATAAAGCTGCAAAGTACTCACCGTACGAATTATGACTAAATTCTGGCACGTTTTCTATGGTTACGTTGCTGATTAAACCCACCGGATCCCTCTCTTGTTTGATTTTTTCCAAAAAGTTGTTAAACGAGGTGAGGCATTCAAAAGTTCTTTTGACAATTACTCTATACTTGCTTTCTAAATATACATAGTAAGCTAATTCCTTGTAAAAGTTTACTCTTTCTTCCATTTCGTCTTCGCAGTCTTTGTCAACGGCGTCAATCTTTCGATTACTTTGACCTTTCTCGTTAAAGTAAATTTCAAACTTCTCGTGTATAAAATTTTCGTACAAATCTAATAAAGTGAACGCGGTATTTAGAAGGTCTGCATACTTAGTCGAATTTTGTTTGAATAATTCTGTTAACATGTAAATTTGCAAAGGAATTCCCAGAATATCGTTATTTGAGTACATTTCTACGTTTACCTTAATTTTATGGAAGATTACGCGTAGGTCATCTTTCGATAGATCTAGACGTTCTTGGACGTAGATTTGCTGTTCCGCTTGATTAAATGGTTTGATATCTCTTGAAAATATATGGAAGCGGTCTTCCAAGACATTCCTCACGTTAGTTCGAGCCGTTATCCATTGTCTTACTCCTTTGTTAGATATAGCGTCTATCAAAGTCAATATAACTTCTAAACTTCGATCAGAAACTTCGTCCAGTCCGTCCCAAATCAGCTGCACTTGATCCTTTTCCAACAAAGTTCTAAAAACCTCTGCATCGAAAGTATGACACAAACGACAGTTCTCGTCTAAAATATAGTTAAAAAACCCATCGACGTCACCTCCTCTTTTCCGGAAATACAAAGCATGATTCCTTGCGCTAATCAGAATCGTCCAAACAGAGGAACAGGTACTGATTTTCAAATTTTTCATCAAAGTACTTTTGCCCATTCCGGGATTAGCACAAATGATGTTTGTTTTGTTATCGTCGTTAACCAATTGTGATTCGTGTACACTGTGCGTACTAAATCCGCTCAAGAGAAATGTTTTAAGTTCTTCTAAATTGTTCGTACTTTCGATCCATTCTAGAGCCTTTTCGTCGACGTATTTAAACCGATGACATTTATTTTTTGCAGGAGTTTTAGTACACAAATTGCGGAACTCTTGTTGGGATAGTTTACCTTTATATAGATGTACGATATTGTTGCGCACTTCCACACAAACAAGTTCGTCAGTGTTTTCATCTGAATGATGGTTTTGGGCTTCTTTTAAGTGTAGTTTTACAAACGCGGTAAGGTCTTCTACTTCGGTCACTACAATAACGGAATTGGTGACTGCTTCCAAGAATTGTACGTCTATCAAAATTTTTGATAGTGTCCGAGTGACGTGACAAGGTGGCAAAACTTCCTTCACACTTCCAATAAGCAATGGTCGATCGATCGTCTGAACTAATTTCGAAGTGGTGATCATTGTATCAAGTTCTTCATTCCATTTTAATAGTTCGTTCAAAGAAACCTCCGTTTGTCCTTCCAACGAATAGGTAAAATTATTCGAAACGCTTTTGAATATTTCTTCGTGTTTTCTCAAATCGGATACATTTTTGAAAATATCATGACCCAGACTTGTTGTTTCGTCGACGCTCAAAATAATAAAACATCTTTCGGGGCATAACGCTATTGCTCGCTGTGTTTGGAAAGAATCTTCAACAACCAGTGGACACTTTTCCAACAACCATAAAAGCTTACTTACTTCTTGATCTTCTTTACGCAAGGAGTCCTTCGTTTTGATTTGATCTAACATCAACTGGTATTTTGTTTTAGCTATTTTGAGCTGTACAATTTCAACTGCATCGATCACATCTGCCCACAAATTTTTTATTTTGGCATAATCGTTGTTACCAAGAAGAGTAACGTGAAAGTTAGAAATGGCACCAGCAATAACTTTCTCTTTTTCACTAATAGAACCAAATGAGAACGACAACGGCTTGACGAAAGGAGACACAAGAGATAAAGCGATGACGTCTTGCATCCACGATTTATCCAGCTTCAGTTTGTTCCCTTCTTGCACGCTCCATTTCGTGATGAAACTCACAAATTTGTCGAAAGATGTTTTGTCGGCACTGAATGTATCAACGAACATTTTGAACGCATTTTTTTCCATCTGGTTAACGTCGGCTTGTCCAGAATACAGAGACAACGTTCTGAAAAAATCGCTGTGTTTGTCTTCCGTTTCGAAAACATAACAACTTCCACCTTCGCAAGACGACAACAAATCACTTTGTGGAATATTCCGCACGTTGACATTAAATTCTTCGTTTTTGAAGTTGAGCAGAAAATTATCAGTGATTTTGGCGTTCAAGTTTGTATAGAGAATAAAGTTGGTAGAAGTGTTATGAAGCGGTTTCAGATTTTTTTCGTAATCTCCGAAGTATTCAGGTATACTGAAATTTCCTTTTTGCGTGGACAAATCTTTACAACGTACTACTTTGCTTTTGCTCTGTTTCAGCTGGACAGCGTATATTTGTCTGTCTTCTTTGGCTTTGTACTTAATTTCAACTACGACGTCATCAAAAGAACCGTATTTTTCGTCGTTCGACGATACGTAAAAGTTTTCTATGGCGTCGTCTGGTACTAATTTTAAAATTATGTTTGCTATGTAGAGATGTTCATAGTCTTTGCCCCTGTCTGTAGTCCCGGATCGTTTTTTGAATACCTGCAAGTTATTTAGTTTTAAATTCTGAGTATATTGGTAATAATCTTATCTGATGAATAGCAACAGGTTAAACATTTATTGCCGGAACGATAACGTGTTATCGTGTTTAAAAATTTGTATTAATCTGCTCCTGTAATTTTACTAAAGGTGATTCACTCTTAAACTGTCTTATCAGTCTATTTATATCAATAGAACTCAAATTTTTTAAAATTTCGAGTTTATCAATCTTATTTAGTACGGTTTATATCACTATTATTGGATAAATTATGTATTTAGGTACTTACTTCTGCCATTATTACCACGTTTGTTTATATTTTTATAACTTCACTTAACATCTCAATAACATTAAAAAACTTTAGCTATATTCTCTACAACGATAAGTAATAATATGGCCGATAATGCATTTTCCTGTATAAAGATAGCATATCTCAGATGTTTAATCTCTTTAATTTTTTATAAATGTTTTAAAAACTCTCGACACAAAAAAACCTCAAACGTATTTGTTTATTAAAGCAACTCCCTTAACTCCTTCCTCAAAATCTTCCCCACCCCATTCCTCGGTATCTCCCTCACGAACCTCACCCCTCCATGCAACCTCTTCTCCACACTCAAATACTTGGCCACAAAATCTACAACCTCTGACTCCTCCACCTCCACCCCTTCCACCCTAACCACAAACGCCACCGCCAACTCCCCGTACCTCTCGTCGGGCTTTCCCACAACCGCCGCATCCCCGACCCCCGGATGCCGCAACAAAATTTCCTCGATTTCCAATGGTGGCACTTGGAATGCTTTATATTTAATTAAATCCTTCAGGCGATCCACTATGTAAAAGTGGTGCTCCTCGTCGTAGTACCCCACGTCTCCCGTTCGGACGAACCCGTCGGCGTCGAACGCCGTTCGTGTGTTCTCGGGATCGTTGAGGTAGCCCTTCATTGTGGCGGTCTTAACGCAGATCTCCCCTGATTGGTTGCAGCCGAGAGATTCGCCAGTGGCCGGATCGACGATCTTTACCGAAAGACCGGGGGTGATCTTGCCGGTGCTTCCCGGCTTGAAGGAGGCGGTGGGGGTCATGAAGACGGCGACGCCGATTTCGGTGGCGCCGTAGATTTGGCGGACGGATTTTATGTTAAATCTAAAAATGAAACAAACTGATTAACTTTTTTGTTACCAAGAGGGTTTTACCTTTTGAGGACTTTTTGGTGGGTGGTGGTTTTAAGGACCGCCGCCGCTGAGTAGATTTGTTCCACTGAGGATAAGTCATACGTGTCGAGTAAGGGACTGTTAGCTAGGAAGTCTGCTAATGTCGGAACGATGAATAATGTAGAGACTTTGTGTTCTTGGATGTTGTGTAAGTACGACTTGGGCTCGAATTGGTCCATTACCAGAAGCTTGAGACCTCGGTACAGCCCGCAGTAGCACACCCCACAACCGTGGACGTGGTAGAAAGGGATGACGTGCAGAACTACGCTGTTATCTTCGAAAGGGTATAACTCCCTATCTCTGAAAACATGCTGCATTAGATCTAGTAGTTGACGAAATTTTACTTACATAACGTGGCTCATATTCAAGCGCAAATTCGCGTGTGTGACCATGACCCCCTTGGGTAACCCAGTAGTACCAGAAGAATTTGCTATATATGCAACTTGATTGTCAAGATCATCCACTTCTTCCATTTCAAAACATTTTCCGTCGCACCCCTCTTGGATCAAATCTTTATAGGGAATAACGTCCTTGCTGGTATCATCTTCGTCATCAAAAAGTACGACCGCTTCGATAAAAGTACACTCGTCTCTAACTACCTGAAGTTTAAGTAGAACCTGTTTCGAGCAAAATACCACTTTCGGTTCAGACATCATCAGGTATTTTTTCAGTTCATCTGTAACTCAACCACGTTATGTATTCTAGAACTATTCAGTGACTTACAAGTGGTGAATCCTGGGTTTAGTAGGTGGAAAGGAGCGGCTAGGTATAGCCCTGCTAGTGCTGCCACCCAGATTTTGTGTGAGTTTTCGCTAATGATGGCGAGGTGGTCATTTTTTACTATTCCTAGTGAGTTTCGGAGATTTGTGGCTAGGTTTAGGCTGTTGATAGCTAGGTTGCCGTAGGTGCACGTTACGCCGGATTTGACTTCAAACTGTAATTGCAAAGTGGAATTAAGTGAGTGGAATGTTTGATGACTTACGAAAGCCACTGCTGTGTTTTCGAAGGTGCTAATTCTGTCAAACAGTAGTTTTCCTGTTGATTCTAGAGGAATTTTGGAGGTTTTTGCAGCAACTGAAATAATTTTCGTGTCCATGTTTACCACTTGTTGAAGTTTGACTGAATTTAAAAGCACGTACAAGATTTCGTCTAATCACAGGTTATTGCTTTAATTGGCATGACTTAGATATTGTGCATTTTTGGTTTAAAAAAGTTGTACAAGTCACATACATGGCAAGAAGAGATTAGCAAATTGCAATATAAAAAAGGGCAAAACGTATGTCTTTTAACCGAATGTCGATGCTAGGTTACGATGACAACGTGTCGAAAAAACCTTGTCAAAATCACCAATTCTACACTTACAAATGACCTTTTCTTTCCGACACACTTTATCTATAGTTAGTTGCCAAAAACAAAACCCGAAAATAATCATAGTCCCTCCGAAGACATCCCAATTTCCACAAGAATCAGCAGGAAAATTATTTCTTGACAGACTTAAAACACACAAACGAGATGCTGTTGCTTTCGTAAGTCCCCATCAAAAGTTTTTCCTGTCTGATACAACGAATTTGTAGCTCGAAATCACAACTGACATCTCTTGCACTTATGGCGACTTGGTAACAAAAAGCGTCAACTTTGCCATAAACCTTCGAAGAACCTTAGGGATCGTACCACATGACACAGTTGCTATCCTTGGTAATTATTCGCACAAATTCTGGGTGGCAGCACTGGCTTGTTTATACCTCGCAGCACCTTTCCATTTATTGAACCCAGAATATACCATTTGTTGGTAGCGTTTTCGAAAGTTTCCATCATTCTAAGCGATCGAGTTCCAGATGAATTAAAACGGTACTTGATGATGTCTGAACCCAAAGTGGTAATTTGTTCGAAACAGGCCGTACCCAACTTTCAGTCTTTAAGAGACGAATGTACGTTTATCCAGTCGATCGTAGTATGTGATGATGATGATGATAATGGTAATAGTGAAGTCATTCTGTTCAAAGACTTGGTTAGAGACAACCAAGATGTTTCTTTTGAACCGGAAAAAGTAACTGATATTGACGATCGGGTGGCCTTTATCGTAAACTCTTCAGGTACTACTGGATTGCCAAAAGCGGTGATGGTCACTCATGCGAATCTTCGATTAAATATAAGCCATGCTGAGTGAGTTTTCTAGAGGGAGTGGATCAGATATCGACATTTCTTTGGTTCTTGTTGTTACAGAGACCCTGATTTGTATCCTTATCACAGCAAAAGTGTGCTTCTTCACGTAATGTTTTTCCACCACATTCATGGATTTAATATTTGTGCGTGTGCATTGCACCAAGGAATTAAAATGGTGATCACGGATACTAATTGTAGTCCTGAAACGTATTTGGGATGTATTGAAAAATATAAAGTTAATAAACTATTTGTTGTCCCCATAATGGTTGATCAGTTGGCAACTAACCCTCTAGTAGATCAACACGATGTGTCTTCAATCGAAGAGATTTACTCGGCGGGTAGCACATTGCCACAACCTATCCACGATAAAGTTTTGAAAAAGTAAGTGAAAATACACAGTTAGAAAATTGATAGAAACCTTTTGTTCCATTCCAGGTTCAAAATTAAATCCGTACGTCAAATCTACGGAGCCACCGAAATTGGGGCCGCCGTTTGCATATCCCCACTTGGTTCCTTCATACCAGGAAGCTGTGGCAAAGTAACTCCAGGAAATTCCCTCAAAATCGTCGACATCAACACTGGCGAGCTGCTGGGTTACAACCAACGAGGAGAAATCTGCGTTAAGGCGGCTACCATGAAAGGTTACCTCAAAGATCCCGAAAGCACGCGAGCAGCTTACGACGCAGACGGGTTTTACCGAACGGGAGACGTAGGCTACTACGACGAAGATCTCAACGTTTATATCATCGACCGTTTGTCAGATATTATCAAGTACGAGTCGCACCAAGTACCACCGGCGGAATTAGAAGATATTTTGCTGAAACATCCCGCGATTAAAGACGTCGCAGTTATTGGCAAACCTGATAGGAAAGGAGAGTTGGCGGTGGCTTTTGTAGTTAAGAAGGAGGGGGTGGAGGTGGGAGAGGAGGAGATTGTTGAGTTTGTGAAGAAGTTTGTGACTGAGGAGAAGTGGTTGCACGGTGGGGTGAGATTTGTGGACAATATACCGAGGAACCGAAGTGGAAAAATTGGGCGCAAGGATTTGAGGCAACTACTTGAGAAGGAATTAAAATAAATGTTGTTTTAAACTATAGGGTAATTTATTTGGAATTTAAGAAAATATTTTTGCATAACAGGAATTCCACATACATGACGATTTTGCAAATTTACATGTCGTTTACGTATGCACATTCCTTGATAACTCTAGGTACTAATCCGTTTTTGTGAACGTCGCAGTACCGGCTTTTCTTTTGTAAGGAGCTATCATGTTTTCCAAAGAAATATTTCTGGTTTTTATTGTTGCGGCAGTTTTTGCAAACGCGTTGCTTGTTAGAACAGGAGTCGCTGGAAGTAAGTTACTATTTCATTTTGGTACTTCGACATCACTAAATTATCACGTTTCATGTACTTTTTTGATTAACAGAAGCAACAAATGTAACTTCTGCAGCCACCAAGAACGCAAACCAGACGACATATTTACCACCTGTTAAACCATCAAATGGTTCTGTGTCAGCAGTTTCAAGTACCGCAAATACAAGTCAACCATCTGGGGTGGTGGCTTCCAGTCGTTCCGATGGTTCTGCGCCAAAAAAGAACTCAACACAAGATGTTAGTTCTGAAGAAAGTACTGAATATGCGAATCAAAATGCCACTAAATCCTCCCCCAGTTTGAATTTATCTGGATCACCAAAAGATGTACATCAAGATCATCAGAAAGGGTATTCTGATTTAGAAGCTTCCGATAATTCAACTCAGAAATCTACAACTGGAAAAATTCGGTTGTGAAGTATTAAAAAAAAAGTACAGATTTTATTTTTGTCTTTGTATTGTTCGTTATATTTTTACCGAGATTTTATAAGGTATTGTTATTCTACAAATGTTAGTAAAACATTGGGGACGTAAGCTATGTATTTTTTATTAAATATATGAATATTAATGGTACTAGAAAGATGATCGTTCTGTGTACAATTTGATTGTCAAGATTTTCCGCTTCTTCCACTTCAAAACACTTTTCGTCCCAGTTCATCTGAAACTCAAACCCGTTATGTTTTCTTGAACAAATCAATGACTTACATGTGATGAAACCTGGGTTTGGTAGGTGGAAAGGAACTGCCATCTATATCTAAGCAAGTGCTGCCACCCAAATTTCGGATTTAACTTCAAACGATAATTGCAAGGACAAAATAAGTAACTGGAATGTTTGTTGGTCCATGAAAGTTACTACGATCTTCTCGGATGTGTTTATTTTATCAAACGCGCTTTTCCTGTTAATTGTAGGGAACTTTGGAAGTTTTTGCAGGAACCGAAATTATTTTCTTTGATCTAGATATTGTTCGACGTCTAAGTGACACTGACAGCTTGCAGAATTGTTGTGAAAGTCGCCATTTTTCCGTTTAAATGAACACTATTTTCCGGCAAACCTTACGAAGACTAAGCTCTCAAAACCAACACTCGAAAATAATAACAGTTCCTGCAAAAACTTCCGAAATTCCGGCAGAATCGGCAGGAAAATTATTTCTTGACAAAATAAAAACACACAACCGTGATGCAGTTGCTTTGGTAAGTTTCCACTGACAGTTTTTTTTTGTACGAGACATTTGTAGCACGAAATCAAAACTGGCATCTCTTGCACTTACGGCGACTTAATTACAAAAAGCACCAACTTTGCTATAAATCTTCAAAGGACGCTGGGAGTCGTTCAAAATGATAATGTTGCTATTTTCGCTGAAAATTCACACAAATTCTGGATAGCGACACTGGCTTGCTTGTACCTTGCAGTACCTTTCCATTTGTTGAACCCAGAATTTACCATTTGTTGGTAGCGTTGTCGAAAGTTTGCATAATTCTGACAGTTTGAGTTTCAGACGAATTAAAAAGGTATCTGATGATGTCTGACCCAAAAGTAGTGATTTGTCAGAAACAGGCCGTATCCAATGTTCAGTCGTTACGAAACGAATGCACGTTTATCAAATCTATCGTACACTACAGTGATGATGGTGTCGGTGACAAGGACGTCGTTTCGTTCAAAGACTTACTTAAAGAAAATCCGAATGTTTCTTTTGAACCCGAAAAAGTAACAGATATTAACGATCGAGTAGCGTATATGATAAATTCTTCTGGGACTAGTGGTTTGCCAAAAGGTGTCATGATCCCCCATGCGACTCTTCGTACAAATATAAGCCACTATATGTAAGTACTACATGCTGAGTAGATCAGATATGAATGTGTCTGTTTTTCTTGCAGGGACCCTAATTTGTGCCCTTACCACAGTGATAATGTACTTCTTCACGTACTGCGTTTTCAACACATCCTCGCTTTTACTATTAATTTTTCTGCAATATACGGAGGGAATAAAATAGTGATGGCGGACCCTAGTTCTAGTCCCCAAAAATTTATAGAAAGTATTGAAAAGCATAAAATTTCTCAAATGTTTATTGTCCCCATAATAGTCGACTATCTGGCAACTCATCCTCTCGTGGATCAATACGATATGTCTTCAGTTAAAGAAATTAGTTCGGGAGGTTCGTTACTCCCGAGCGCCATTCACAATAAAATTTTAAAAAAGTTAATGAAACTTGGCAATAAAATGCTACATCATCTAAAAATTATTCTTCCGCTCCAGGTTCAGAATTAAGGCTGTGCGTCAAGTCTACGGAACTACCGAACTTGGAATTGCCGTTTTCATTTCCCCGCCTGGTTCCGTCGTAACCGAAAGCTGTGGTAAAGCAACTCCTGGAACTTCCGTTAAGATCATCGACATCAACACTGGAGAGCTACTGGGTAGCAACCAACGTGGAGAAATCTACGTCAAGGCGACTTCCATGAAAGGATACATCAAGGATCCTGAGAACACCCGAGCAGCTTTCGATGCAGACGGCTTTTACCGAACGGGAGACGTGGGATACTATGACGAAGATCTCAACTTTTACATTGTTGATCGTCTGACAGATATTATCAAGTACGAATCTCGCCAAGTACCACCGGCAGAATTAGAAGATATTTTGCTCAAACATCCCGCGATTAAAGATGTGGCGGTTGTTGGCAAGCCTGATAGGAAAGGAGAAGTGGCGGTGGCTTTTGTGATTAAGAAGAAGGGGGTGGAGGTGGGTGAGAAGGAGATTGTTGAGTTTGTGAAGAATTTTGTGACCGAGGAGAAGTGGTTGCACGGTGGGGTGAGATTTGTAGAGAATATACCGAGGAACCAAATTGGAAAAATTTCGCGCAAGGACTTGAGAAAACTGCTTAAGGAGGAATTGAAATAAATGATTATTGTAAAGTATGGGGTAATTTATTTGGTGTAGTACCAAAAAATTTTATCTGGAATTGAAAAAAATTATTTTGTGTTGTAGGAATAATTTCACACATCAGTAATCAGTAATCACAAGTTATTGCTTTACTCCTCATAACATAATATGCATTTTTTGTTTAAAAGAAGGTTATAAAAGTCACAACGAGAGATTATCAAATCGAATTTAATATTTGTTAAATAGCGACATAAAAAAGGGTGGCTATGCTGCTTATAGCACCAAGGCTATAATATTCCTGTAAAAATCCAATATAAGCAAAACGTATGTACATTGAGAAGTTTTTTTACATAAATAGAAGAACAAAACATGTTTAGTTCTATGTTTTTTCGAAATAACAACATAAGCAAAACATTCTTCTACTAAAGCTTGGTACCTTGGTTATGGTACCAGTTGTAAAACTAGCAACCAAAAAAATCCAATTCAACCAAAATTGTTGTTGGAAATAAAGGGCAATTCGTGGATTAAAAGTTTCGTCTTTTTAAAATATTCACTATGGACGGTGGTAGGTTACGATGACAAGATGTCGCAAAAATTTTATCAAATTCACCGGTTCTGCACTTATAAATGACCTTTTCTTTCCGACACACTTTATCCATAGTCGGTTGCCAAAAACAAAACCCGAAAATAATCACAGTCCCTCCGAAGACATCCCAATTTCCACAAGAATCAGCAGGAAAATTATTTCTTGACAGACTTAAAACACACAAACCAGATGCTGTTGCTTTTGTAAGTCTCCATCAAAAGTTTTTCCTGTCTGATACAACGAATTTGTAGCTCGAAATCACAACTGACATCTCTTGCACTTATGGCGACTTGGTAACAAAAAGCGTCAACTTTGCCATAAACCTTCGAAGAACCCTAGGGATCGTACCACATGACACAGTTGCTATCCTTGGTAATTATTCGCACAAATTCTGGGTGGCAGCACTGGCTTGTTTGTACCTCGCAGCACCTTTCCATTTATTGAACCCAGAAAACACTATTTGTTGGTAGCGTTTTCGAAAATTTCAATCATTTTAAGCGTTCGAGTTCCAGATGAATTAAAAAGGTACTTGATGATGTCTGAACCCAAAGTGGTAATTTGTACGAAACAGACCGTACCCAACTTTCAGTCTTTAAGAGGCGAATGTACGTTTATCCAGTCGATCATAGTATGTGATGATGATGATGATGATAATGGTAATAGTGAAGTCATTCTGTTCAAAGACTTGGTTAGAGACAACTAAAATATGTCTTTTGAACCGGAAAAAGTAACTGATATTGACGATCGCGTAGCCTTTATCGTAAACTCTTCAGGTACTACTGGATTGCCAAAAGCGGTGATGGTCACTCATGCGAATCTTCGATTAAATATAAGCCATGCTGAGTGAGTTTTCTAGAGAGAGTGGATCAGACATCGACATTTCTTTGGTTCTTGTTGTTACAGAGACTCTGATTTGTATCCTTATCACAGCAAAAATGTGCTTCTTCACGTAATGTTTTTCCACCACATTCATGGATTTAATACTTGTGCGTGTGCATTGCACCAAGGAATTAAAATGGTGATTACGGATACTAATTGTAGTCCTGAAACCTATTTGGGATGTATTGAAAAATATAAAGTTAATAAACTATTTGTTGTCCCCATAATGGTTGATCAGTTGGCAACTAACCCTCTAGTGGATCAACACGATGTGTCTTCAATCGAAGAGATTTACTCGCCGGGTAGCACATTGCCACAACCTATCCACGACAAAGTTGTGAAAAAGTAAGTGAAAATACACAGTTACAAAATTGATAGAAACCTTTTGTTCCATTCCAGGTTCAAAATTAAATCCGTACGTCAAATCTACAGAGCTACCGAAATTGGGGCCGCCGTTTGCATTTCCCCACTTGGTTCCTTCATACCAGGAAGCTGTGGCAAAGTAACTCCAGGAAATTCCCTCAAAATCGTCGACATCAACACTGGCGAGCTGCTGCGTTACAACTAACGTGGAGAAATCTGCATTAAGGCGGCTACCATGAAAGGTTACCTCAAAGATCTCGAAAGCACGCGAGCAGCTTACGACGCAGACGGGTTTTACCGAACGGGAGACGTAGGCTACCACGACGAAGATCTCAACGTTTATATCATCGACCGTTTGTCAGATATTATCAAGTACGAGTCGCACCGGCGGAATTAGAAGATATTTTGCTCAAACATCCCGCGATTAAAGATGTGGCGGTTGTTGGCAAACCTGATAGGAAAGGAGAAGTGGCGGTAGCTTTTGTGATTAAGAAGAAGGGGGTGGAGGTGGGAGAGAAGGAGATTGTTGAGTTTGTGAAGAAGTTTGTGACTGAGGAGAAGTGGTTGCACGGTGGGGTGAGATTTGTGGATAGTATACCCAGGAATCGAAGTGAAAAAATTTCGCGCAAGGATTTGAGGAAACTGCTTGAGGAGGAATTGAAATAAATGTTCGTTTCGGAATTTAAAAAAATATTTTTGCATAATAGGAATTCCATACACATGACGATTTTGCAAATTTACATGTCGTTTACGTATGCACATTCTTTGATAACTCTAGGTACTAATCCGTTTTTGTGAACGTCGCAGTACCGGCTTTGCTTTTGTAAGGAGCTATCATGTTTTCCAAAGAAATATTTCTGATTTTTATTGTTGCGGCAGTTTCTGCAAACGCGTTGCTTGTTAGAACAGGAGTCGGTGGAAGTAAGTTACTATTTCATTTTGGTACTTCGATATCACCAAATTATCACGTTTCATGTACTTTTTTGATTAACAGAAGCAACAAATGTAACTTCTGCAGCCACTAAGAACGCAAACCAGACGACATATTTACCACCTATTAAACCATCAAATGGTTCTGTGTCAGCAGTTTCAAGTACCGCAAATACAAGTCAACCATCTGGGGTGGTGGCTTCCAGTCGTTCCGATGGTTCTGCGCCAAAAAAGAACTCAACGCAAGATGTTAGTTCTGAAGAAAGTACTGAATATGCGAATCAAAATGCCACTAAATCCTCCCCCAGTTTGAATCTATCTGGATCACCAAAAGATGTACATCAAGATCATCAGAAAGTATATTCTGATTTAGAAGCTTCCGATAATTCAACTCAAACATCTACAACTGGAAAAATTCGGTTGTGAAATATTAAAAAAGTATAGGTTTTATTTTTGTCTATGTATTGTTCGTTATATTTTTACTGGGATTTTATAAGGTATTGTTATTCTACACATGCTAGTAAAATATTGGGGTCGTAAGCTATGTATTTTTTATTAAATATATGAATATTAATGGTACCAGAAAGATGATCGTTCTATGTACAACTTGATTGTCAATATTTCCCGTTTCTTCCATTTCAAAATACTTTTCGTCACAGTTCATCTGAAACTCAAACCCGTTATGTATTCTTGAACAAATCACTGACCTACAAGTGATGAAATCTGGGATAGGTGGAAAGGAACTGCCATCTATATCTAAGCAAGTGCTGCCACCCAAATTTCGGATTTAACTTCAAACGATAATTGCAAAGACAAAATAAGTAACTGGAATGTTTGTTGGTCCATGAAAGTTACTACGATCTTCCCGGATGTGTTTATTTTGTCAAACGCGCTTTTCCTGTTAATTGTAGGGAACTTTGGAAGTTTTTGCAAGAACCGAAATTATTTCCTCTGATCTAGATATTGTTCGACGTCTAGGTGACACTGACAGCTTGCAGAATTGTTGTCAAAGTCGCCATTTTTCCGTTTAAATGAACACTATTTTCCGGCAAACCTTACGAAGACTAAGCTCTCAAAACAAACACTCGAAAATAATAACAGTTCCTGCAAAAACTTCCGAAATTCCGGCAGAATCGGCAGGAAAATTATTTCTTGACAAACTTAAAACACACAACCGTGATGCAGTTGCTTTGGTAAGTTTCCACTGACAGTTTCTTTTTGTACGAGACATTTGTAGCACGAAATCAAAACTGGCATCTCTTGCACTTACGGCGACTTAGTTACAAAAAGCACCAACTTTGCTATAAATCTTCAAAGGACGCTGGGAGTCGTTCAAAATGATAATGTTGCTATTTTCGCTGAAAATTCACACAAATTCTGGGTAGCGACACTGGCTTGCTTGTACCTTGCAGTACCTTTCCATTTGTTGAACCCAGAATTTACCATTTGTTGGTAGCATTGTCGAAAGTTTGCGTAATTCTGACAGTTTGAGTTTCAGACGAATTAAAAAGGTATCTGATGATGTCTGACCCAAAAGTAGTGATTTGTCAGAAACAGGCCGTATCCAATGTTCAATCGTTACGAAACGAATGCACGTTTATCAAATCTATCGTACACTACAGTGATGATGGTGTCGGTGACAAGGACGTCGTTTCGTTCAAAGACTTACTTAAAGAAAATCAGAACGTTTCTTTTGAGGCCGAAAAAGTAACAGAAATTAACGATCGAGTAGCGTATATAATAAATTCTTCTGGGACTAGTGGTTTGCCAAAAGGTGTCATGATCCCCCATGCGACTCTTCGTACAAATATAAGCCACTACATGTTAGTACTACATGCTGAGTAGATCAGATATGAATGTGTCTGTCTTTCTTGCAGAGACCCTAATTTGTACCCTTACCACAGTGATAGTGTACTACTTCACGTACTGCGCTTTCAACACATCTTCGCTTTTACTATTTGTTTTGCTGCAATGTACGAAGGGAATAAAGTAGTGATGACGGACCCTAGTTCTGGTCCCCAAACATACATAGAAAATATTGAAAAGCATAAAATTTCTCAAATGTTTATTGTCCCCATAATAGTCGACTATCTGGCTACTAACCCTCTCGTGGATCAGCACGATATGTCTTCAGTTAAAGAAATTCATTCGGGAGGTTCGTTACTCCCGAGCGCCATTCACGATAAAACTTTAAAAAAGTTAGTGAAAGTTGGCAATAAAATGCTACATCATCTAAAAATTATTCTTCTAGGTTCAGAATTAAGGCTGTCCGTCAAGTCTACGGAGCTACCGAACTTGGAATTGCCGTTTTCATTTCACCGCCTGGTTCATTCGTACCAGAAAGCTGTGGTAAATTAACTCCTGGAACTTCCATTAAGATCATCGACATCAATACTGGCGAGCTGCTGGGTTGCAACCAACGTGGAGAAATCTGCGTCAAGGCGACTACCATGAAAGGATACATCAAAGATCCTGAAAACACCCGAGTGGCTTTCGATGCAGATGGCTTTTACCGAACGGGAGACGTGGGATACTATGACGAAGATCTCAACTTTTACATCGTTGATCGTCTGACAGATATTATCAAGTACGAATCTCGCCAAGTACCACCGGCAGAATTAGAAGATATTTTGCTCAAACATCCCGCGATTAAAGATGTAGCGGTTGTTGGCAAGCCTGATAGGAAAGGAGAGGTGGCGGTGGCTTTTGTGGTTAAGAAGAAGGGGGTGGAGGTGGGAGAGAGGGAGATTGTTGAGTTTGAGAAGAAGTTTGTGACTGAGGAGAAGTGGTTGCACGGTGGGGTGAGATTTGTGGACAATATACCCAGGAATCGAAGTGGAAAAATTTCGCGGAAGGATTTGAGGAAATTGCTTGAGGAGGAATTGAAATAAGTGTTCGTTTCGGAATTTAAAAAAATATTTTTGCGTAATAGGAATTCCATACACATGACGATTTCGCACTAAACATTGGAATTCAAATGGACATGTGGCCTGTGCATGCACATAGTTTGATAATTCTAGGTACTATTTCTTTTTTGTGAACATTGCAGTACCGAGTTTGCTTTAGTCAAGAACTAGCGGAAAGCAAAGTCTGTCATGTTTCCCAAAGAAATATTTCTGTTATTAATTGTTGCGGCAGTTTCTACAAACGCAGTGCTGGTTGTTAGAATAGGAGTCGCTGGAAGTAAGTTACCACTTGATTTTGGTACTTTGATATTACAAACTTATCACGTTCCATATAACTTTTTGATTAACAGAAGCAACAAATGTAACTTCTGCAGCCGCCAAGAATGCAAACCAAACAACATCTTCAACACCTAGTAAACCATCAAATGGTTCTGTGTCAAATGCCGCAAGTCAACCATCTGTGAACTCAACCCAAGATGTTCAAGATACAAATCGAGATGCTATTACCTCCTCCCCCAATTTGAATCAGTCTGAATCTAGATCTTCAAAAGATGCACGTCAAGATAATCAGGAAAGTTATTCCGATTTAGAACCGTCAGACAACCCAGCTGAAAAATCTACAAGTGGAAAAGTTCGATTGTAAAATTCATATCTGGAATTGCTAAACCCAAAATATTTGCTTTGCTTTGTAGTTGATTCTTTAAAAAATAAATGTTAATGAAGTAGAACCGGTAGTACTGTAATCTAAAGAATTATAATTTTTTCAAACCCTATGTAGATAATTTAAAATACAAATATAACACACATATGTGGAAAAACACTGAAAAATGTATTCTATTTTTATTTCAAGGCAACAGTTTCACATACTTGGAGTGCTTCAAACATGACCATTTTCCCCTAATCAGTACAAAGAAATCCATATTTGCGTATCGCTTATTCACGAACATTCCTTGATAAATGCGCCTTTATATGAAGGACACAACACCTGTGCTACATTAGTCAAGAACCTTCGAAGTAGCTGAAGCCACAATGTTCTCCAAAGACAAACTTTCTTTGCTGTTTGCGGTAGCAGTTTCTGCAAACATTTTAGTCCTCTCCAGGGGTGCAGGTAAGTGACTACATCATTTTAACAATTTCTTGTATAAAAACAATTACGACTTCTTCAGCTGTGGAGAATCCAATTCAGGCAGACCCTCTAGCACCGAACATGCCACCCAATGCTGCCATTTCATCCGTTTCCGCTGCATCTGACGCAACCCAATCATCTACAGTGGCAGTTTCTGGGTCGGCAGTCAACTCGACTCAGAGCGTTCCAGGGAGTAGTGAAAATTCAAACCCAGATCCTTCCAAAACCGTAACTCCCTTGAAATCTTCCACTGTTACCCGTCAAGCAGTATATCCTCGAGGAAGTTTTCCGGATATGATACCTTCTAGAAACTCAACTCAGAAATTTCAACCAGACAAAATAACTGTATTAGGCCAGCATTTGTAGTTTCTGCCTTAGTCGATTTAGATAATGTTACGGTTATGGGCTAGTTTTGTTTTTTGTACTGCATGTAAAAAAATATAGAATGTTCTCTATGCCTTTTGTTGTTTTTTTTTTTTTACTAGTTGAGATAATTTGAGCAACTGTCAATAGAAGGGCTACTGTGTGACGTATGCTCACGTGATCATATTGCAGTGGTGAGATGGCCAAAACACCTTGAGTCAAGTAGTCTTGGCATCGCGTAAAATCCAAGGTTGGCCCCAAATTTTTAAATCTCCCGCCTAACCCAATTGACATTTAACAGAAAAAAATGACAATCAGCTGTGTACAAAAACAAATTCGAGCCAAAAGCAATTTTTCAGCAGCACAAGATGAAATATTGCTCCGTCCCTGGTTGCAAATCGAAATTAACGAAGAAGCCAACAAAGACATTCTTCTTTAGCCTCCCCACGGACGAGACAAACGGCCAAGTGGATCCCCTCAAACACAAACGAAGACAGGAGTGGGTCAAAGCGATTCGAGGCCTTAGACTGCCTGAGAGCACCCTCCAGAACGCCGTGGTGTGTTCTAAACACTTCGTCTCGGGTACGTTTAAGCCAATTTTGAAAAAAATTGCTGACTGGCTTTGTAGGTCACCCTGCGAGTGAGCAAGACGTCTACCACAAAGACTGGGTGCCAAGCCTTCATCTGCCTCAAATAGTAACCCCACAATGCATAAATCTCCCACTTAGTTCACAAATGTTCTAGGTTTTAGATCAACGTAAAATCGTAGATGTCATCATCGAGACTCTACCAGACGTAATTGTGCAATTCGATGTACCTGATTTAATTATTTTAGATAAAGTGAAATTCAACGAGAAGCAAATCGAAATGGATTTAATTCATAAGTATATTACGAATCCTGTCTGTGATGAAAACGGTTATTACAATGACGACCACGATTATCTGGGGCTGCCTGTGCTCCCCACGAAGACTGAGTCGGTAGCTATGCGCCAAGAATTAAGCCAAGACCACAGCTACTCCATAACTGATCGTCCGGCATGCCTTTACTTTGACTCAAGACACTTCTGCAACATTTGTGCCTACAATTTCAACAATTTGTTCAGTTTTAACAACCACATGATGGTGCACACGGTTAAGAACGACGTCATGTGTTTTCTGTGCGAGCAGACGTTTCTTACCACCACTTGCTTGAATAATCATTTAAATGTGCACACTTGTCTTTGCGATAAGTGTGGTGTGGAGGTACCCACGATGCAACTAAGGGCACATTTATTGGTCAACCAGAAGCAAAAGTACCAGAATAGGGATATTTTGAAGTATAGGATTCCCCAGAAAAAGAAAGTTTATTTTTGTGTTTTATGTATGAAGAGATTTTTCACTAAACAACAGTATGGCGAACATGCATTTATGCACAACAGGGTGAAGTGGGGGCGAGGGAGGATCTAAAGCGGTTCTTTAATAGGTTGATTATTTATAGAATTTCATTTTTGTTTTGAAGTTAAGTAAAAGTTGTTTTGTAGATGTTGGTTTAATTTTGGGTACAGTCACGTGTGACCGTTCAGCCAATAAGACTCCAATTCGTGCAAAAATAACTACAAAATTATAGAACTAACCTCTAAGCGTTTTCACCTTCTCATATGATAACTAATAGCAGAATTTTAGCTGTATTTGGAGACACTTTAAAGTGATTAAATTTCATTTTTTAACCTCTAAAATGTTCAGGATGCTATGTGCATAGGCAACACGTTATACACGTGTCTATCACTATTCACTAGTTAAAGAGCAAGTCACTGGAGCAAGTTAAAAATTAATGATGTCAAAATTGCCAAAACATTATTTTCATAAAATACCCCTTTTATGAAAGCAAATTTAATATTAAAAAAATATCCATATTAGTTTATGTATGTATGAATTTATTATAAATTTTAAAAAACGCAGTATTGTTGGTTGCATAACTACACTCATTCACACATTTTAGATCTTTTTAGTTAATAAATTCAACATAACCTAAGTTTTCTTTAAATGTATAGTTATTGTGTCTTCATAAGAGCCTCTGCAATTTAGTTTTATAACATTTTCAGTATAAACTTGATCACAAAATAAACTTATTGAGACGTATAATGAAACCATGTTAGAATCCGTTCACAGATTACCTATTTTCACGTGATTTAATTCATGTATAAGTGGTTGCATACGTGTATTTATTTAATATAAACAAAAAAAATACCATCCTTAAACTTTAATTTTACTACAGGTGAACAAAAAAATAGTAGTCAAGCAAGTCAACATAGCATACCTACTTCCTCAACTTAACAAAAGTTGAAGTCTACACATATTAAAATACAAAGGCAAAATGTAAGCCCGCCCGCCCACCCCATCTCAATTGTGATGATCTTTTTTATTCATAGACACTTAAAACACGTTTAAAATGGTAAATTTTTTTAGGAAAATATGGATTTTGCAATTAGGCTCCGCCCCTAGGTCTGGCAACGAATGAAAACTTCATTCCTACATATTTAGATAAGGGCAACTATGGGTGGGGCTTGATCTTTGACTTTAATTGTTTTCTTCATATACTTACATTGTATCCTTTGAATAACACGATACTCAAAAACATATCTTACATGATAATTTCTTGTAGAGAAATAACAAGGATTTTGCAATTAAATTTCGCTCGTTTCGCACTCGACCATCAACAAAAATCATCACAACTGAGATAGGGTGGGTGGGCGGGGCTTATATTTTGTCTTTTTTCTTAAAATACTTAGTCGTCTTTTCAGAACAAGAAACTTAAAACATGCTTAAAATGGTCAATTCTTGTGGATAAATATGGATCTTGGAATTATTAAGCCCCGCCCTTCGATCTGACAACGAATGAAAAACTCATCACAATTGAAAATTGAGATCAGAGCGGGTAGGTGGGGCCTAATCTTTGGCTTTATTTATTTTTCTTTAAATGTACATAGTATTCTTTGAACAACACGATAATCAATAACATGTTTTTAATTTTTCTCGTAGAGAAATAGGGATTTTGCAGTTACGCTCCGCCTTCTTGGCTCACGACGAATAAAAAAAATCGACACAATTGAGATAGGGCGGGTGGGCGGGGCTTATATTTTTCCTTTTTCTTACTATACCTAGTAGTCTTTTCAGAACAAGAAATTTAAAGCTAATTATAGAGGTATTTCGATACTTTGCAACTTTGCTAAGGTTTTTGAATCAATTTTGCAAAATCGATATCTCCTTGTACAAATTTTCCATTTTAAACATATTTTGAGTTTCATGTTGTGAAAAGAAGTCTACACATATTAAAACAAAAAGACAAAATATAAGCCCGCCCACCCGCCCTATCTCCATTGTGATGATTTTTTTATTCACCGTTAATCAATGAAGCGAAGCTTAACTGCAAAATACTTATTTATTTGCAAGAAATTAAAACCATGTTTTCGAGTATCGTGTTGTTCAAACAATACTATGTACATTAAGAAAAAAAAGGAAAAATATTAACCCCGCCCACCCACCCCATCTCAATTGTGATGATTGTTTTATTCTTACAAACCTAAAACACATTTAGAATGATAAAAATGTCTGCATATTTTTCAAGACATTTTTTATATAAAATTTCTATGCTATTTCCACCTATGTGCTATAATTATTAGTTTAGTAAATATTTCGAAAAAAATTTTTTTGTTATACAAGAAGTTGTGAAGATTCCATCACCCAAAAAATTTCTTCCAAATTTTTGAACGAAGTGTACTCTGAATGTACCTTTTCCTGTTTTATATATTTTTTCTAGATATTCTGGTTCTGCTGCTTGGAACATGAATTAGTTTACATTTTAATGTTATTAGTTATTTATTCCAAATTTATTTGAGTATTTTTATCTCAGAAATACTTTTTGTTGAAGCTTTTTCAATTCTTAGTAAGTCAATTTTGGTTTTGTGTAGATAATAATAAGCGATAATATAGATTAAGAAAAAACATTTTACAGAGTTTATGCAAAAATATTTTAATTTCGCGCCATTACGATATTTTGAGTGATGATAGCGCCACCATTTGCTGAAAAACTACTGCTGACATGCTAAGTGAGAATATTCTGTGACATGTGAGGAGCTTGATAACGAAATACATTAATTAATAATTTATATTATGGTCTTCCTTATAAACACTTAGCTACATAGTTCTGAATTTAAACTAAGTAAGGTTGTAGCAACAATTTGTGTAGTTATTTTTAACAAATAAAGCAAATTTTCAGTGTATTATGGGTTGCACACATTTGACGTAAATTATTTTTTTGAGGTTATGTTTAAGTTGTTCGTAATGTAATTTTTTAAATAATTTGAGTAATTTTAACGATGTTTCGCTAGTTATTGATAATAAAATAAAACTAGACCGTTAGATGTGGAATAAACCCAGTGACTGCTTCCGTAGTATACCGTTTAATTGTGAAAATAGCACCATCGAAGGTTATAATTGCCAAGACTGCAATTTTCAAACAGATTTGCTTCTTGTTTTCAAACACCACACTGAAACCTATCACAGTATCAAGACAGAAACTGATCAACTTGTAGAACTCAAAATCCGTAGCTGCATTTGCGAAAAATGTAGCTTTGAAACCCATTTCTCACTGAAATGGCTCCAACATTTGGAAAATTTTCACATAAAAGGTGACAAAACCAAAAAACTAACGTTTAAATGTGGCCGACGCGGCTGTAACTTCAAACACAACCACTCAAAGTACGACGAAATCCACTGGTTTCAATGTGACCGATGCCCCTACAAAAGCAAATACAAAGACAGTTTAAAAATCCACATAAACGTGCGACATTTAGACGAAAAAGAAGTGAAATGGTACGAATGCAACAACTGCCCTCACAAAAGCAAAAGCAAGTCGAATTTAAACGTCCACATAAAAAGCCGCCATTTGGATGACCACCACATTAAATGGTTCGAGTGTGACAAGTGCCCGTTCAAAGCTAAACAAAATTCCAACTTGAAAATCCACATAAATGCGCACCATTTGGATGAAGATAGGATTAAGTGGTACGAATGTAAAGATTGTCCATACAAAACTAAATACAAATCTGCTTTAAATGTGCACGTAAAGGGGCACCATTTGGATGAAAAGGATGTGAAGTGGTACGAATGCAAACATTGTCCGTATAGAGCTAAGCTGAGGTGTAATTTGAATAGGCACGTAATTTCGCATCATTCCGATGAACAGGATATTAAGTGGTTTGAATGTAGAAAGTGTCCGCACAGGTCCAAAAGACAAGGTGATTTGAAAGTCCACGTTATTGCGCATCATTCGGATGAAAGTGATATTAAATGGTACAAATGTACAAAGTGTCCATATAAAGCTAAACAGAATTCGAATTTAACACGACACGTGAAGGTGCACCATTTTAAGAAAAGCCATATTTAATTTGTAAAAAATAAATTGTTGTTTGTTTTTGGTTTTTTCGCTTTTTTGACGGTGGATGAACGTAAATAATCAGAAACAAAGTTCAAACATTGAGGTTATGTTGACACAAAATTTGAAACCATGAAACATTGGAGCGGTTTTCCAAGAGAGCTCTAATTAATTGAGAATGAATGAGTGATATATGCAGCTACTTTATTGAGTTGTGTTCTAAATAAAGTTGTAATTTTTAAAGGGTTGTGAAATTTATGAACGCACTCCAGCATCCTAACCTCACTTTTAAGTAGCTCATATTGTTGAGATTTTTAACTCCCTGGGTTGTTATTCAGCGAACATATTTACAACATTTTTGAATAAATCTGATCGTTCTGCGCTAATTTCCGTCAAAATATCAGGTGCGAAAAATTAAATTTCTCTTTAACTTTATAATAAACCCTCCATATTTAGGTACAACAAAATATCAAAATGTCGATTTTGGAATATTCTGAGAAGTTTGACCCCACAAGTTCATACACCAACAACCTCCAGTACTGCAAAATATGCCCCTTCTTCACTTCATCGGCCTCTCTCATGCTAACCCACACCAGAAGCCACCACTCATCTTTGGTCTCTTTCAACTGTGAAACAACCAACATCGAACCCCACTTCTGCAAAGACTGTGATTTCCAAACCGACTTAACCCTCCTATTGAGAGACCACGTGAAAAAGCTCCACAGCAACCAAACAGACCCCGAGTCTTTGGTCCAATTCACCGTACGAACGTACATTTGCAAAAAATGTACCTTCAAAACCCACTTCTTCCTTAAATGTCTCCAACATAGCGCAGTTTGCCTCACCAGAAAAGAATACTCACAGTTAATAGGCTCCAAATTGACGAACGAGGTGGTGAAAACTAAATGGCACCAATGTGATCAGTGCGGCTACAGAACCATCCACAAACACTCGTTGAAGTTGCACAAAATCGCGAAACACATGAAAGACGATGAGATTCCGTGGTACCAGTGCGAGAAGTGCCCGTACAAAGCCAAACAAAGGGGGAATTTGAGGAATCACGTGTTAGCACAACACTTAGACGAAGATAATTTAACTTGGCATAAATGCCAGCAATGTGAGTTCAAAACCAAGTACAAATCAGCGCTAAAGTCGCACAGAGTCAACAAACATTTAAAAGATGAGGAAATTCCGTGGTATCGGTGCGAGTTGTGTCCGTACAAAGGCAAACAGAAGTCGCATTTGAAAAGCCACATGATTACACGACACAGATTTGAGGATGTTAAAAATAGCGAGGAAAATAAGGTGCAGGATGCGGTTTTGGAGTGTTATACGTGTGACCAGTGTGACTTTAAGTCGAGGTATAACAATGTTATAAAGTTGCATAAAATTAGAAAGCACTTGAAAGACGAAGAGGTGCATTGGTACCAGTGCCCGAAGTGTCCATATAGAGCTAAGTATAAAGGGTATTTAGCGGGACATATGGTACACCATATGGACGAAAAAGAAATCAAGTGGTGTGAATGTTCAAAGTGCCCATATAAAGGTAAAACGAAGCAAAGTTTGAAACGGCACGAAAATAGGATGCATTCGGATGGGGAGAACATTCGCTGGTATATGTGTGATCAGTGTCCATATAAAGCCAATCAGAAGGGGAATTTGGATACTCATATAATTATTAATCATTTAAGTGAAAGTGAAATTCGGTGGTACTATTGTGACCAGTGTACATACAAAGCTAAGTTTAGACATAAGTTGAATACACACATTAGTAGGTTCCACCAAGGGGGGGAACGGAGAGGTGCGAAGAGATCGAAAAATCGTTAGTTATGTGTCACTTCGATTGTTAGTACTTATTATTTAAACCTTGCTTGTTTTAAAACGGTCTTTTGTTTGGGTGCTAGGCATGAATAAGTGATTAAATATTCATTGTTTGCATAAATTATCGAATAATTTTATCCACGTTATAGTAAGACTTGTAAATTCAAAACAACGGGTTAAAGCAGTTCAAACAGGTTTTTAACTACAGTTTATATTAATATGTATGTAATACGCCAATATAGTAGTTTGAAATATATAACTGATGTTTTAATTTTCATATTGACCTCAATCTAAATTTTAGATAGAGTAGGCAACCAACATTACATTGAAACATTTTATATCTTTGTTTTTAACTATCTCCGTTGACATTTGATTTTCAACCAATCAAATTGCGGCAGTGTGCAGTGCTGCCAACCTGAAGGAAAATCCCCTGAAGTTGGGGAGAAATTTTGATAGAGATAATGAGGTCCACTAATTTTAAGCCATTTATTAATCATCTGTTCACTAAAATCCTCATATTTTAAATAGCTGCCATCATTTTCTCCACTGTGGCTTTCTGTCAGTTCTTATGTATTGTTAAAGATAGTTCTGGATGTTTAAATCAACAAGATTTATTGCTATTCTTGTCAAAAACAGCACGATACTCAAAAACATGTTTTTTTATTTCTTGTACAAAAATAAGGATTTTGCAATTAAGCTCCGCCCTCTTGGCTCACAACGAATAAAAAGATCATCACAATTGAGACAGGGCGGGTGGGCGGGGCTTCATTTTGCCTTGTTTTCTTAATATGTGTAGTCATCTTTTCACAACAAGAAACTTAAAACGTGTTTAAAATGGTAAATTTGTATAGGGAAATATCGATTTTGTAATTACACTCCGCCCCTCGGTCCGACAACGAATGAAAAATTCTTCACGATTGAGATCGAGATGGATGGGCGGGGCTTCTCTTTTGGTTTTCTTTGCATAACACGATTAGTTAAGAACATATTTCACATGGTAATTTCTCGTAGAAAAATAAGGATTTTACAATTAAGCTCCGCCTCTCGGTTTACGAGAAATAAAAAAATCATCAGAATTGAGATAGGGAGGGTGGGCGGAGCTTATATTTTGCCTTTTTTTTTTTCTTAATATACATAGCCAGCTTTTCACAACAAAAAACTTAGAACATGGTTAAAATGGTACATTTTTGCAAGGAAATATGGATTTTGCAATTATGGGGCGAAGCCTAATTGGAAAATCGATATTTCCTTATACAAATTTTCCATTTTATACATGTTTTAAGTTTCATGTGGTGAAAAGAAGTCTACATATATTAAAATGGAAAGGTAAAATGTAAGCCCGCCCACCCGCCCTGTCTCAATTGTAATGATTTTTTTATTCGCAGTGACCCAAGGGGGTGGAGCTTAACTGCAAGATTCTTATTTCTTTACAAGAAATTAAAAACATGTTTTTGAGTATCGTATTGTTCAAAGAACATACATTAAGAAAAAAAAACACAATCTAGAATATAGTTTTTTATTTATTGTGGTTATGTTTTCAATAATAACACAAAGTGTCGCCGAGAATACGATTTTATTGCAATTAAAATAATTATATGTATTGTTGGTTGCATAGTCACTTGATCTAAACTTCCATCACAATTGAGCCACACTATAGAAATCATGATCTCTATACTATGATTGAGCTTGGAATGGATTGGGTGGGGCTTAATTTTTGGTTTGTTTTTTCTATTCTTTGAACAACAGTAGAGAAATAAGAATTTTGCAATTAAGCTCCGCCCCTTGGCTCACGACGAATAAAAAAATCATCACAATTGATGGGCAGTACTACATTTTGCTTTTTTTTTCTTAATATGTGTAGACTTCTTTTTACAACATGAAACTTAAAAAAACATATCAAAAATGTCATGTTCTAAGTTTGTTGCTGTGAAAGGATGGCTACGTATAATAAGAAAAAAAGACTATATATAAGCCCCGCCCACCCACCCGATCTCAATTGTGATGATTTTTTTTATTCGTCGTGAGCCAAGAGGGCAGAGTTTAACTGCAAAATACTTAATTCTTTACAAGGAATTAAAAACATTGAGTATCGTGTTGTTCAAAGAATACTATGTATATTTAGAAACAAAACCAAAATATAGACCCCGCCCCCCCACCCCATCTCAATTGTGATGATTTTTTTTATTCTTAGAAACTTGAAACACGTTTAAAACGGTAAATTTTTGTAAGGAAATATGGATTTTGCAATTAGGCTCCGCCCCTAGGTCTGCCAACGAATGAAAACTTCATTATTATTACATCATGGAAGGTATGGGTGAAGCTTAATCTTTGGCTTTAATTTTTTCTTAATATACATAGCATTCCTTGAATAACACGATACTCAAAAACACGATTTTAATTTCTCGTAGAAAAATAAGGAGTTTGCAGTTAAGCTCTGCCTCCTTGGCTCACGACGAATAAAAAAAATCATCACAATCGAGATAGGGTGGGTGGGCGGGGCTTATATTATGCCGTTTTACTTAATATACGTAGCCATCTTTCACAACGAGAAACTTAGAACATGACTAAAATGGTACACTTTTGGAAGGAAATATCGATTTTGCAATTATGGGGCAAAATAATTGCAAAATCGATATTTCCTTATACAAATTTTCCATTTTAAACATGTTTTAAGTTTCATATTCTGAAAATAACTACATATATTAAAATAAAAAGACAAAATGTAAGCCCGCCCACCCGCCCTATCTCAATTGTAATAATTTTTTTTATTCACCGTGAACCAAAGGGGCGAAACAACTGCAAAATACTTATTTCTTTAGAAGGAATTAAGAACATGTTTTTGAGTATCATGTTGTTGAAAGAATACGATGTATATTAAGAAAAAAATATATATAGACCCCGCCCACCCACCCCATCTAATTTGTGATGACTTTTTTATTCTTACAAACTTAAAACACGTTTAAAATGGTAAATATGGATTTTGCAATTAGCCTCCGCCCCTAGATCTGCCAACTAATGAAAACTTCACTACTATTAAGATCAAGGCAAGTATGGGTGGGGCCCAATCTTTAGCTTTATTTTTTTCTTAATATACATAGTATTGTTCGAACAACACGATATTCAAAAACATGTTTTTAATTTTTCGTAGAAACATACGGATTTTGCAGTTAATAAACTCCACCTCCTTGGCTCACGACGAATAAAAAAGTCATCACAATTAAGACAGGGTGAGTGGGCGGGGCTTATATTTCGCCTTGTTTTTTTAATGTGTGTAGACTTATTTCGACAACAAGAAACTTAAAACATGCTTAAAGTGGTAATTTTTGTATCAATCAACTTAAATCCTACACTTTTCTTCGAGTACTCTTTTAAATACGGCAAAAGGTTTTAAGATTAATAAATACATCAATTAAACCAAATAAACAATATATAAAACCCATCATACATGCAGCTAACGATATTTTGTTCTTGAGATTATGTTAATGAACGCACCCTAATTGAACACAACACAGAACGACCTTGCGATATGACATTAATTTTTTAGGTTATGTTAATTTGGATCAAAAATTTTATTTACAAAAACGAAAAAAACAGATTTGTGAATATTGGCCTGCGATAAGTAGTCAAAGAAGTATTTACAAACACAAGTTGAGCCATAATTAACTTGCACTTGTCAAAAGGTTATCACGTCAATATTGACAAAAGTCTCATTTATACCCAGTTTAAAACCTGCTGCAGTTTTAGTATCAGAAAAACAATCTTGAACAACGAAAAAGTTTCAAATAAGTTTAACTACAAGGTGAGACATTAAATTGTTATTATATAAACTAACTGAGAATTAAATTTAAGGAAATGAAAAAGTCAATGGTGATGATAAACGAGGTCAAACCTTCGCCTTATACATTTTTTAATTGTGAAATTAGCGACATCGAGAGTCATTATTGCAAAGACTGCCAATTCCAAACTGATCTAAGTGTGTTTTTGAAAAACCACGCACTGAATTGTCACGACATCAAAATAAAACCTGAACGACTCTCAAATGAATACAGTGTTCGAAACTACAGTTGTGAAAAGTGTGGTTTTGAAACACTTTTTTCCTTAAAATGGTTAGACCATTCTTTATCATGTACAGTGGGTTCCAAAAGTATGGAACTACGACCATACTGTTGCGAAAAATGTACTTATAAAGCTAAAAATATATACCGTTTAAAAGCCCACATTAATGTACGTCACGTGGACGAAAAAGACATCCGATGGTACGAATGCAATCAGTGTCCTTACAAAGGTAAAGCCAAACAATATTTAAAACGCCACATATACCTAAAACACGGCGACATTAAATGGTACAAATGTGACAAATGCTCGTACAAAGCGAAAGAAAAAACCTTGTTGAAGCACCACGCTTATTGGCACCTAGACGAGAAAGAAACCGAGTGGTACAAATGTGACAAATGCCCGTATAAAGCTAAAAGGACGGACTTATTAAACCGACACATTTACATCCATTTAGACGAAAAAGACATCAAGTGGTACAACTGTGAGCACTGTTCGTATAAAGGCAAACAAAAGCGACACTTGCAGCAGCACATAAGCCTCAAACACGTCGACGAAAAAAATATGAAGTGGTACAAATGTGACAAGTGCTCTTTCAAAGCCAAACTGAAGCAAACTTTACAGCGCCACGAACAAGCCGTACATCTAGTCGGCAAAAATTTGAAAGTGTACAAATGTGACCAATGCCCGTACAAAACCATCATAAACATGTCGCTGAAGAGACACGTAATCAACAAGCACCTGAGCGAGGACGAAATCCAGTGGCACTACTGTGAAAAATGCTCGTACAAAGCCAAGCAGAAGCAGTATTTGAAAGACCACATGATCACGCAGCACTTGGATACCAAATGCAAAATCGAGCAAGAGTTTTTGGATGAAGAGGATAAATGGTATCAGTGCCAGAAGTGCCGATATGGCACGAAACGAGTTTCCAATTTGAGGACGCACGTGAACTCGCGACATTTAAACGAAGGGGAGGTTAAATGGTACGAGTGCGAAAAGTGTTCGTACAGGAGCAAAGACAAGTCGAATTTGAAAAGTCACATCAATTTGCACCATTTGGACGAACAAGATGTTAAATGGTACGAGTGCAACGAGTGCCAGTACAAAGCTAAAGTTAAAGGGAATTTGAAAAGGCACATACTTTTCCGGCATTTGAGCGAACAAGAGATTAAGTAGCGTTTATAGAATAGGAAAATGTATATATTTTTGTGAAAACAAAACAATTATATTAATAAATTTGCAATTTTGACGTTTGCTTGTCAATTTGCGTGTTTGTGAACGCACCCACAATGTGCGCATGCGCACAACTCCATGTTTGAGGTTATGTCACTTGATGTCACTACTGGGGTTATGTTTACAATAAAATAAACATTGTTTTGAAAGTTGGAGCATTTTTTAACCGGTAATCAAATAAAATAGCTTTCTAGTTTGCACTATATTGTAAACTTTGCAGTTTTGAGTGTCTCAGAATGTCGATTCTGGAGTCTCTTTTGAAACATTCTGGCAAGCTTGTGTATGGGGTTTCTACTTTCAAGAATTTTAACAACACAGCAGTAAACCCCTCTACAATAAACGAGTCCAGTCACCCCACATTTGCATTTTTTGACTGTGAAAATAGCAAAGTGGAGAATTATTATTGCAAAAGGTGCCCCTTCCAAACAAATCTGCTAATAATTTTGCAAAAACACGTTCTAAAGTTTCATACTTTCGAACTTCAGAGTGAAGAAAGTGTGTCAGAGTTGGAATATTATACAGTCGAAAATTATGTTTGTGAAAAGTGCAACTTTCATACTCATTCTGGGTTAAAATGGCTGCAGCATGCCCCAACGTGTTCCAAAAATGGAGAGTCATTTAGTGAAGATTCGTACGAAGACAACTTATTTAAATTTACAGAAGTGTACACGATGAATGTTTATTCCAAAGCCAAGAGACCACGAAAAGGGGTGACGTGGCATAGGTGTGATCAGTGCAATTACAAAGCAAAAATAAAAACGCATTTAACCAATCACAGAATTTACAAACATTTAAAAGACCACGAAATAGAGTGGTTTGCATGTGAGAAATGTCCGTACAAGAGTAAGTTCAGAAATCACTTGAAAAACCACACGTATGTTTTTCACTCTGAAGAAAACTGTATCAAGTGGTTTGAATGTCAAAGTTGCCCGTTTAAATCAGAATGGAAGAAAAATTTGCAACAACATGAGAGCACAATGCACTTGGAAAAAAGCCACGTTAAGTGTGACCAATGCCCGTACACCACAACCACAAAATTGCGACTAAAAGCTCACACAATCAACAAACACTTAAGTGAAAATGAAATTCAGTGGCATCGGTGCAAAAAATGCCCATACAAAGCTAAACACAAGAGTGCGTTGACTCTCCACGCCCGGGCAATTCACTCCAACGAAAAGCACTTCCACTGTGAACACTGCCCATACAAAACCAACTTAAAGCAATGTTTAAGCCAACACATGAAAAACCGCCACTGCAGTGAAAGTGAAATCAGATGGTACCAATGTGAGCGCTGTCCGTACAAATCTAAGCAAAAAAAATCGTTAAATTATCACTTTCAGCTGGTTCACTGTGATGGAAAAGACATTCGGTGGTATATTTGTGACCGCTGCGCTTATAAAACCCACAAAAAGTCTGATTTACACTCACACATGCTTGTGCTTCATTCGGATGAAAAGGATATTAAATGGTACAAGTGTGAAGATTGTCCTTATAAAGGTAAAAGGAAACGGTATTTGCAGGTACACAGAGACTTTGTTCATTTGAGGAAGAGGGATACTAAGTGGGTTTCGTGTGGTCAGTGTTCGTATAAAACAAACTATCCGAGCAATATGAAGCATCACGTTATTATTAAACATACAAATGAGGAGGAAATTCGTTGGTTTCGGTGTGAAAAGTGCCCGTTTAAAACTAAGTTGAAGTGTTATTTAAACCAGCATTTGAGGTCTGGGAATTGTGTGAAATAAGATGTACTTTTAATAAATTATTGTCCGAGAATTGATGTTTTTTAAGTTTTATGAAAAATCTGAACGTACCCATCTGTTGACGTTGCGTTTTCAACCAATCAAATTGCGATGGTGTGCAGTGCTGACAACTTGAATGAAAATCCCCTAAAGTAGAGGGGGCACGTTTTTCTGGCTGAGAAAAATTTGAAAAAAAAAATCAATCAAAAAAACCGTTAAACATAGGCATCCATGTGCACGCTTAGTTCTTTTCTGGTAGTTGGTAGCTCTCCTAGGAAATTTCTGTTGAAAAGGTTGGTAGAAGTTGATTTGAAGGGTGGCTAAAGGGGTGAGAAACTTCACTTTTGGTTTGTTGTTGTGAGTGAAAAGCACGTGGTGAGTTAGTTAGGTTAAGTTTAGTTGGTTTGGTAGTTAATAAAAGGGAGGGAACCTTTGTTTAATCACAATTAATCGAACCAATTACGATTCCACAGTTTTCCCCAACACGCGTACCTAATTCTTGACCGACGCTAACATGTGGCATAAATCTGTTTTATTGTTACGTCAATTCGCAGTTCATGTTAGGAATTTAATGGTTAACTAGTTCTAACACAATTTAACAGACATTAGATTTGTTCAGATTGAGCACTTGTTGATAAAGTGTGGCATAATTTAACACAATGTAAATTCTTCGTTTGAATCGGTGATAAAGTGTGACATAATTGAGATCGAGACGGATGGGTGGGGCTTTTCTTTTCGTTTTCTTTTTTAATTAATACATTTAGTTTTCTTTGTATAACACGTTTACTTAAGAACTTATTTCACATGATAATTTCTCGTAGAAAAACAAGGATTTCACAATTAAGCTCCACCCCTCGGCTAGCGACGAGTAAAAAAATCATCAGAATTGAGACAGGGCGGGTGGGAGGGGCTTATATTTTGTCTTTGTTTTAATATACATGGCCATCTTTTCACAACAAGAAACATAAAATATGGTTAAAATGGTACATTTTTGCACGAAAATCAAATTACACATATTAAAATAAAAAGGAAAATTGTGAGCCCACCCACCCGCCCTATCTCAATTGTAATGATCTTTTTTATTCGCCGTGAGTCAAAGGGGCGGAGCTTAACTGCAAAATATTTATTTCTTTGGAAGAAATTAAAACATGCATTTGAGTATCGTGTTGTTCAAAGAATACTATGTACATTAAGAAAAAAAGGCAAAATATTAAAACCCCGCCCACCCACCCACCCCATCTCAATTGTGATGATTTTTTTCTTACAAATTTAAAACGCGTTTAAAATGGTGAATTTTTGTAATGAATGAAAACTTCATTACGACATATTTAGATCAGGGTAGGTATGGTTGGGGCAATGGTACTTGTACCATGGTTGGGCTTAATCTTTGGCTTTAATTTTTTCTTAATATACATAGTATTCTTTGAACAACACGATACTCAAAAACATGATTTTAATTCCTCATAGATAAATAAGGATTTTGCAGTTAACGTCCGCCCTCTTGGTTCACGACGAATAAAAAAATCATCACAATTGAGATAGGGTGGGTGGGCGGGGCTTATATTTTGCCATGTTTTCTTAATATGTGTAGTCATCTTTTCACAACAAGAAACTTAAAACATGTTTAAAATGGTAAATTTGTAAAGGGGAAATATCGATTTTGCAATTAGGTACGCTCCGCCCCTCGGTCTGACAACGAATGAAAAATTCATCACGATTGAGATAGGGCGGGTGGGCGGGGCTTATATTTTGCCTTTTTTCTTGATATACGTTGTCGTACATACTTGTTAAGATAAAATTGATTTTGGTAAATGACATATCTTCTACGAAAAAAAATGGTGAGTTGGCGGAGCTAAAACTTGCTAAGCTAGGACTGAACAATATCAAAAGTAGCCACTGGATCGAAGAAGGGGTGGGTGGGCGGGGCTATTGCTTGCCCCACCCGTTCTCTCAATTTCTTTCTTCAGAAATAAGAAATAAATGTTATAGCAAATAATAATAATAATAATAACCATATTTATTCCCTACAGGCTAGTAGCCCAAATACAGGACATACTTATATACACAATAATACAACAAAAAACAAAAACAAAAAAATATGTAACCTAAAAATAAGACAAAGTACACCAAAACTTAAAACATGTTTAAAGTGGTAAATTCTTGTAGACAAATATGGATCTTGCAATTAAGCCCCGCCTCTCGATCTGACAACGAATGAAAAATTCATCACAATTGTGAATTGAGATAGGGGCGGGTATGGGTGGGGTCTCATCTTTTTTCTTAATAAACATAGTTTTCTTTGAACAACACAATACTCAAAAACATATTTTAATTTCTCGTAGAAAAATAAAGATTTTGCAGTTAAGCTCCGCCTTCTTGGCTCACGGGGAATAAAAAAAATCATCACAGTTGAAACAGGGTGGGTGGGCGGGGTTTATATTTTGCCTTTTTTTTAAATATACATAGCCGTCTTTTAGAACAAGAAACTTAAAACATGTTTAAAATAGTAAATTCTCTAGACAAATATGGATCTTGCAATTAAGCCCCGCCCCTCGATCTGTCATCACAATTGAGATCGGGGATGGTATGGGTGGGGCCTAATCGTTGGCTTTAATTTTTTCTTAATATACATAGTATTCTTTGAACAATACGATACTCAAAAAATGTTTTTCATTTCTCGTGGAGAAATAAGGATTTTGCAGTTAAGCGCTGCCCCCTTGGCTCACGACGAATAAAAAACATCGTCACAATTGAGGTAGGGTGAGTGGGCGGGGTTTATATTTTGTCTTGTTTTTTCAATATGTGTAGACTTATTTCGACAACAAGAAACATGGTTAAAATGGTACATTTTTGCAAAGAAATATGGATTTTGCAATTATGAAGCGGAGCGTAATTGAGTTTCATGTTTTAAAAAGAAGTCTACACATATTAAAACAAAAAGCCGAAAAGTAAGCCCGCCCACCCGCCCTATCTCAATTGTGATGATTTTTTTTATTCGCCGTGAAGCAAAGGGGTGGAGCTTAACTACAAAATATTTATTTCTTTAGAAGAAATTAAAACATGCACTTGAGTATCGTGTTGTTCAAAGAATACTATGTACATTAAGAAAAAAAGGCAAAATATTAAAACCCCGCCCACCCACCCCATCTCAATTGTGATGATTTTTTTTCTTAGAAATTTAAAACGCGTTTAAAATGGTTTAAATTTTTGTAATGAATGAAAACTTCATTACTACATATTTAGATCAGGGCAGGTATGGTTGGGGCCATGGTACTTATACCAAGGTTGGGGTTAATCTTTGGCTTTAACTTTTTCTTAATATACATAGTATTCTTTGAACAACACGATACTCAAAAACATGATTTTAATTTCTCATAGAGAAATCAGGATTTTGCAGTTAAGCTCCGCCTCCTTGGCTCACAACGAATAAAAAAATCATCACAATTGAGATCGGGCGGGTGGGCGGGGCTACATTTTGCATTGTTTTCTTAATATGTGTAGTCATCTTTTCACAACAAGAAACTTAAAACATGTTTAAAATCGTAAATTTGTAAAGGGGAAGTATCGATTTTGCAATTAGGTACGCTCCGCCCCTCGGTCTGACAACGAATGAAAAATTCATCACGATTGAGATAGCGCGGGTGGGCGGGGCTTATATTTTGCCTTTTTTCTTGATATACGTTGTCGTACATACTTGTTAAGATAAAATTGATTTTGGTAAATGACATATCTTCTAAGAAAAAAAATGGTGAGTTGGCGGAGCTAAAACTTGCTAAGCTACGACTGAACAATATCAAAATTTGCTACTGGAACGAAGAAGGGGTGGGTGGGCAGGGCTATTGCTTGCTTATAAAAGATTCTGTAGGAAAAAGTTAAACTTAGCCCCGTCCACCCACCCGTTCTTTCATTTCTTTCCTCAGAAATAGAAGAAATAAATGTTATAGCAAATAATAATAACAATAATCATATTTATTGCCTACAGGCTAGTAGCCCAAATATAGGAAATACGTATATACACAATAATACAACAAAAAACAAAAACAAAAAAATATATAACCTAAAAATAAGACAAAGTACACCAAAACTTAAAACATGTTTAAAGTAGTAAATTCTTGTAGACAAATATGGATCTTGCAGTTAAGCCCCGCCTCTCGATCTTTCATCACAATTGAGATCGGGGATGGTATGGGTGGGGCCTAATCTTTGGCTTTAATTTTTTCTTAATATACATAGTATTCTTTGAACAACACGATACTCAAAAACATGATTTTAATTTCTCATAGAGAAATAAGGATTTTGCAGTTAAACTCCGCCTCCTTGGCTCACAACGAATAAAAAAATCATCACAATTGAGATCGGGCGGGTGGGCGGGGCTACATTTTGCCTTGTTTTCTTAATATGTGTAGTCATCTTTTCACAACAAGAATTTGTAAAGGGGAAATATCGATTTTGCAATCACGCTCCGCCCCTCAGTCTGACAACGAATGAAAAATTCATCACGATTGAGATAGGGCGGGTGGGCGGGGCTTATATTTTGCCTTTTTTCTTGAAAAATAAGGATTTTGCAGTGAAGCTCCGCCTTCTTGGCTCACGGGGAATAAAAAAAATCATCAGAATTGAGACAGGGTGGGTGGGCGGGCCTAATATTTTGTCCTGTTTTTTTAACAGGTGTAGACTTATTTCGACAACAAGAAACTTAAAACATGTCTAAAATAATAAATATTTGTAGTAATCAACTTAAATACTCCACTTTTCTTCTACAACCTCTTTAAAACGGCGTTGAATATCAAAGTTACTATCAAATCCCACTAAAATTCTAACCTCAAAGTCACATGCAATGCGAAAAGTGTCCAAAGTTATTGTTATATTAATTTTAATTTTTCTGTTTATAAATGCAAATTGCAAAAAAAGATTGGCAACACTGCGTGTCATTTGGTTTCTTGTCAATACTTGGTAGAAAAATCTGAACGCACCCAGTCCAATCTAACCTCAACGTCAAATGTGTTGTACTTGGAAAGACATTTTTGGAGTTTTAAGTCCTTTCCTTCAGTGAGTGTTTTGTGTTCCTCTTTTTTTCGTATTATAGGAAGCGCGAAAAAATGCCGGTGGCGTCCTCACGCGGCCGATAGCTCAACGGATGACATAATCACTGACATAACGACGGCTGAATGTTGTGTCATTGTATGTGTGAAGAAGCTGATAAAAAAAAAGTTTGAGTCGAAATGGAGCCAGCAAAATTAAACACCAGTTTTCGCGTCAGTTGCACCAATTGTTGCGTCGTCGGTTGTCACAACAATTACACGAAGACGGATAAAAGTGTCAGCTTTTATAGATTTCCTGCATTACTACACGAGAAACAACGACGCACACAATGGATAAACGCCGTTAACAGACAAAAGTACGTAAACTATCGCAAAGTCGAGTCCATTTCTGTGACTTACGCGCGTTAACCTCAAAATTAGAAATGTCACAAAACTGGATAGCAAAAATTGTGCAAATAATATGGTTAGAAACACCCATTGATACCGATAATACTACTTATAGGTCTGATGGCAAGAGTTGGGAACCAAAACCGTATTCTAGAATTTGCAGTCAGCATTTCGTTGGAAATAAGAAATCAAACCACCCTCACAATCCAGCATTTATCCCTACAATATTCCCAGAGGTACGTGCAAATTAAAATTTATTTATACAAAATAACTCAAGTCACGTTAAAACCTATAGGAGTACATAGGTGAAATGACAAATTTGACCTTGTTGTTATGCCGATGGTTTCGCTGTCATTCACAGGGGGCGCTTATTTAAAAATTCCCGCGTCGCCTATAGAAAGAGAGTGAAAATAGATTTTTTTTACATCATAGCTTGCTTTTTACTGTTGTGTATATACATATTTTTTTCAGGATACCATTACTGTGACAATGGATAGTAGTGAAAGTGAGCCACCACAAACTGAGAAAAGTCACAACAAATTTAAGTAAGTAATGTTGATTTTTGGATAGAAATTACTAAAAACTTATGATTATGCTTTTTTTGATGATAAAAACAGAAGGAAGCATGATGCACTGGATAATGAACAAGAGCCACCTGAAATGATATTAAAAAGAAGGAAAAATGCTGAAAGATGTAAAAGATATAGAGAACGGAAGAAAGCAGAGGCACTAGAGTTGGGATTGAATAAAGAACAAGAAAAGCCAATTAAATCGAAGAAAGAGCGAAGTGCTGAGAGAAGTAAAAAATACAGAGAACTAAAAAAAATACGACGAATGCAGCAATTAGCAGCGGCCAATAAGAAGTCTCAAATGCAGTCTTTAGTACCACAGCATGTCCAGGTACAGCCATCTGCAGCATCAATTAGACACATTAAACTACGTCAAGAAAACACCGCCAATTTTATGGAAGATATTATTAGCGGTGGCGAATTGTGTGGAGAACATATTAATATCTTCCAAGATATAATTGCAAGTAGATTCGTAAATTTCAGACCGATCGACGTTCATTTAATTTCCTTGCCACAATTTATTCGACCAATATCTCATTTACAAAAACACATCCAAATAATAAGTGGTGTTTCTGGACAAATTCATAAAATAACCCACTGGATTTGCACTTATTACGATGGGAATGTTCTTAATATATATGATGGTTTAAATATGGGGAATTTGTATCCGGAAATGGAAATTTTTTTGAATCAGTTATTTCCGCACAAACCACAGCAAAAATTTCATAGGGTTGGACAGCAACCCAATAATGCAGACTGCGGAGTTTACGCTATTGCGTTTGCTACATCGTTACTCAACAACCGGGACCCATCAAAAGAAAACTACCATCATCCAAAAATGCGGTCTCATTTACTGGATATTTATAGCACCACCGAGCTGCTACCATTTCCAGCTTACCAGGGTAATGGGATTTGTCATCTTCCTGTTCAAGATGAATACAATTTTGCCTTTCGTGACGTTTTGTCTAAATACAAGGTAAGAAAACATTATAATTGTTTTAATAATTAATAATAATAGTGCGTGTTAACAGATGCCAACTTTGTTGTACTCTGAAAAATTTGCCAACACGAAATCCAACATTGTTCAGAAATGCCAAACCTGTCCCTACTTCACAACATCGCCATTTTTGATGATGAACCATACAGGACGCGATCACTCTTCATTGGTACCTTTTAGCTGTGAAAGCAGTCTAGAAATTTACAGCTGCGACGACTGCAATTTCAAGACCAGTCTTACCATCAGTTTTAAGCGACACATTAAAAAGTGTCACCTGAAAGATCCTTCACATATCAATTATGAAATCAAGAGCTACAAATGCAGACGTTGCAAGTTTGAAACCCACTTTGTAGTGACGTGGCTTCGACACACAGTGCAGTGTCAACAAAATGCAATACGTTGGTACCACTGCGAAAAATGTTCGTTCAAAACGAAATACAGTTACAATTTGAAAATTCACAAAAAGTACAGACATATACCCATAAACGACATCACATGGTACAAATGTAAATTCTGTTCAAACCAAACTAAAACCGCACAGGGTTTAAAACAACACGTGTTAAACAAACATTCAGGTGATAAAGTTACGTGGTATCAGTGTGAAAAGTGTCCGTACAAAGCTATATATAAGGCTAGGGTGAAGGTCCATATGGTTAAACACGCTGAAGCTAGACCCAAGTGGTATCAGTGTGAGAAGTGTGCATACAAAAGTAAACACAGGTATATGGTGAGACGCCACCTAAAGCTTACGCACAATGCAATTGCGGCACATTCAGATGATAAAATCACGTGGTATCAGTGTGGGAAGTGTGCATACAAAAGTAAACTTCGGTACCAAGTGAAACGCCACCTAAAGAATAAACACAAGGAAATTGTGGCACCTTCAGATGATAAAATCAAGTGGTATAAGTGTGAGAAGTGTGCATACAAAAGTAAACGTAAGTCTGAAATGACGAACCACATGAAGTACAAACACAGTGAAACTAAGCGACTGAAATGTGATCAGTGTTCATTTGAGTCAGTTCATTTGGGTAGTTTCAAGCGACATGTAACGAATATACATTTGTGTAACAATGAATAAAGTGTCATAGTAAAAATAAAAACATCTATATCTTGGTCTATAATTTACTTATACTTACTATAGTACAAACGCTACTTATAAATTATCATCACATAATTAAACCGAAACGCGTTTTCCTAGCCCGAAATTATTAAAAACAAATCAATTTGTTTAAACATTGTGCAATTTCCCGGCCAAAATACGAAAAATAATTTTTGCAGTCTCATCGTGACGTACGATGACGTGACTGTCACCTGAGCTACCTGAGGAACGGTCACATTTTTCCCCCCCTTGTGTTCAGTTTAGATTTCGGTCTGGTGGTAGCAACAGCGGAGTTCCGTTTTAGCTTTAAAGTAGCACGTGTTCGTGAATTTCTAATTTATTGTTAATAAATATTAGTGAAAATGTGTTGTGTTACTACTGTGAACTTTTTTCCAAAAAGGCCGGAAATCATGGTAAGTACGGTTTCAGTTTTAATTTATTGGGTTCGGTGATTCGTTTACTCGACAATGTTTAAATTTTGGGGAAATTTTTAAACCGAAAACCGTTTTCCTAAAAACACGGAGTTATTAAAAACAAATCAATTTGTTTAAACATTGCTAAATTAACCCCGAAAATGTACAATTTCTGAGCCAAAATATGAAAAATAATTTTGAAATCTCATCTTAATGAACGATGACGTCACTGTCACATCAGTTGCCTGAGTAAAGGTCGCTTTTTCGGTCCTTTGGGTTCAGTTTTGATTTCGGTCTGGTAGCACCAACATCGGAGCTCCGTTTTGGTTTAAAAGTAGCGGCATTTAACATGTATAAAGTACGACATCCATTTAAAAAGTACCGCGTTCATAATTTACAAAATCTGGGTAGTGGGTAGTTTTCTAGTTAGAATTTTAAAAGTAAGGAATCCTTTGTTTAACGACAATTAATCATAACGACGACGACGCCACCGTTTTCCCCAACACGCGCAGCAAATTCTTGCAGCTTTCTAATCGGAAAACATGTGAATTTTGACCAATGCGAACACGTGTAAATTTGATCCATTGTTTGTAAATTCACAGATCAGGTTAGGTTTTTAATCGTTAACTAGTTCTAACACAATTTAACATCAGGAATTTGTTTTCATGAGAATTCACTTAGTCAGGACTCGTTTGATTTTGTTTGTCTAATTATGAGTAAGGTTTCTGGATGCTAATATTTTAGTGTTACATTATAACACTTTTTGATTCTTCACACAAGATTGCTAACAGTTCATTTGCGGCAATTAAATTAACCTAACGTTGCCCCACTCTGGAAAAAGATCGTAGAAAAGTGCAGCAAAATTCATAATATCGTACACTGCGGGACGGGAGAATTAAAGATTTAATGCAACATCATATAAATTCTTTGTTTGAATCCTTGATAAAGTGTGGCAAATATTAATCTCATGTAAATTTGTTAGCTTATTCCAACTTTTCTCTATCTCACAATATTAACTTCAGTAATTTTCTTTGTTTTATTGGTTTATTTTCCACCAGATCTTTTGATTTTTTGCTAGTTTTTGTTTTGTAAATATTTTGTTGACGAATGTTTCCATCATATAAATTATCTGATGTCCAATCGTATCTCAAATAAGAATTATTTGTTGTTTAACATTTCACAAGATTGTATGGCGAATTTAAATGTTGTTTTTGCTCTTTTTGAAACTTTGACACTTGTTCAGTTGTAGTTTAATATCAGAGTTATAAGGATTGAACACATAAATAGAATTGTGGTTAAATAACACAGAAACACGTGGTGGAAGCGGAGTGCGCGGTTCCTAGTCGAGTTGGCGAGATTTATCACGCCATCTGCACAAAGATGCAGGTTAGAATAGAATTCAGTGAGTTTGCGACCGTAACGGCCTGGCGTACAGCACGTCCGTAATAGAGAGATGCTGTGCGGTAATGCTTGCGAATCACCGTCGTGGGTAGGAGAACAGCCACGACCGGGAGCCCCAAACTCCGCTCGCGCTACAACGCCCCCTTTGGGTACTTTTGTTGTGCTCTAGAGTTAAACTGACATAGTTCGATCGCCACACTCTTATAGCGCTCTGATGACGCTGCCGCTGCATAGTTTTTTTATTAAAATTTTGTGTTCTTGTTGACTTCCATAATTCTAAATTTGCCGCCACACGTCTGTAATAACTTGTGTATTTGCATCCAGTTGCATTGATTCAGAACTTCGTTAATGTTATATTTTCCATCTCTTTTCTTAGAGGGTACCTCATTTGCCAAAATCAGTCTTATCTTAGCAGGTACTAGCCCCGCCCACCCACCCTGTTTATAATTTATAAATGTCTGATTGAATGTTTTTTTTGTTTATTTATTAATGAAAAATAACAACTTGTTTTATCAATAAAAATCCACAATTAATGATTTTATTATTTTTTTGGGACTCAGGAAATTGTATTTTGTGAAAAATCTGAACGTACCCAGTCCAATCTAACCAACATACAATTCTAACCTCAAAGTCACATGTGTTGTCCAAGGGGTTTTTTAATCAAAATAAAGGTGAGCAAAAATATGTTTGTTAATAGATAATAATAATAATACATGCCCTTAGATGTCAATATTGGCCTACTCTGAAAAGTTTTCCAACTTGAAATCTAATATTGTTGAAAAATACCAGGTGATGCCTTTTGGTTGCGAAAATGATCTAGAAATTTATTACTGCAATGACTGTAATTTCCAGACCAGTCTTATGGTTATTTTGAAGGAACATAGTAAGAAGTGTCAAAGAAATAACGTGAAAGAAACACCAGATATCAATTACGTTATTCAGAGTTACAGTTGCAAAAGTTGCAATTTTGAAACCCATTTTGCAATAAAGTGGCTTCAGCACGCAACAACATGTCGACAAACAAAGTCTAAAGGACATAGAAGTGCCTCTGGTTGGTACAAGTGTGACCAATGTAAACACAAATCCAAAAAGAAAACCCACGTAACAGGCAAAATACGTTGGTATCACTGCGAGAAATGTCAATTCAAAACTGTACTACAAGAATATTTAAAAAGACACACATATATCAAGCACGCAAAGGACAGATGGCATCAGTGTGAAAAATGTGTACATTCAGATGATACAATTAAGTGGTATCAGTGTGGGAAATGTACACATAAAAGTAAATATAAATCCGCGATGAAGGAACACGTGAGGAATAAACACAGTGAAGTTGAGCTACTAAAACGTGAAGAGTATTCATGTGATCATTGTTCATTTAAATCAGTTTATCTGCGTAATATGAAGCGACACGTAGAGAACAAACATTTCTGTAATCGCGAGGTCAAGTGGTATCAGTGCGAAAAGTGCCCATTTAAAACTAAATTGAAAAAGTCGCTAGAGTCGCATGTACAAAATAACCACTTTAGTGATAATGATGTTAAATGGATCAGTACAGTCATGATGTTATAAGTGATATTTTGTTGGCAACACTGCGTGTCATTCAATGCTTGTCAAAAAATCTGAACGCACCCAGTCCAATCTAACCTCAAAGTCAAATGTGTCGTACTTAGAAAGACAATTTTTCCTTTTGTGAAGAATTTTTGTCGAAATACAAGGTGAGAAAACATTATAATTGTTTAAATAAACAACACTAATAGTGGATGTTGTCAGATGTCAACATTGGTGTACTCTGAAAAGTTTTCCAACGCGAAATCCAACATTGTTCAGAAATGCCCCGACTGCTCCTACTTCACAACATCACCATTTTTGATGGTAAACCACGCTGAACGTGACCACTCATCACTGGTACCGTTTGGTTGCGAAAACAACCTAGAAATTTACCGCTGCAACGACTGCAATTTCCAGACCAGTCTTACTGTCAGTTTTAAGGAACACGTTCAGAAGTGTCACTTGAATGAAAGCAATAACCTGAAAGATATTAATTATGAAATCCAGAGCTACAACTGCAATGGTTGCAATTTCGAAACCCATTTTGTATTGACGTGGCTTCAGCACACAGTGACGTGCCAACACAAAAAAGTACGTTGGTATCACTGCGAAAAATGCTCGTTCAAAACGAGATACAACTACAATTTAAAAGTTCACAGAGGGTATAGACACACAGCCATAAACGACATCAAATGGCACAAATGTAAATTCTGTGCACACAAATCAAAAACCGCCTATAATTTAAAACAGCACGTGTATAACAAACATTCAGATGATAAAGTTAGGTGGTATCAATGTGAGCAATGCCCACACAAAACTAAATATAAGGCTAAGCTGAAAGTCCATATGATTAAACACAGTGAAGCTAGTTCAAATGATAGACCTAAGTGGTATCAGTGTGACAAGTGTGAATATAAGAGTAAACATAGGTATATGACGAAACGCCATCTAAGGAACAAACACAACGAAATTGAGGCACATTCAGATGATAAAATCAAGTGGTATCAGTGTGAGAAGTGTGCACACAAAAGTAAATATAAGTCTGCAATGACAGATCACATGAGGTATAAACACAGTGAAACTGAGCAGCTGAAATGTGATCAATGTTCATTCAAATCAGTTCATTTGGGAAATTTAAAGCGACATGTAAGGAATAAACATTTGTGTGATAGTGAGGTAAAGTGGTACCAGTGCGAAAAGTGCCCATATAAGACTAAATTTAAATATTCGCTAGAGTCACATTTAAAAAACATCCACTTTAGTGATAAAGATATCAAATGGATCAGTGCTGTTATGACGTTATGAAGTGATTTTTTTTTTAATAATGTTATAATAAAAATTTGTTGTTTTCTATAACAAGAACGTTTTCTCTTTTCAAAACTTTGAAAGATATCTGAACGTACCCATCCAAATCTAACCTGTAAAATTCTAACCTCAAAGTCAGGTGTAATGTAAAACACATTTTTTCTTTTATAAAGAATTTTGTCAAAATACAAGGTGAGAAAACACAATATTTGTCTTCATAGATAAAAATGGTGCGTTTTGTTAGATGTCCGCATTAATCTACTCTGAAAAATTTACCAACGTGAAGTCTAACATTGTCCAGAAATGCCAAATCTGTCCGTACTTCACAACATTACCATTTTTGATGGTAAACCACGCTGATAATCACTCTTCACTGGTACCTTTTGGCTGCGAAAACAATTTGGAAAATTTTTGTTGCAATGACTGCAATTTCAAGACCAGTCTTACCACCAATTTTAAAAAACACATTAAAAAGTGCCACCAGAAAGATATCAGTTATGATATCCAGAGCTACAGCTGCAAAAGTTGCAATTTTGAAACCTATTTTGCATTAAAATGGCTTCAGCACACAGTTACATGTTCAACAGTTGAACAAGTTAATTTAAAATTGTATCAATGCAACAAATGTTCGTTCTCTGCAGAATTAAAATCCGTGGTGGAACACAAAGTAAATGTCCACACGAAAATCAATGCGTCAGGTTGGTACAAGTGTGACCAATGTGACTACAGTTCCAAAAACAAAACCTGTCTGAAAATACACACAGTCAAAAAACACGTAGCAGACGAAAAACGTTGGTACCACTGCGAAAAAAGACAGACTGATAAAGACATAGAGTGGCATCAGTGTGGAAAATGTTCATACAAAACGAAATACAGATACTATTTAAAAGTTCACGAGATGTTTATTCACACTGACGAGAACTGCATCAAGTGGCATAAATGTAAACACTGTCCCTTCAAAACAAAATACAAAAAGAGTTTAATACAACACATGCACTACCAACATGATAAAATCAGGTGGTACCAGTGTGAGAAATGTCCACACAAAACTAAATACAAGTCTGGGATGAAAATCCACGTGAGAAACAAACACAGCGAGAAACCTACAGATGATCAAGTCAGGTGGTATCAGTGTGACAAGTGTGCACACAGGAGTAAATATAAGTCTGCAATGAAAGCCCACATGACGAATAAACACAGCGAAATTGAGCTACTAAAATGCGAAAAATATTCATGTGATCAGTGTTCATTTAAATCGGTTAAATTGTCCAATTTAAGGCAACATGTGAAGAAGAAACATATGCGTGAAGTGAAATGGTGTCACTGCGAAAAGTGCCCGTTTAAAACCAAAACGAAAAGTCATCTTGACTCGCATGTAAGAAATATCCACTTTAGTGATAATGATATCAAATGGATCAGTGCCGTTATGACGTTATGATAATTGTAACACTAAAAATAAAAATATCGAGATTGTGGTCTATAATTCGTACATCTGTGGTTGCTTCGTTCGATTGCAAAGTTTGCGAACGCACCCTGAAACGTCAAATTTGTCATCAGTTTGTTTGAGGTTATGTTCATTACCAACAAGTTTGTTTCAAAATGTTATTAATTAACTGCGTTGTGCCTTATTATGTTTAACGAAACACAATGTCAGTTCACCATTCGTTCAACTGTGAAACTACCAACCTTGAAAGACATCACTGCAACGACTGCAAATTCCAGACCGATCTGAGCATATTTTTGAAAAACCACATCCAAATTTGTCACGGAATTAAAACAGAGTGTGAAAACGTCGAAATACACACTATTAAAAGCTATATGTGTATCCAGTGTGGCTTTGAAACCCACTTTTTGCTAAAATGGCTACAACATACGTCATTATGTTATCAATATTTCCAAGACGTTGGAACAATCTCATTTAATTGTGATGTGAAACCATTTCCTTGCAAACAATGTCCATACAAAGCTAAAAACCCGTGGCGTTTAAGAAGACACATAAACGTACGACATGCAGACGAAAAAGACATCAAATGGTACAAATGCAGCCAATGTCCATACAAAGGCAAAGCAAAACAATACCTAAAACAACACATCTACATGCAACATTTAAACGAAGAAGACATCAATTGGTTTAAATGTGACAAGTGCCCATATAAAGCTAAACGAAAAGCGCTCTTATCCGAACACTCATTGTGGCACATGGACGACAAAGACATCGCTTGGTACAAGTGTGACAAGTGTTCTTACAAAGCCAAGTCCAAACGGCGCTTAAACGACCACACTTACATGCACCTGGACGAAAAAGATATCAAATGGTATAAATGTGAACAATGTCTGTATAAAACCTCACAGAAACATCGTCTGAAAAAGCACACCAACTTGCGCCACTTGGACGAAAAGGACACGAAATGGTACGAATGTGACAAGTGCAAATTTAAAACTAAGCTGAAACGGACGCTGGAGTTGCACGAACACGCCAAACACTTAATCGGGGAAAATCTGAAGTGGTATAATTGTGACCAGTGTGCGTACAAATCCGTTATAAAGAGGAACTTGACGCGGCACGTGATCAGTAACCATCAAAAAGAGGACGAAATTCAGTGGCATCGGTGTGAGAAGTGTGCGTATAAAGCTAAATTGAAGCAGTCGCTGAAAAAGCACATAATTTCGCAGCATTTGGGGGCTAACAATGTTACAAAACCAACTGGATAATTTGGTATTGTGTAAATAAAAGCCATAATAAATATTTAGTGTTTTTCGATTTCTTTGAACATAACCTCGAAATAGATTATTGTGTGACAGTTTATTGACGTTTGTTGCAAAATAGGCAACCAACATTACGTACTAGTTGTGTTGGATACGGTTGCCTACTATTTGTTATCACTTATATTATACCACCACAAAATTGGTTGAATTGCTAGATTAGTTTAAATTTATCAAAACAATGAAGTTCGACGATTTTCACCCCACAACTAGGCTGCCGCTTCGTGAACGCACCCTAGCACAGCCTACTAAAAAGTCCCACTTTTGGGCATTTTGAGGTTATGTACGATAAACAAATAACAACAAAAATAGCCTTGTCAACACAAAAACAAACTCTTTTTGACGAAGTATAAGGTAAGGAAAGACGCATTTTGTTTTCATTGTGTAACAAAAATCCACTTTAAGCTGATGTCACTTGTGCCAAACTTGGGAAGGTTTGGCCCGAAATACAGTATGCACTATTGCAAGATTTGCCAATACTTCACAATGGTAAACCACGCCAAACGCCACCGTTTGCCTGTTCTACCCTTCAACTGCGAAAACGCCCCCTTGGAAAAGTATTACTGCCAATGTTGTAATTTCCAAACGGATTTAATCACTTCTTTGAAAAGACACATCAAGAAGTATCATTGTGTGAAGACTGAAAACGTCACACAGGTGACAAATGTGGAGTTCAGTCCTACGAATTACGTTTGTAAGGAGTGTGATTTCGACACACATTCGTTGCTGAAGTGGTTTCAACATACACACCGATGTTGTGAGGATGCAGTTGCTTCTGACACGTTAAACAAAAACAATAAAGTGCTCGTTTGGTACAAATGTGACCAGTGTGAGTATAAGTCGGTGCACCGAAACGGCTTAAAACAACACAACATTTCAAGACACTTAAAAAACGACGAAATCTCGTGGTTCCGGTGCGCGAAATGTCCGTACAAATCAAAAATCAAACACATTTTGAACATCCACATAATCAATAACCATTTGAGTGATAACGAAGTGGTGTGGTACTACTGCGAGAACTGTTCATACAAAGCTAAACACAAATATAGGTTAAAGGAACACATACATGCAGTGCATCGGAATGAAAGAGATACCACGAGGTACACCTGTGACCAGTGTCCCTACATCACCAATTCCAGACGGTACTTAAACCGACACGTAAACCGAAAACACCGAAATAAAGACTGGTACGAGTGTGATAGATGTCCGTACAAAGCTAGATACAAGCACAATTTAAAATCGCACACGAACACGGTCCACCGTAACGAAAAAGACACTAAGTGCTACAGCTGTGACCAATGCCCGTACAAAACCCACGGTCCTCTCTACCTCAAACGTCACATGATCACCCATCAAAGCGAAGACGAAATCTCGTGGTTCTACTGTGAAAAATGTTCATACAAAGCTAAACACAAAGGTAACTTGAAAAGACACATGGAAGTGTACCATTCGGGCAAAAACGACGTGATTTGGTTCGAGTGTAAGGAGTGCCCATATAAGGTTAAGTCGAAACGGTCGTTGCAGCGGCACGAAGACACCAAACACCTCCTCGGGAACAACACGAAGTGGCACACGTGTGACCAGTGTTTGTACAAGACGAGGGAGAGCCGAGATCTGAAACACCACATAATTAGGAAACACAAAACCGAGAATGAAATCGAGTGGTATCATTGTGAACGGTGTTCGTATAAGTCTAAGGTGAAGACGACGTTGAAAGTTCACGTGAAGATGATACATTTCAAGGAGGATGTGAAGTGGTACGAGTGTGACAAGTGCTCGTTTAAGACGAAGTACTTGTTTAGTTTGAAGAATCACTCGATTAGTAAACATATGGATGAGAACGAAATCCAGTGGCACCGGTGCAATATCTGCTCTTTTCGGAGCAAGCTAGTGAGGGGGCTGAGGAACCACGTGGCGTCGGTACACGCGGTTGCGAAGTGAAGATTTGTTGATTTTGACGTTGCGTTGTAATAAGTTAACGGTTTTTGTAATAAAGAAATTGTGAAGTTGTTTTTTGACTAAATCTGTTTGTCTTTTATTGATTGAATAATTGTTCATTTGCTTGAAGTAGGCAACCAACATTACGCATGTCGAGCAATTTTACCTGCAATGTCACTCGCGTTCTAGTTCGTGAACGTACCCCTACTCTTTTTTGTTTTTGAGGTTATGTTCATTTCTAACAAATTTTCATAAACTTTTGAAAAAAAAACAAAAACTCGATAAGAAACGATGAATTTTATTCTTCAAACTGAAATAAACTTAAATTTAGGTGAATTACAATGTTGGTTCCTAGTTATCACTCAATCTTCCACTGTAAAACTAACCTCAAAATGTACCAGTGCAACAAGTGCAATTTTCAAACAGATCTGGGCGTCTTTATAAAAATCCACATAAAAATTTGCCGCGGAATTACTCGTAAAACACAAAACGTAGATAAATACACCGTTAGAAGCTATATTTGTAGACAGTGTGACTTTGAAACCCATTTTTTGTTAAAGTGGCTACAACATTCAACATCTTGTTGTGTTGGGTATCTCAAAGACATACCAAAAGTTGCTGACAACGACTTTCTGAAACAATTTTCATGCAGACAGTGTTCGTTCAAAACCAAGTATGCCTATAAGCCCCGCCCACCTACCCTGTCTCAATTGTGATGGTTTTTTTATTCGTCGTGAGCCAGTAAGGCGGAGCTTAACTGCAAAATCCTTATTTCTCTACGAGAAATTAAAACGATGTTTCTGAGTACCGTGTTGTTCAAAGAATACTATGTATATTATGAAAAAATTAAAGCCAAAGATTAGGCCCCACCCATACACGCCCCGATCTCAATTCTCAATTGTGATGAATTTTTCATTCGTTGTCAGATCGAGGGGCGTGGTTTAACTGCAAGGTCCAGATTTGTCTACAAGAATTTACCATTTTAAATGTGTTTTAAATTTCTAAGAATAAAAAAATCATTACAATTGAGATGGGGTGGGTGGGTGGGGTTTATACTTTGCCTTTTTTTAATATACTTGGTATTCTTTGAACAACACGATACACAAAACATGTTTTTAATTTCTTGTTAAGAAATAAGTATTTTGCAGTTAGGCTCCGCCCTCTTGGTTCACGACCAATAAAAAAAATCATCACAATTGAGATTGGGCGGGCGGGTGGGCTTATATTTTGCCGTTTTGTTTATATATATAGACTTCTTTTCAGAACATGAAACTTAAAAAATATTTAAAATGGAAAATTTGTATAACGAGATATCGATTTTGCAATTAATTGAAAACCTACATTTCTTTGCAAAAATGTACCATTTTAATCGTGTTCTAAGTTTCTTATTTTGAAAAGATGACTATGTATGTTAAGAAAAAAAAAAACAAAATATAAGCCCCGCCCACCCACCCTGTCTCAATTGTGATGATTTTTTTTTTATTTGTCGTGAGCCAATAAGGCGGAGCTTAACTGCAAAATCCTTATTTCTCTACGAGAAATTAAAAGCGTGTTTTTGAGTATCGTGTTCAAAGAATACTATGGATATTAAGAAAAAATTAAAGCCAAAGATTAGGCCCCACCCATACCCGCCCCGATCTCAATTGTGATGACAGATCGAGGGGCGGGGCTTAATTGCAAGATCCATATTTGTCTAGAGAATTTACAATTTTAAACACGTTTTAAGTTACTTGTTCTAAAAGACGGCCATCAATATTAAGAAAAAAAAAGGAAAAATATATGCCCCGCCCACCCACCCTATCTTAATTGTGATGATTTTTTCATTCGTCATGAGTCAAGAAGGCGGAGCTTAACTGCAAAATCCGTATTTCTTTACGAAAGAAATTAAAAGCATGTTTTTGAGTATCGTGTTATTCAAAGAATACTATGTATGGGGTGGGTGGGTGGGGTTTATACTTTGCCTTTTTTTAATATACTTGGTATTCTTTGAACAACACGATACACAAAACATGTTTTTAATTTCTTGTTAAGAAATAAGTATTTTGCAGTTAGGCTCCGCCCTCTTGGTTCACGACCAATAAAAAAAATCATCACAATTGAGATTGGGCGGGCGGGTGGGCTTATATTTTGCCGTTTTGTTTATATATATAGACTTCTTTTCAGAACATGAAACTTAAAAAATATTTAAAATGGAAAATTTGTATAAGGAGATATCGATTTTGCAATTAATTGAAAACCTACATTTCTTTGCAAAAATGTACCATTTTAATCATGTTCTAAGTTTCTTATTGTGAAAAGATGGCTATGTATGTTGAAAAAACGGGCAAAATATAAACTCCACCCACCCACCCTATCTCGATTGTGATGATTTTTTTATTCGTCGTGAGCTTAATTGCAAAATCCTTAGTTCTCTACTAGAAATAAAAAATGTTTTTGAGTATCGTGTTGTTCAAGGAATACTTTGTATATTAAAACAAAACAAGCCATAAATTAAGCCCCACCCACACCATATCCATCCCAAGCACAATTGTGGCAGGGCCTAATTGTAAAATCGACACTTTCCTACAAAAATTTTTACCATTGAGGGAAAAATTACCGAACGTACCCTTTTTAAATTCGACCTTGTCCGATACAAGCATTGTTGGTTGCCTATTTTACAGAATATTAAAAATTATTTTGGCACGTGTTTAAACATTGCGCTGAAGCGAAAAATCTCTAAATTCCACTTTAATACTCAAGGTGTGCCAAAATACGTCTTTTTTTAAGTTTTATTCATTTCAGTTATTAACAATGTTTGATACTTTACAGACACAACAACAAAAATAAATAAATTAATCTGAATCAACATTCAATACACTAAACGTTTAAATGGTGCTTCGTTACGTGATTTTTTAACTGGCAGTTTTGTTTAGCTTTATACGGGCACATTACACACTCGTACCACTTCATGTCCTTCTCGTCTAAATGGTGCGCATTTATGTGACTTTTTAAGTTCGAATTGTCTTTAGCTTTGTACGAACACATCTGGCACTCGAACCACTTGATGTCCCGCTCCTCAAAATGTCGCCTGATCATGTGCTTTTTCAAGCTATATTTCAGTTTAGCTTTGTATGGGCACTGCTGGCATTCGTACCATTTAATATCCTCCAAATCCAAATGTTGAGTGGTAATATGTCTATTCAATAAGTGTTTTTCCTTAGTTTTATACGAACACTTTTCACATAAATGCCACCTGATGTCCTTCTCGTCTAAATGGTACCCGTTAATGTGCCGCTCCAACTGGCATTTTACTTTGGTTTTGAACGGGCATTGCTTACACTCGTGCCAAACCCCCTGCGCGTCCAAATGGTGAATGCTTATGTGTTTTTTTAAATTGGTATTTTGTTTAGCTTTGTATGGGCAGTGTTGGCACGCGTACCATTTAACGTGTTGTTCGTCCAAATGGCGCGCGTTTATATGCATTTTTAGGCTTGACCGGAATTTGGTTTTGTAAGGGCAGTCTTTACATTGGTACCATTTAATGTGTTGGGCGTCCAAATGGTGCGAGTTTATATGTCCTCTCAAAGTCATTTTTACTTTGGTTTTGAACGGGCATTCTTTGCATTCGTACCACTGCACTTCTTTGTCGTCTAAATGGTACAAATTCAAGTGGCTGTTTAACGACGCTTTGTATTTAGCTTTGTACGAGCATGTGTCACATTTGTACCACTTGGCGTCTTTTTCGTCTAGATGGCGCGCGTTTATGTGGTTTTTCAGCGTGGAGCTTTCTTTGGCTTTGTAGGAGCATTGGTCGCATTCGTGCCACTTCACGTCCTTTTCGTCCTTATGGCGCGAATTTATGTGGTTTTTTAAATACGCGAGTTTTCGCGCTTTGTATGGACAGTCTTTGCATTCGTACCATTTCACGTCCTTGTCGTCCAAATGGTGCGTGTTTATGTGGCTTTTTAAATTAACGATTTGTTTGGCTTTGTATGGGCAGTCCTTGCATTCGTACCACTGGACCTCCGTTTCGTCCAAATGGTGCGAAATTATGTGCTTTCGTAAATTGATTACTTGCTTGGTTTTAAAGGGGCAGTTTTGGCATTCGTACCATTTGATGTTGGTGTCATCAGTGTGTTGATTGTAAACGTGCGACTTTAAGCGACACTTCAGTTTAGATTTGTATGGACACTTGTCGCAGTGGTACCAACGTATTTCGTTTTCGGTTAAATGTTTCATGATTTTGTGTCTTCTTAAGTCGTGTTTGTATTTACCTTTATAAGCGCACTGGTCACATTTATTGTCGCACGTGATGGTGTGTCGCAGCCACTTGATCAAAAAGTGGGTTTCAAAGTTGCACTTTTCACAAATAAAATTCTTAATGGTGTATTCCTCCTTTGATAAAGGTTGTTTTACAATAGTGTGACGTTGTACATGTTGTTTGAAAGTGATTGTCAGTTCCGTATGGAAGTCACATTCCTTGCAGAAGTAGGTTTCAATGGTCGCATTTTCGCAGTTGAATGGGGTTAGAGTTGAGTGGTGACGCTTGACGTGGTTGAGCATGAGAAAAGGGGACGACGTGACGTAGGGGCACACTTTACAGTCGTGGATTTTGATGGGGGCTTCCACTAACCCACAGGACATTTTTGGCTTCCTAAATTGATTTGTTAGCTTATTGTTACATTATAAAACGAATATGGGTGTTTTTCTCACCTAATTCGGGGAAAAAACTGTGCGAAATAGTCTTCCCGTGAACATAACCTCAAAGTTGGGATTACGGTCAATCGTACGAATGTGCTAATTGTTGAATGGACGAAAGTTCGTATGGCCGGGATACTCAAATTTCGCTACAAATTTATTAGTGCAAATTAAAGATCATTTCATCGAACAACCAAATGAGGAGCAGTGTTGCCACCATTACCACAATCTGTCAAAAGTCGGCAAACCATAGAACTACAAATTATAGACCAAATTTAGATATTTTTATTTTTATAACATCATAATCGCATTAATCCATTTTATATCCTTATCACTAAAGTGACTTTTTTTTAAATGTGAGTGTAGCGTATCTTTCCTTTTAGTCTTATACGGACACTTTTCGCAGTGATACCACTTCACCTCACTGTCACACATATGTATACACTTAACATGTTTCCTTAAACTGCCCCTATGAACTGATTTAAACGAACACTGACCACATGAATATTTCTTTCCGTCTTGATGCCACTTAATCACGTGCGCTTTCAAGCGCTCCTTATTCATCACCATGAGTGAACACTTTCCACATTTCAGCGGCCCATCTTCACTGTGTTTATTCCTCATGTGGACTTTCATTGCGAACTTATACTTAGTTTTGTGTGCACATTTCAAGCACTGATGCCACCTGATTTTTTCGTTTGAATGCACGTTTAATACGTGCTTTCTTAAATAATACGCGGTTTTGGTTTTCTGTGAGCAGAGTTTACATTGGTGCCACTGGATGTCTTTCTTGTCTGTATGACTATGTCTGTGAATTTTTAAATTGTGTTTGTGTCTCGTTTTGTACGAACACTTTTCACACTGATACCATTTGATGTCTTTTTCGTCTGCGTGTTTGTTGTACATGTGATTTTTTAACCAAGATATAGTTTTGGTTTTAAATTGGCATTTTTCACACTGATGCCACTTGATGTCTTTTGGGTCTGTGTGCCTGACGTAGTTGTGTCTGGTCAACATGCTTCTGAATTTGGTTTTGTACTCACATTGGTCACAGTGGTACCAACCGGACGCACTTCTCCGCACTTTGCGTCCGTGCGTGGACTTTTTGAAGTCCGTTTGTTTCTTTGTTTGTGGACACGTTACTGCGTGCTGGAGCCACTTTATTGCAAAATAGGTTTCGAAACTGCAACTTTTGCAACCGTAAGTCTGGATAACGTAACTGATGTCTGAGGGCTCTGTGGGGTTGTTTTTGTTCAAGTGGCACTTCTTAATGTGCTCTGTTAAAATGATGGTAAGACTGGTCTGGAAATTGCAGTCGTCGCAGTGATAAGTTTCTAGACTATTTTCGCAGCCAAAAGGTACCAGTGAAGAGTGATTACGTCCAGCGTGGTTTATCATCAAAAATGGTAATGTTGTGAAGTAGGGGCAGATCTGGCATTTTTCAACAATGTTGTTCGACTTCCCGTTGGAAAACTTCTCAGAGTAGACCAATGTTGACATCTAATTACACGCATTATTATTATTATCTAGTAAGACAAGTGTTACGTTTTCTCACCTTATATTTGTATAAAAAGTCTTCACAAAGGAAATAACACCTGTTAGAACATATTTGGTTTTGAGGTTAGAATTTTGTAGGTTATATCTGGTTACATGAAGGTCGATTTACAAACTTGCCGCTGACGTTGGGTTTTCAACCAATCAAATTGCAGGAGGGCGCAGCGGTGCCAACTTGAAGGAAAATCCCCTGAAGTAAGGGGGCATTTTTTTATTCCACGAAAATTAAATTATCCACTAATATTAACCCATTTAAACACCTGTTCACCAATGTTTAAAATGGTACTTTTTTCTAGGAAAGTATCGATTTTGCAATTAGGCCCCGCCCTCGGTCTGACAACGAATGGGAAGGGCTTAATTTTTGGCTTGTTTTTTTTCTTAATTTACATAGTATTCTTTCAAAAACACGATACTCAATAAATGTTTTTCATTTCTCGTAGACAAATAAGGATTTTGCAGTTAAGCTTCGCCGTCTTGGCTCACGACGAATGAAAAAAATCATTACAAGTGAGATAGGGTGGGTGGGCGGGGCTTATATTTTGCCCTTTTTTCTTAATATACATAGCCATCTTTTCACAACGAAAAACTTAGAACATGGTTAAAATAGTACACTTTTAGAAGGAAATATGGATTTTGCAATTATGGGGCGGAGCCAAATTGCAAAATCGATATTTCCTTGTACAAATTTTTCATGTTTTAAGTTCCATGTTGTAAAAAAAAGTCTACACAATCATATTAAAACAAAAAGATAAAATGTAAGCCCGCCCACCCGCCCTGTTTCAATTGTGATGATTTTTTTTTATTCACCGTGAAGCAAGAGGGCGGAGCTTAACTGCAAAATACTTATTTTCACAGGAAATTAAAAACATGTTTTTGAGCTCCACTTTCTTGGCTTACGACGAATAAAAAAAATTTCATCACAATTGAGACAGGGTGGGTGGGCGGTACTTATATTTTGCCTCTTTCTCTTAATATGTGTAGTCATCTTTTAACGAAAAGAAACTTAAAACATGTTAAAATGGTAAATCTATATAAGGAAATATCAATTTTGCAATTACGCTCCGCCCCTCGGTCTGACAACGAATGAAAAATTCATCACGATTGAGATCGAGACCGATGGGTGGGGATTCTCTTTTAGTGTTCCTTTTTAATTAATACATTTAATTTTCTTTGTATAACACGATTACTTAAGTACATATTTCAGACGGTCATTTCTCGTAGAAAAATAAGGACTTTACAATTAAACTCCGCCTCTCGGCTTACGACGAATAAAGAAAAATCATCAGAATTGAGATAGGGCGGGTGGGCGGAGCTTATATTTTGCCCTTTTTTCTTAATATACATATCCACCTTTTCACAACAAAAAACTTAGAACATGGTTAAAATAGTACACTTTTACAAGGAAATATGGATTTTGCAATTATGGGGCAGAGCCTAATTGCAAAATCGATATTTCCTTATACAAATTTTCCATGTTTTAAGTTCCATGTTGTGAAAAGAAGTCTACACAATCATATTAAAACAAAAAGGCAAAATGTAAACCCGCCCACCCGCCCTATCTCAATTGTGATGATTTTTTTTATTCGCCGTGAAGCAAGAGGGCGGAGCTTAACTGCAAAATACTTATTTCTTTACAAGAAATTAAAAACATGTTTTTGAGTGTTGTGTTATTCAAAGAATACCATATATATTTAGAAACAAAGCCAAAATATAGACCCCGCCCACCCACCCCATCTCAATTATGATGACATTTTTTTATTGTTAGAAACTTGTAACATGTTTAAAATGATAAATTTATTTAAGAAAATATGGAATTTGGCAATTAGGCTCCGCCTCTAGATTTTGCCAACGAATGAAAACTGACTTACTATTTAGATCAGGGCAGATATGGGCGGAGCTTAATCTTTGGCATTAATTGTTTCCTAGTATACATAGTATTCTTTGAATAATATGATCCTCAAAAACATGTCGTAGAGAAATACGGATTTTGCAGTTAAGTTCCGCCTTCTTGGCTCACAACGAATAAAAAAAATCATCACAATTGACACAGGGTGGGTGGGCGGGGCTTATATTTTGCCTTGTTTTTTAAATGTGTGTAGACTTATTTCGAAAACAAGAAACTTAAAACATGTCTAAAATGGTAAATATTTGTAGTAATCAACTTAAATCCTCCTATCAAAGGTAACTTGGCAACAGTGTTTATAAATGACAATTTTCAGCTCTAAAAGCAACGTCAGCGGAGACAACAACTGCAACGGGAACTTCAACGTCAACAGCAAGTTTGTGAATCTGACTTTAGACTGGGTACGTTCAGATTTTTTTATAAAGCTTGCAAGAAGCCACTAAACAAAAAACGAACGGTTTTTATATCAAACAGAAATTAGTCGAATATATAAATATTAAAAGCACATTCAAACAAAATAAAAATATTTAAAATTCGGTGCTTTTTCACTTATCGGTATTGTTGGTTGCCTACCTAAAATGTTTTAATAAAATTTGAAAAATTGGCGGCTACAAAAACTTTTATTGCACAATTAATGTAGGAGTTTAGAAGAAAGAGATATACATATCTGACTTAATCAACTTCAGTTTAAAAAATAAAATTGCAGATTGGAATGTAAAAGTGTTGTGGGGACGTTAAAAAAATGAAAATCAAATTTAAACGTAAAATTTTCTGTTGAGATGTGGAGGAAGAGAAATTTTAAGATTTTAATAAAAATATTAATACATAACATCATAATGTCCTTGATCCATGCACTATTATTATTATTATTGACTTTGAGGTTAGAATTTTGTAGAGTAAATTGGGCTGGGTACGTTCAGATTTCTGCGTAAGGGTTATGAAAAGTCATAACAACGAGAGACGTATAAAGCATATAGACACCAACAACTAACTTTAATATTTACATAACACAAACCATTACATTATTTTTACTAAAAATACAATTTCATAACTTCACTAGTGTTTTTTTTCTGTCTTGATGCGACTTACGCATGTGCGCTTTTAAGCAGTCCTCATTCTTCAGCGTGAGTGAACACTTTTCACACTGCAGTCGCTCAACTACACTGTGTATATTTTTCATGTGCACTGTCATGGCACCCTTATATTTAGTTTTGTGTGCACACTTCTCACACTGATACCACCTTTTACCATCTGAATGTTTGTTGTGTATGTGTTGTCTCAAATATCTTTTCATTTTGGTTTTGTGGGAACAGAGATTACATTGGTACCATTGGATGTCACTCTCGTCCGTATGACTATATTTGTGAGCTGTTAAATAGTTTTTGATCCGCGTTTTGTACGAACATTTGTCACACTGATGCCATTTGGTGTTTTTGTCGTCTGCATGTTTGCGCTTCATGTGACTTTTTAAGCACGGTATAGTTTTGGTTTTAAAGGAACACTTTTCACACTGACGCCACTTGATGTCTTTAGGGTCTATGTGTCTAACGTATCTGTGGGTTCTGAGGGTGCGTCTGTGGGTGGTTTTGTAGTCACAGTGATCGCAGTTGTACCAACCTGAAGCATCTCTTATTATGTGGAACTTTGCAGACTTGTTGTCCTCGTGTTCACCTATTGAACAGTTGCTTTGTTGACATATTGTGTTGTGCTGTAGCGACTTTAGTGTAAAATAGGTTTCGAAGCTACAATTTTTGCAACTGTAATTCTGGAAATCAGGTGGATTTTTCAGGTTATTTGTTTGATTCAAGTGGCACTTTTTAATGTGTTCCTTAAAAAGAATGGTAAGACTGGTCTGGAAGTTGCAGTTGTTGCAACAATAAATTTCCAAATTGTTTTCGCAGATAAACGATACCAGCGAAGAGTGATGTCGTCCAACGTGCTTTACCATCAAAAATGGTAATGTTGTGAAGTAGGGACAAACCTGGCATTTCTGAACAACGTTAGATTTCACGAACATTGTTTTCACTTTTGACTTTGAGGTTAGATTGGACTGGGTACGTTCAAAATCAAAGCAATTTGGACTATTAATAACACTCTATTTTATTTCTACGTTTATATTTATTTCACTTTCGCTATCGTATCACAAGAGGTCGCTCAAACTGCAACGAGCGTAAACACAAGAGTCTTTACATCTTTGTAAATTTATTTATGACAAAATTAAACACATGTATTTTCAAATATGACAAACTAAAAACAAGGTAAATTTTTCGTACTGTAAAACCACGAGTTAATTAATTTATAAATCTAGGTTAACCAAAATGTCGACCCTGGAATACTCTTCGAAGTTCTCAATCACATGCAAGATTTGCCCCTACTTTACAACATCACTTTTTCTAATGTCAAACCACGTCGCACGTCACTCATCACCGAATCTTTTCAACTGCGAAAACACCCACATTGAATTATATCACTGCAAAGACTGCGACTTCCAAACAGACCTAACCCTACTTTTAATCAAGCACGTCAAACGACACCACAGCTTCAAAAACGAAGACGTGGAAGACCCCAAATACACAATCCAAAACTACCTTTGTGAAAAATGCAACTTCGAGACACACTTTTTGTTCAAGTGGATCCAGCACTCAACCACGTGTCTGTCAAAACCAAAGCTCGATATGTGTTTAAATCAATACCACTGCAAACACTGTTCGTACACGACCACCATAAGCCGATATTTGTCCCAACACATCAAAAACAAGCACTTGAACGACCAAGACATCAAGTGGCACGCGTGTGACCAATGCCCATACAAAGCTAAACACAAAAGTAGCTTGCGGTTTCACATAATCAACAAACACTTAAGCGAAGACGAAATTCAGTGGTTTTACTGTGAGTATTGTCCGTTTAAAGCTAAGGACCAGCGGTGGGTAAAAAGACACGTGAAATCACACTTCACCACTAAAATATACGAATGCAAAAAGTGTGTCTACAAATGTAAAACGAAGCCGGATTTACGCCAGCACACGAAACTGGAACATTCCAAGAACACCGTGTATAAATGGCACAAATGTGACCAGTGCCAGTTTCAAACCAAAACAAAAAAAGTTTTGAAGCAGCACATAATCAACAAACATTTGAGTCAAGACTCGGACGACATTACGTGGTATGAATGCAAAAAGTGCCCTTATAGAGGTAAAGCGAAAGCCTATTTTCAAATGCACCAAAGAATTGTGCATGCCGACAGCCAGAACGTAAAGTTGTACAAGTGTGATTTATGTTCCTATGAAACTAAGATAAAAAGGTATGTGCAACGACACAAAAATAACGTGCATTTAAGCGACGATCAGAAAAATAAAAAGTTGTATGTGTGTGAAAAATGTCCTTATAGAGGTAGGCTGAAGGAGTATTTACAAGCCCATGAAAAAATGGTGCACCCAGATAAGGATTTTAAGTGGTTTAAATGCGACCAGTGCTCGTTTGAAACCAAGACGAAGGTGTGTTTGAAACGACACGTGGTTAACAAGCACGTCAATGACAAGGAGATCGAGTGGTTTGAATGTGATAAGTGTCCCTATAGAGCTAAGTCTGGTGCGTACTTAAGGAAACACACGAAAAATAAACATTTAAGTGACAAGTCGTAACACATTCTACTGTATTATATTAAAATTGTAATTGAAAATTAAAAACTCAAATTTCAAAAATAATTTATTCATTTATTGGAATGACATTTTGTTTTTAAATTACAAATCACGTTTTTTCGTTTCCGTGCTTGGCGTTCACATGCTGCTTTAACTTGTTGTTGTACTTCGACTTATACGAACATTGTTCACAGTGATACCACGTGATTTCATCTTCACTCACGTGTTTCGTACTAATGTGCAACTTTATCGACCTCAGGTGTTTAGTCGCATACGAACATTTCTCACACCGGTACAATTTAATCTCGTTCTCGCTCAAGTGGTGGTTGTTTATATGTTCCTTTAAATTTTTTTTAAGCTTCGCTTTATACGTGCAATGCTCACACTTGTACCAGTTGATGTCCTTCTCGTCCAAATGCACCGTCGTTACGTGATCCTTCAACGTATTTTTCCGTTTCGCTCTATACGAGCACTTTTCACACTGAAACCACTCGGTTTCGCTTTCACTCAAATGCTGGCTGTTTATGTGCAGTTTTAGTGTGTAGTTTCGTTTGGTTTTGTACGGGCACTTTTGACATTCGTACCATTTGATGTCTTTGGCGTCCATATGGTGCACTTGTCTGTGGACAGTCAGATACCTTTTATTTTTGGCTTTGTAAGCGCACTCGTCACACTGGTGCCACTGGATTTCGTCCACTTTCAGGTGTTTGGCGATTTTGTGGTCGCGTAGGTGTCTGTACATGGTTTTATAGTCGCACTGGTCACACTTGTACCACTTGCCGTCTTTTTTGCCGTTTTTCGGGGTGTCTTTGCTGAAGTGGACCCTGACTTTGTGCATTTCAATCGATTTTGGAAATTTTGACTTATAGGAGCATTGGTCACAGTGAAGTAGTTTATTTTCGTTTGAAACTAGATTATTTCTGACGCAAGTTCTTATATGCTGAAGCCACTTTAGTGGAAAATAGGTTTCGAAAGTGCAGTTCTTGCAAATGTAACTGTCAACGTTGTAGATTTCATTCGGATTTTCTAGTTTAATTTTGTGCGACTTCTCCATGTGTTTTTTTAGGAAAATGGTTAAGTCGGTTTGGAAAGTGCAGCCCTTGCAGTGGTACTTTTCAATGTCGGTCTCACAGTGGAAAGATGTAGGGTACGAGGTCATTTTAGAACGAGAAATCAATATTTACAATTGGTTAAAAATTAATTAGTGTGTATTTGCTCGTAGACACTTTATTTGACACTATTTTATTATTTAATGCATTGGTGGTAGTCGAAATTTGAATATTTATACAAATTTATTACGAAATTGTTTCACAACATAACCTCAAAACGAGCTATGTGTCATAAAGCGAGGTTATGGGGTACGTTCACGATTTGATTTATTACAACATAGGCAACCAACAATGCACGAAATTACAAACAAGTCATTCAGTTGCATGTGTTTTAATTAAATGTTTATTCAAGTTTTGCTTTCGCTTCGTCCTAAAACGACACTTTTGGCACTGAAACCACTCAACTTCGCCTTCATTCACATGTTTCAGTTTCACGTGGCTTTGTAAACTAAACTTGTCCTTACATTTATAAGTGCACTTGTCACACTGATTCCACTTAATTTCACTATCACCTAAGTGTTTATTAACTATGTGTCTTTTCAACGCACTTTTATACTTGCTTCGAAAAACACATTTGTCACAATTCCACCACACGATTTCGCTTTCATTTAAATGTATATTACGTAGGTGGCTTTTCAAATATTTTATATTCGTTGCTTTGAACGAACACTGGCTGCATTCATACCACTTTACATCCATTTCATCAGCATGAACCGTCGTCGTGTGATCATTTAAAAAATTCTCGTGGCGCGTTTTGTACGAACACTTTTCGCACCGGTACCACTTTTTGTTCGAATGTAGCGTCCCCACGTGGCTCTTCAAGTACACTTTCAGTTTGGTTTTGAACGGACACTTGTCACACTGAAACCACTCAGTTTCGCTGTCGCTTAAATGCTGAGTGCTTATGTGGAGTTTGAGCGTGTGGTTTCGTTTGGTTTTGAATTGGCACTTCTCACACTGGTGCCATTTAATGTGTGTCGGGTCCACATGGTGCATCTGTCTATGGAGCGTCAGATACCTCTTATTTTTGGCTTTGTAGTCGCAGTCGTCGCACTCGTGCCACTGGATTTCGTCGTCTTTTAGATGTTTGGTGATTTTGTGGTCCCGCAGGTGTCTGTACATGGTTTTGAAGTCGCACTGGTCACACTTGTACCACTTGCCGTCTTTTTTGCCGTTTTTTGGCGAGTCTTTGTTGAAGTGGGCGCGTATTTTGTGCATTTCGAGCGACTTTGGTAATTTTGATTTGTAGGGGCACTGGTCACAATGAAGGACTTTGTTTCCGTTGTTTGGGGTACACGTTGTCGTATGTTGGAGCCATTTTAGTGGAAAGTATGTTTCAAAAGTGCAGTTCTTGCAAATGTAACTCTTAACGGTGTAGATTTCGTTCGGACCATTCTCTGAAATGGTTTTGTAGCACTTTTTGGTGTGTTTTTTGAGAAATATGGTTAAAGCTGCTTGGAAATTGCACCTCTTGCAGTGGTAATTTTCGATGTTCAGTTCACAGTTGTAAAATTTACGGTGCGGAGGCATTTTTATATTGTTTAAAAAATTGTTACTGTGGATTTTTAATTAATACATCTGGGATTGTTATTGTTGATACAAATTTATTTTGACAACATAACCTCAAAAAGTACTCACTTGACATAACAAGGTGTAGGGTACGTTCACGATCCGCAGCCGCTGCAGAACAAACTTCTGATTTGTTGATCCATAAATATTCTGCTATCATCAAATATTTCAAGTTTATCATACTTAATCGTTTGGTTAAATATAAATCAGTAGAAATAATCAAACAACTAAATTATTCAAATGTCGATTATCAACTGTCAACAATCTCTAGGTACTTTTTAGTTTGTAGGTTTGCAAAAATTTGGAGGTTATGTTTGAGAACAGCATTCTCAGAAACAAATTTAATTGAAAGAAATGTTGCGTCCAGAAGATTCAAAGAACTTTGTTTACTTAAAGTCTCTCCATCGCTGCAAAATGTGCCCCTTCTTCACCACTTCGACCACTCTCATGCTAAACCACGCCAGAAGTCACGGTTCATCCCTCCAACTCTTCGACTGCGAAAGCGCCACAATTGAAACGTACTCCTGCAAGGACTGTACCTTCCGAACAAATCTAGCCATAGTATTAAAAAAACACAACGAAAACCACGACCACACTAATCGAAACAACTTTGAAAACGGTCTCCAAGGACACGTTTGTCCCAACTGCGAATTTAAAACCCACTTCGTGCTAAAACAGCTCCAACACGTACTGGAATGCCTGGATAAACAACACCAAAAGTGGCACGAATGCAACCAATGCAGCTACAAATCCAAAGACAAACGTAGCTTAACCGACCACAAAATCTCAAAACACTTGAGCGACGACGAAATCCACTGGTTTACGTGTGAACAGTGTCCGTACAGAGCCAAGAAGAAAAAATATTTGAAAAGACACATCTACGCCCATCATTCCGAAGACCAAGTGATTAAATGGTATGAATGCGAACTGTGCCCGTACAAAACCAAATTTAAAGCATGCTTGCAACAACACGAACACTCCAAACATAAAAAGAACCATCAGTGGTACAAGTGTGATAGTTGCTCTTATCAGACTCCGACGAAAGGTCACTTGAAACGACACGTCATCCACAAACACCAACCTGAGAAGGAAATCCACTGGTATGAGTGTGAAACGTGTCCGTATAAAGCTAAGACTAAGAACTTGCTTACTAATCACATGAACTGTGTTCATCCGGATGGCAAAGAGGTGAAGTGGCATCAGTGTGACCGGTGTCCATATAAAACTGTACGTGCGTATAAATTAAAGTCACACATTATTAATAAACACTTGGGGGACCACGAAGTCCAGTGGTTCTATTGTGACAAATGCAACCATAAAACTAAGTGTAAGTATTCGCTAAAGGCGCATACGAGGACGCATTTGAGTGATGGCGAGGTGGAGTGGCATGAGTGCCAAGAGTGTGGGTTTAGGACGATGTATAAGACTGCGCTGAAAAGACATGTGAGTGGGCGACATTTGAAACAAAAATGATTAATAAATAAATAATTATTTATGTTGTGTTGATTTGTGTATTTAGACAACCCTCAATACGTGATGTGAGCCCACGTTTGAGTACTTCTGGTTAATCCCCGCCTATCGTCTAGTGACATTTCATTCCACTCGGTTGCCCATTATCTGGTTATAATTATAAATAATTTTAAATTATCGCAACAAATTCATCACTTTGAGTATCCACATTGTACACATTCGTGTCTGATTATTGTTTAAAATTGTTTATTGTTGCGACTGCAATTTTTAGTCAACGGGAATAAAATTTGAGGTTATGTTTGTGATTTTTTTCAAACATAGTGGATCGAATTTTCATCAAACCTTGGTAAAACACGTACACAATTACCGTTACAACATAACGGCAGTCGTATTTTTTTTCAGGTGGAGCGAAATGTCCAAGGTAGAATGTTCAGACAAATTGGCTTCGTTTGAAAGTCCCATGCTACTTTTTAACTGCGAAAATGCCAACATTGAAGCGTACCGTTGCAAAGACTGCGACTTTCAAACGGAGCTGACGCTGATTTTTAAACAACACGTGGTGAAGTGCCCAGAAAAGCAAGATCTGAAGTACGAATTTGCCCTAAAAAAATTTATTTGTGAGAAATGCAGCTTCGACACTTATTTTATAATGAAGTGGCTTCAGCATAGAGCGGTTTGTTGGGGGAATAAAAAGCCCCGATTGACAAATTTGTACTTGTGTGATTTTTGTGAGTTCAAATCCAAGTACAAAGGTGTGGTAAAATTCCACAAAATTGCGAAACACGTGAACGACGATGACATCTTGTGGTATTATTGTCCATCGTGCCCATACAAAGCTAAACAGAAATCCTATTTAAAAAATCACGTAAATTCGCAGCACTTGGACGACGAATATATCAACTGGTACAAATGTGATAAGTGCCCGTTCAAATCCAAGCAAAAATGTAACTTAAAAAGTCACATAAACGCGCGACATTTGAACTCAGAGGACATGAAATGGTACAAATGCAAAGACTGTCCATACAAAACCAAAAGAAAAACCATTTTAAACGAACACGTGATTTTGAGACACTTGGACGAACAATACGTCACGTGGTTTGAATGTGACAAGTGTCCATACAGAACTAAAGTACCGTCAGCTTTGAAACGTCACACAACCAAGCAACATTACTTAGATGAGAAGGACATTAAGTGGCACGAATGCAGCCACTGTCCTTACAAAGCTAAATCAAAAGAACTTTTAAAACGGCACCTGAATTCGCATCATATGGAGGAAAAGGACATTAAATGGTACGAATGCACAAGCTGTTCATACAAAAGCAAGTGTAATTCGAACTTGAGAAAACACATGCAAGCGCTGCATTCAAATGAACGGGATATTAAATGGTATGAATGTAAAAAGTGTCCATATAAAGCTAAGAGAAACGCGTATTTGAAAAACCATATAAAACAGCATCACTTGGATGAAAAGGAGGTTAATTGGTACGAATGCCAAAAGTGTTCGTACAAGAATAAACTGAAAATGAACTTGAATAGCCATGTAAAGAGAAGGCACTAAAATATATATTTTTTTAAATAAGCTGATTTTGTTTGACGTACTTTTGAATTTGCCGCCATTGTACTAAACTATCTTTAATTTAGATGGCGCTAGCGATCTAAGTTGAATATTACAAAAATTTACGATTTTATTAGACATGTTTTAAGTTTCTTCTTGTCGAAATAAGTCTACACATGTTAAGAAAAAACAAGGCCAAATATAAGCCCCGCCCACCCACCCTCTTTCAATTGTGACGATGTTTTTTATTCGTCGTGAGCCAAGAGGGCAGAGCTTAACTGCAAAATCCTTATTTCTCCACGAAAAATTAAAAACATGTTTTTGAATATGGTGTTGTTTAAAGAATGCTCTGTATATTAGCATTTACCAATTTTAAACATGTTTTAAGTTTCTTGTTGTGAAAAGAAGGCTATGTATATTAAGAAAAAAAGCCAAAATATAAGCTCCGCCCACCCACCCTATCTCAATTGTGATGAAATTTAATTGCAAAATCCTTATTATTTCTCTACAAGAAATTACCACGTAAAACATGGTTTTAAGTATCGTGTTATTCAAAGAACACTATGTATATTAAGAAAAAATGAAAGCGAAAGATTAAGTCCCACCCACATCTACCCTGATCTGGGCTTGAAATAGTATTAAAGTTTTCATTCGTTGTCAGACCTAGGGGCGGAGCCTAATTGCAAAATCCATATTTCCTTACAAAAATTTACCATTTTAAATGTGTTTTAAGATTCTAAGAATAAAAAAAATATCATCACAATTGAGATGGGGTGGGTAGGCGGGGTTCATATTTTGAATTTTTTCTTAATATACGTAGTATTCTTTGAACAACACGATATTCAAAAACATGTTTTTAATTTCTTGTAAAGAAATAAGTATTTTGCAGTTAAGCTCCTTGGTTCACGGCGAATAAAAAAAATTATTACAATTGAGATAGGGCGGGTGGGTGGGCTTACATTTTGCGTTTTTGTTTTAATATGATTGTATATACTTCTTTTTACAACATGGAACTTAAAACATGGAAAATTTGTATAAGGAAATATCGATTTTGCAATTAGGCTCCGCCCCATAATTACAAAATCCATATTTCCATGTAAAAGTGTACTATTTTAACCATGTTTTAAGTTTTTTGTTGTGAAAAGATGCCTATGTATGTTAAGAAAAAAAGGGCAAAATATAAGCCCCGCCCACCCACCCTATCTCAATTGCAATGATTTTTTTTCATTCGTCGTGAGCCAAGAAAGCGCAGCTTAATTGCAAATCCTTGTTTTTGAAAGAATACTATGTATATTAAGAAAAGAAAACAAGCCAAAAATTAAACCCCACCCATATCCATCACAAGGTTAATTGTGATGAATTTTTCATTCGTTGTCAGAGCGAGGGCGGAGCCTAATTGCAAAATCGATACTTTCCTACAAAAAAGTACCATTTTAAACACGTGATTAAATGGGTTAATATTAGTGGATAATTTAATTTTCGTGAAATAGTGCTGTCAACCAGAAAAATGCCCCCCTTACTTCAGGCACTCAGGGGATTGTCCTTCAGGTTGGCAGCACTACACCCTCCTGCAATTTGATTGGTTGAAAACCCAAAGAAATAAGTATTTTGCAGTTAAGCTCCGCCCTCTTGGTTTACGGCGAATAAAAACAATCATCACAATTGAGATAGGGCGGGTGGGCGATTTTAAATTGTGCCTTTTTGTTTTAATATGTGTAGATTTCTTTTTACAACATGAAACTTAAAAAATATATCAATTTTGCGATTAGGCTCCGCCTCATAATTGCAAAATCCATATTTAGGAAATTTAAATTTAATGTATGTTGACTTCTTTTCACAACAAGAAAATTAAAACATGTTGAAAATAGAAAATTTGTATAAGGCGATATCGTTAGGCTCCGCCCCATAATTATAAAATCCATATTTTCTTGCAAAAATGTACCATTTTAACCATGTTTTAAGTTCTTGTTGTGAAAAGATTGCTATGTATATTAAGGAAAAAAAGGCAAGATATAAGCGCCGCCCACCCACCCTGTCTCAATTGTGATTATTTTTTTATTCGTCGTGAACCAAGGGGGCGGAGCTTAACTGCAAAATACTTATTTCTATACAAGAAATTAAAAACATGTTTTTGAGTATCCTGTTATTCAAAGAATAGTATGTATATTAAAAAAAAACACGCCAAAATATAAGCCACGCCCACCCACTCTGTCTCAATTCTGATGATTGTTTTTATTCGTTGTAAATTCCTTATTTTTCTACGAGAAATAACCATGTGAAATGTTCTTAAGTACTCATGTTATTCAAAAAAAACTAAAAATTAATTAAAAAAGAAAACCAAAAGATCTCGATTTCAATCGTGATCAATTTTTCATTCATTGGCAGACCGAGGGGCGCAGCGTAATTGCAAAATCGATATTTCCCTATACAAATTTACCATTTCATACATGTTTTAAGTTTCTTGTTGTGAAAAGATGGGGACACATATTAAGAAATCAATGCAAAATATAAGCCCTGCCCACCCGCCCTGTCTCAATTGTGATGACTTTTTCATTCGTTGTCAGACCGATGGGCGGAGCCTAATTGCAAAATCGATACTTTTCTATGAAAATTTACCTTCAACGGCGAACAACAACGTTTATAAATCGACTAAGGTTTATCATTTGCACGAAAAACAATTTTAGTAAACATTGTAACTTAAAGTGTGTATATTTGGTTGCCTACCACGAGATCAATTTTGACACCTAGTAGGGACTTTTACATTTTACGTCATTTATATGGCAAATAATCATTCAAATTCGTTTAATAAAATATGTATATGTATTTTTATGAATTCTAAAAACGGCAATCAATTTTAAAACATTTTCTGTTGAAAACAATGCGACGCTTGTTGGATGGACCGGACGCTCAAACCAACCTAACCTCAAAAAAATTCAGCAAAAAAAAATCAAAAAACTATGCAGACAAGTTTTTGCACAATATTGACCCGCGTGCACATTCCACGCACGTTTTCTTATTAATTTCAGAACGTAAGTTACGTTTGTGACGTTAAGGCTCGCGTCTGGATCGGTTTCGCCCTATACTAAATACATTGAAAACATCGTCGTGGTTTCCGGAGTTGCATTTTAAAAATACGGGATATATCGCTTTAAAAAAATTATATTTCGAATTAACAAACTTGAGTCCAGGGGACCTCCATATTTATATTCATATCTAGTCCGCAGTTTTTACAAAAAAAAAATATAAAGTTGACCAATTTTTACACCAGATTTAACCGGTACATTGATGCATTTTTTGAAGAAGTGCTGAAGTGATTTGCATTCTGAGATAGGAGGTCCCCTGGGGAAAAGTGTCAGCTTTCTTTTGATACCATTTATAATCCTAAAAAATTCACGACTGAGGTAAATAACTCTCGAAAAGACAGAATCTGTTGAAACGAGAAATCGCCATTAAACGCGCTATGATGCCGTAGCAGAATACAGGTTTACTTAGATTCTGGTTTGGTTGCAGACTTAATTTAATGTGGACCTTGTCCACCAGGGGGAGCTGTTTTTACTCAGCGATTTATCGGAATAAAATTTTGATATCGCATTTCCGATTTTACAATACCATTTCGGTTTTTAGAAGTGACAAAATAACGTATCCATCCAGTGGCGTAACAATCAAACTGCGGGCCTGTGTTCTACAACACTGTGGGACCCCTAATGAACAGCGAAATAAAAATATTTAACAATACGAGTATAATGAGTAAAGAATGAGTAGATTGCAATTAGCGCTAACGTTTTATTAAAATCATTCTACCTGAAACATTGAATTAAAAAAATAAAATACAATAATTACCTGAAGAAATATAATTAAAATATATACAATATTAGAAACTAGCCGACCCGCCAAACGTTGTTTTGGCATTTCTAGTGAATATTTTGGTACACAGTTAAATAAAAAATTAAATTAAAATAAATACATAAAAATTTATCGTACGACAATGATTATATTCAATGGTCATCTTGCAACCCTATTACGCATCTGTGGATGAAAGCAAAGATACTCATATCGTTATTAAAAAATGGGGGTTGGTGGTAGAAGGGTCAAAATTTAGGGTTATATGTATTTTTTGATGGCAAATCTTAAAAAAATAAAAATAAAAAATGTCTAAAAAATAAAAAAAGTTTGGTGGGTCACCCTTATCACTTAGGGGTTTAAAAAATAGTTTACTAGACCTACCGAATATACACAAAAAAATTCATAAAAATCGGTCAAGGCGTTTCGGAGGAGATTGGTTACAAACACTGTGACACCAGAATTTTATATTAGATTATTTTAGAAAAAAATTCTTTACCATAAAAAAGGTTATACTGAGTCGACCTTAAAAGATTGACGTATGCTGTCGCGGACTTTTTTTTAGAACTTTTAGAAGGGAACAATTCCATCATACATGATTTTTATGTAACTTTAACCGTTTAATACAGCAACGGAAGCTGTCAAAGGACGAATAATTTTCCCGTTTTTCCGATATTTTTTCATTCTATAATAATTTCCCAGTCCAGTTTTTTTTCTACTTAAAAAATTAGTTGTAACATACGTCAGATATATTTTATTATTCCAAAAAAGCACCACAAGTACAAAATTAAAATAGTTTTGAAAATACGAAAATTTTCATAAAACACAACTGAAACTGATTTTTTTTTTTCACGTTTTATTACAGCATGAAGTTTCACTGTAGAACTGAGGACAAAATTTTTTATTTTGTTGTCTTGCATCATAAATTAGTCATACTTTTGTCGGATAAAGATTGGTAATTTACTACATGGGGTGTTAGATTTGCTACAATGGGATTGCGACACTGCGACAGGTTTATTACAAACAGATGCTGCTGCATTTTCGACCGCCGGTGCCTGTCGCTAAAACCCGAGTTTATTGAGTCTATGATATTGAATCTTTAGTTGATTGTTTATTTTTTTCAACATTTTCTACAATTTCAGAAATTATGGATTCAATAAACTTATGTGTTTTTTTACTGTTTGTACAATTTTTTGTACTAATTGCACGTTTTGTTTTTTTTTTGCGTAGATAAAATTTGTCACGAGCCATTATTATAAAATAAGGTGTAACAACAAAAATATAGTGCAAATAATTTGTAAGTGGACGACCGAAACTATGTTTTAGGCAGACACTGACAAAGTGGTAGTAACATTGGCAACTGTTCCAAAACTGAGTTTTGCCGAAAAAAGGTACTTTACGTGCATTTCAAACAATTACATTCATAGGACTCGACCATTTCTACCAGCCAGATGTAAACAACCACCTACAATAAATTTAACAACTTTTGTTTGTCACCGGAAGTGGGACTGGTATTGCGGACTGAAATTATCCCTTGTACACGCTTTCGACTCCATTTGAGTAACAATTTTTTTCCGAATTTAAAATTACGTTCAAGCTGTTGTTCAAGCCTAAAATTTAAAATTAAATCTTTCCGAAACAGTATGACAAATATGTAGTGAACAAAAAATATTTACACCTTATACAAAAAAATGAGGTTTACGATGCGCAAGCATATGATATACGTAAAATTAAAAGTGCAAGTCAAAGTTAATATGCATTAAAAATAGCAGCTGCTTCTATTAAAAATTTAAAATTAATTATTTAAATCCTTACAAAACGATATACTAACAAACAGTTTAAGCAAAGTCAAATTTTTAAACAAACTGCCTTCTGCCATGCAGTTAGCCGCCAAAATAATTAACATGAATATTTTAGTACTTACATAAAAAACCACCGTTGAATGCTTAGAATTACTTGCACACAACGTACTAATGATTTACGTTGAAGAAAGTAAAAAATTTTGCTATGTGGCTAATAGCTTCAAGGACACGTTATTATTCATTTTCAAACGATTGCGGCTAATAATTTTAACAATTTATTGTTATTTACTTGGTAAATATATTTTTATTTTTATTACTATTGTTTTGTTGCAAACGATAAAGTAAATAACAAAACCAAACTCTTATACATTATTAAGTTTAAGAAAAATTTTCCGCCAAAAATATTCTATTTGTAATGAATGGGCGTGTCCGACAGTGCAGATAGTAGGAAAATAATAATAACCCTCTATATGCAAATCCAAAGTATTTACTTATACCGGAAATATTGTTAATTCTCTTATTTCAAGTTTGGCCTACAAATGTGGAAAATCCCTCCCGTTCGTAAATAGTACCTTGGCGCGACCAATTTTTGCTTTACATGATGTTCCTGTAATTCAGACAAACAACACATCCTTGATAGGAATAAATCACATATCTACAGATAATTCCCCGACAGTAGGAGGTACCTACTTTAATATTTACATATATTTAATATATTTACCGAAAACAATTTAAGTACGGAAACAAAATAAATAACTGGAAAGAATTAACTGTAGCCAAAATAGGAAAATGAATCAGTGAGTTTTACATCTTTCCGGTTTTGAACGGTCAAGGGTAAATTCAGGTACCCGGGTTTTGTTTGCAACTATTATGGCTAGACAGGCACTGCGGCTTGTGTACTAAAACTTATTTCCGTACAGTAAAATGTAGAATTCTACGGATCGGTGCTGCATTTATTCACATTTTAGCAATTCACTAACAGGAGGCAGCATCTCCCGGGTCGTTTTATTCTCACTTTGACCAGGCAGATATTTTGCCTCCAGACGGCACCCTTAAAACCAGTGGAACTAAGTTAAATAAGCCAAATGTTGGTTTGGGAGTGTGAAAATTCCAACATCGAATTTTTTTACTGCAAAGACTGCAACTTCCACACAGAATTGACGGTCCTTTTTAAACAACACGTGACAAAGTTTCACGCATCGAGGAAAAAACAACGAAAAAATGCGTACTCCATCCAAAAGTACATTTGTGATCAGTGCAGCTTTGAAACACACTTCGTGCTCAAGTGGCTTCAACACGTCACACGATGTTTAAAAAACAACGAAAATTGGAACACATTTAAACGCAAAAACGTGTCCATATACTGGTATCAGTGTCAAAAGTGTCCCTACAAAAGTAAAGATTTTTCCAATTTGAAAAGACATATTAACATACGGCACATAAACGAAGACGACGTTAAATGGTTTGAGTGTAAAAAGTGTCCATACAAAGCTAAACAAAGTTCGAATTTGAAGTGCCACATAAATGCGTGTCATTTGGACGTGGAAGAAATCAAATGGTATATATGTGAAGTGTGTTCTTATAGAGCTAAACAAAAAGGGAATTTGAGGAGACACATAAATACGCATCGTCGGCGGCGGGATAAATGTGGACAGGTGCAGCTGAACAGTCCACGAAAGTGTAAATTGAAAGAACACGAATGTGCAAAATGTGCGTACAGAAGTTGTTATACGTCGAATTTAAAACGGCATATAAATGCCCACCATTTGAAGGGACAGGAGATTAAGTGGTATAAGTGTGAAGTGTGTCCTTATAAAGCTAAACAACATTCTAATTTAAAAACTCATGTAAATATGGTCCACTTAGATAAGCAATTGGAGCTATAAATATATATTTTGAAATAAGAGGAGTTTTTTTTGTTGTATTACATAGTTTGAGGACTTCTGATTCAGTAGAAAACAGCAACCAATAGGGACTTTCTCCTGTTTTGACATAGTTGACACTTCCACTATTGCAGTTTGAGGTTATGTTTGTGAGAAAAGTGTGCCGAACGGATTAATTTCAATCTTTGTGCCTAAAAGTGCCCGTACAAACAAGTTTTTCACGTTTTATCCAAATGTGAATCACATTAACGCCACAATTTCCTTTTCTAGATTTCAGCTACACTGGAAAATGGTTGAATCGTGGAAAACCGGAAAATCTCACCATCGTTATACCTTTTTGACTGTAAAAATACCAATATTGATTAGAGATGGACTTCCATGTTGGTATTTTCACAGTTGAAAGGTATGCAGTTGCAAGACTTGAACTGCTGAAACGAATTCGTCGGGGGATTTCTTGTCATGAATCGAAGAATCCAGGATTTGTGAGATGCGGAATACACCATTCGAAATTGTATTTATGGCCAGTTTTGAATGGTGTATTCCGTGTTTATAGATCTGCAACGACACTTGGGTTGGAAATGTCAAGTTTTGTCAAGTGAATTTTTATAACTGTCATATCGTTTTTATTAATAAAAATACAACTGGGGGGAGTTTCTTTTAACGCTATTAATGGTTTTGGTTCAGCAACATTGATTGTGTAAAAGATGAAGTACGTTCATAATTTGTAATCACAATTAAGTATAGGCAACACATAATACACGTTTACATTGGTTACTGATCGAAACAGTGTTGCACTTCTAGGGACTTTTTTCGCACAGTGATAATGGTGTTAAATTGACATTTGTAGGTTATAATAACCTCTGTAACGTTACAAATACAAATTATTTAACAATTAAATCAAGAAGGACGAACAGTGCTCTTCTAACTAGTCAGTCAAAACAATCAGTTTCACAAATTTAATAAAAGCTAACTGAATTTAGTTAACCAAACTAAAATGTCAACATTAAAACCCCACGTTCACCGCTGCAAACTCTGCCCCTACTTCACCACATCCCCCTTCCTCCTGGTGAACCACGTCCGACGTCACCGTTCCCCAGTTAAACCATTCAACTGCGAAAACACATCAGTCGAACCATACACCTGCAAGGACTGCACCTTCCGAACAAACCTGACCTTCGTCCTGGTAAAACACATCAAGAACTGCCACATCAAACCAGGACAAGACTTCTCCTACAAAGTCCAACAATTCCACAGTGTCCAGAATTACAGATGCGAAAAATGTGGCTTCAAAACCTACTTCGTACTAAAGTGGCTCCAACACACGTCTTCATGCATCCGAACAAAGCAGAGACACAAGAATTCCAAAGTGTACCGATGCAATATGTGTTCGTTCAGTGCGAGGTGGCTGCCGTCGCTTCGGGGCCACAAAGCGAGGGTCCACTTCGGCCATGACGAGTCCTTCTGGTACAAATGTGACCAGTGCGAGTACACCACGTTGTACCAACACCGCATAAACTCCCACAAAATAACCCAACATTTGAAAGACGACGAGATCCAGTGGTTTAGTTGTGAGCAGTGCCCGTACAAGGGTAAAAATCGGAGGTTGTTGAAACTACACGTGAAGAAAATACACTCGAACCAAGCGAGGAGTAAGTGGTTTGTGTGCAGCGAGTGTTCGTATAAAAGCAAAGACGAGACTTATTTGGAGACTCACATCGCTGCTATGCACTCCGGGGGTAAAGATATCGAGTGGTATGAGTGTGCACAGTGCAGCTATAGAACTAAGTGGAAGTATACGTTGTCGTGGCACGAAAAAACGAAGCATTTGGTGGCGAAAAAGTTGGAAACGTGGTACAACTGTGAACACTGTCTTTATAAAACAAATTTTGTTAGACATTTGCAGTGGCATATAAATAATATGCATTAAAATGGTGATTGTAAACTTTACAAGACTATGAATTTAGTAAATACCGAAAATGTGCAATAAATATGTTAAAAACAAACAAATCGAGATAAATTTTATTTATTTGTTGTTGTAATTGTGAACGCACTCTGACGTTCCGTAAACATAACCTCAAAAATACTTTGCGAAACCACTTTTCACTAATAAATATAACTCGAAAACTGTAACCAACTGAGTTTTCACTAAAGTTTGTTAATAGTGTTGCAAATAGCGCAAATAATTTGCTAAAATAAGTCCTTGATTGTTTGTTGTGATTGTGAACGGACCATATGAAAGTGACATAACCTCAAAAACAAAACTGTCATGTTTTGCTTATTTTAGGAAAAATAAAAAAATAGTCAAACTAAACACAACTTTGAACGGCATGTCGATTCTGGAATATTTTCCCAAGTTTTCTCGATTAAAATCGCACTATGGCAAAGTGGTACCATTCAACTGCGACAATTCCATTGAAAGATACCTCTGCAAGGACTGCAACTTCCAAACGTATTTAACCATCCAACTGAAAAACCACATTTCGAAAAACCACGGAATTACAACAAAAATTGACGATTTCCTGGTACAAAATTATGTCTGCTCGAAATGCTGCTTCGAGACACATTTCCTCCTAACGTGGCTCCGTCACATCAAAGCTTGTGTTAATAATCAAACCTCTGACTTATCAATGGAAAGAAAAAATTTGAAACTACTTCAGTGTGACCAATGCCCATACAAAGCCAAACTCTTAGAGTCCATCAACATCCACAAAGTCCGCACCCATTTCAAAGAAATCCAGGATTTCAAGTGGTACAAGTGTGACCAATGCGGCCACAAAACCACCCACAGAAACGTGCTGCGCATCCACAAACTCACGAAACACTTGCGAGATGACCAAATCAAGTGGCACCAATGTGACAAGTGTCCGTACAAAGCTAAACAGAAACGGTCTTTACAAATCCACCTGCACGTCCACCACGAAGACGACGTCACGTGGTACAAATGCCAAAAGTGCCCCTATAAAACCAAGTTCGATTTGTATTTGCGCAGACACGAATACACCATTCACTTAGTCGAGACTACGAAAAGGTACAAGTGTGATCAGTGTCCGTACGAAACCAACATCAAAGCGCACTTAAAGCAGCACCGAATCAACAAACATTTAAGTGAAAGTGAAATCCAGTGGTATCAGTGTGAACATTGTTCGTATAAAGCCAAAACTCGGTACACGTTGAAGCAGCACGTGAGTGGGGTGCACGTAGACGAGAAGGACATTAAATGGCATAAGTGTGAGCTGTGTTCTTTTAGAAGCAAGCAAATCAAGAATTTGAAGGTGCACGTGGTTAATAAACACTTGGAAGATAGTGAAATTAAATGGCACCAGTGTGAGAAGTGTCACTATAAAACTAAGCAAAAATACTCGTTGAAAATGCACGTGAATAGTCATCATTTGAGTGAAAGTGAAATTACGTGGTATTATTGTGAGAAATGTTCGTATAAAGCCAAACATAAAGGATCGTTGAAGTCGCACATAAATAAACATTTGAGTGAAAGTGAAATCAGGTGGTATCACTGCGAACAGTGTGCGTATAAGTCGAAATATAGCAGCGGATTGAGAAAGCACGTAGAAATGAAACACTAAACTAGAAATTGTACTATTTTAAAATTGTAATCATTTAAAATACAACTGTCAAAAAGTGACATTTGTTGCGTTTGTGAACGTACCCAACCCAAAAGTGAGGTTATGTGGCAGGGGCGACGAATTTTCACACTATGAACCCAAATAAGCCCCCCTTAATCGTTATAAACATGATTTTCCGTAAATGTGTAAGGTAAAACCTAGGTAACGTATCCCCACTTCGAAAAAAACTAAAATTTAACAAATTCAGGTAAAACAAAATATTTCTTCTGGGTAGATAAGTAATATGGAATTTATAATAAAGGAAGACCGTGTCACAGACCACCCATTTACACCCTTTAACTGTGAAAACGTTGACATCGAACTATATTGTTGCCAATATTGCAGCTTCGAAACCGAATTGAGTATCCTTCGTAAGCAACACATTGAAACCTTTCACAGAATTAAACCGGAAAACCCTGAAGACTACACCGTTCAAACTTATCTCTGTAAAAACTGCAATTTTGACACCTACTTCGTGCTAAAATTCCTCCAACACACTAAAACTTGTCTTCAAAACAAACAAAGTCGGGGTCGCAAGTGGCTCAAGTGTGACAAGTGCAACTACAAATCCAAATACAGCAACGCTTTAAGGGGGCACCAAATCACAAACCACTTGAAAGATGACGAAATCCAGTGGCACCACTGCGACAAATGCGCATACAAAGCCAAACAAAAACGCTATTTGAAAATCCACGTCCACGTTCACCACATGGACGAAAAAAACACGAAATGGTACAAATGTCAACAGTGTCCATATAAAACCAAATTCGAATTTTACTTAACCAGCCACTTGAATACCACTCACTTAGTTTCCAAAAGGTACAAATGTGACCAGTGCTCCTACGGAACCAACTCCAGCTCGCACTTAAAGAAGCACAAAATCCACAAACACTTGCGCGAGAACGAAATCCAGTGGTATAAATGCGAAAGTTGCCCCTACAAAGCCAAAACCAAGCCCGGCTTGAGGGACCACCAAAGCACCGTGCACGTGCAAGACAAAGACGTCAAGTGGCGTAAGTGTGACCACTGCGCTTTCAAAACCAAGCAAATGAAAAACTTAAAACTGCACATGTTTAACAAGCATTCCAACGAAAATGAAATCGTGTGGTTCGAGTGTGAAAAGTGCCCGTACAAGACCAAGCACAAGTTTTCGCTGAAAATGCACGTGAATAGTTACCATTTAACTGGGAGCGAGATTACGTGGTTTCGCTGCGACAAGTGTTCGTATAAGGCTAAGAGGCAGTTCACGTTGAGGAATCACGTGAATGCGGTTCATTTGAACGAGGAGGATATTAAGTGGCATCAGTGTGACCACTGTAATTACAAAACGAAGCACTCGAAGAATCTCAAAACGCACGCGAAGACGCTGCATTCGAGCGAGACTAAGTGGCATTATTGTGACAAGTGTTCACACAAAACGAAGTACAGTAGTGGGCTGAAACGCCACTTGAAGACCCAACATGGTTCAGAATGATTTTCCTGGGTGTTGTAAGTAAATGTGTAATGGGAAATTAATTTTACTCTCAGCGTTCGTACTACCATCTAAATGTTTTAAATTTTCAGTGTTTTACTTACTGTACATGATTTAATGTCAGTTGGTGTCTTAAATCGTTAATAAAGAGAATTATTTATTTGATTCTGCGATTTTTTTAACAAAATAATATAAGCGGAATTTATAAAGTTGCTGTTGACGTTGAGATATTCAACTTTGCCCTAAGTTGATTACTACAAAAAGTTACCAATTTGGACGTTTCAATTTTCTTGTTATCGACATAAGTCTACACATATTAAAAAAACAAGGCAAAATATAAGCTCCGCCCACCCGCCCTGTCTCAATTGTAATGATTTCTTTATTCGTCGTGAGCTAAGAGGGCGGAGCTTAACTGCAAAATCCTCCACGAGAATTTAAAAACATGTTTTTGAGTATCGTATTTTTCAGATACTGTGTATATTAAGAAAAAAATGAAGCCGAAGATTAGGCCCCACCCATACCTGCCCCGATCTCAATTCTCAATTCTGATGAATTTTTCATTCGTTGTCAGATCGAGAGGCGGGGCTTAATTGCAAGATCCATATTTGTCTACAAGAATTTACCATTTTAAACATGTTTTAAGTTTCTTGTTCTGAAAAGATGACTACATATAGCCGAATTAAGCTCCACCCATATCTGTCTTGATCTAAATAGTAATTCAGTTTTCATTCGTTGACAAAATCTAGGGGCGGAGCCAAATTGCAAAATCCATGTTTCCTTACAAAAATTTATTGTCTTCAACATGTTTCAAGTTTCTGAGAATAAAAAAAAATCATCACGATTGAGATGGGGTGGGTGGGCGGGGTCTATATTTTGGCTTTGTTTCTAAATATACGTAGTATTCTTTGAACAACACAATACTCAAAAACATGTTTTTAATTTCTAGTAAAGAATTAAGTATTTTGCAGTTAAGCTCCGCCCCCTTGGTTCACAGCGAATAAAAAAAATTATAACAATTGAGACAGGGCGGGTGGGCGGGCTTACTTTTTGTCTTTTTGTTTTAATATGTGTAGACTTCATTTTACAACATGAAACTTAAAACAATATATCAATTTTGCAATTAGGCTCCGCCTCATAATTGCAAAATCCATATTTCTTTGCAAAAATGTCATGTTCTAAGTTTCTTGTTGTGAAAAGATGTATAATATATAATAGTATAAAAAAAAACTAAATGTATTCCCCGCCCACCCACCCGATCTCAATTCTGATGAATTTTTTTATTCGTCGTGAGCCAAGAGGGCGGAGCTTAACTGCAAAATCCTTATTTCTCCACGAGAAGTAAAAAACATTTTTTGAGTATCGTGTTTTTCAAAAAATACTATGTATACTAAGAAAAAATTAAAGCCAAAGATTACGCTCCACCCATACCTGCTATGATCTAATAATAATGAAGTTTTCATTCGTTGGCAGACCTAGGGGCGGAGCCTAATAGCAAAATCCATATTTCCTTACAAAAATTTACCATTTTAAACGTGTTTTGAGTTTCTAAGAATAAAAATAAAAAAATTATCACTATTGAGATGGGGTGGGTGAGCGGTTTTTTTTTGCCTTTTTTTTCTTAATATACATAGGATTCTTTGAATACGATACTCAAAAACATTTTTTTAGTTTCTTGTAAAGAAATTAGCATTTTGCAGTTAAGCTCCGCCCTCTTTGAGTCACGGCGAATAAAAACAATCATCACAATTGAGATAGGGCGGGTGGGCGGGCTTATATTTTAGCTTTTTGTTTCAATATGTATACACTGCTTTTCTTTAGGCTCCGCCCCACAATTGCAAAATCCATATTTCCTTCAAAATGTACCATTTTATCCATATTCTAAGTTTCTTGTTGTGAAAAGATGGCGTGTATATTAAGAAAAAAAAGGAAAAATATATGCCCCGCCCACCCACCCTATCTCAATTGTGATGATTTTTTCATTCGGCGTGAGTCAAGAAGGCGGAACTTAACCGCAAAATCCGTATTTCTTTACGAAAGAAATTAAAAGCAAGTTTTTGAGTATCGTGTTGTTCAAAGAATACTACGTATATTAAGAAAAAAATAAAGTCAAAGATTAGGGCCCACCCATACCCGCCCAAATCTCACTTCTACACTGTGGTGAATTTTTCATTGGTTGTCAGATCGAGGGGTGGGGCTTAATTGCAAGATCCACATTTGTCTACAAGAATTTACCAATTTAAACGTGTTTTAAATTTCTAGGAATAAAAAAATCATTACAATTGAGATGGGGTGGGTGGGTGGGGTTTGTACTTTGCCTTTTTTTCTTAATATACTTGATATTCTTTGAACAACACGATACACAAAAACATGTTTTTAATTTATTGTTAAGAAATAAGTATTTTGCAGTTAGGCTCCGCCTTCTTGGTTCACGACCAATAAAAAAATCATCACAATTGACATTGGGGGGGCGGGTGGGCTTATATTTTGCCGTTTTGTTTTAATATGTATAGACTTCTTTTCAGAACATGAAACTTAAAAGATATTTAAAATGGAAAATTTGAATAAAGAGATATCGATTTTGCAATTAAGTGAAAACCTACATTTCTTTGCAAAAATGTACCATTTTAATCATGTTCTAAGTTTCTTATTGTGAAAAGATGACTATGTATGTTGAAAAAAAAAGGCAAAATATAAGCCCCACCCACCCGCCCTATCTCAATTCTGATGATTTTTTTATTCGTCGTGAGCCAAAGGGCGGAGCTTAATTGCAAAATCCTTATTTCTCTACTGTTGTTCAAAGAATACTATGTATATTAAGAAAAAAAACAAGCCTAAAATTAAGCCCCACCCATATCCATCCCAAGCTCAATCATCATGATCATGATCTCAATAGTGTGGCTCAATTGTGATGGAAGTTTAGATCATATAAATTGATATAATGCAGTGACTATGCAACCAACAATACAGATAATTATTTTAATTGCAATAAAACGTGCAAGATAAAATTAATGTGTACTTTCACCATTTTTAATGCTTATTTAGGTAAATTGGTAAATATAGACAATTTTAATTCCAATTAACACATTAAAAAATTTTGGAATGACATTTAGTCGTGATCATGAACGTACTCTAGGTGACACTTTGTTGTTATTATTGAAAACATAACCTCAATAAATAAAAAACGTTCCAGCGGATTATAATTTCTTATTTAAGCACATAAAGTATAACAAAATAAAGTAACTACAATTTGAATACTCGAAAATTTTAGACAATCAAGATGTCCACTTTAGAATATTCCGAAAAGTTAATGCGGCGCGTAAAATTTTTGCCGCACGACGTCCACTACTGTAAGGGATGTCCATATTTTACAAAGTCGGCGTTCCTGATGGTGAACCACTGCAGGCGCCACCGCTCACTCCGATTGCCTTTCAACTGTGTGAAGAACATGGAAATTTACCTCTGTATAGACTGCAACTTTCAAACAGAGCTCACCATCTGTATGAGGAACCATATTATAAAATACCACACCCCCCGGAACCGAGAAATTCGTTCGGATGTCAAAACATACGTCTGTAAAAAGTGCGGCTTCCAAACGTACTTCCAGTTATATTATTTTCGTCACAATAAAACCTGCACTGGAAATACCGAAAATGACCAAACTGCGGCAACACTGTTAAAAAAGCTGAAGACGCATTTGAGGCGGGTTGTAGTCACAAATACGGAAAAAAATGTATATAAAGAATGTCTAGAGTCAAGTGAAGCAGCTAAAAGTTTAAGTTTATCATTAGCCCCATGGTTAATAAACAGTCTTAGGAAGGCTAGAGCCAAATCTGTTGACGCGATTTTGAAAGAAAATTCGCACCTTTATGAAGAATATGATACTGAAAAATTGGTGAATTCTATTGACATTGAAAAGTTGAAGTTTCGTTTCAAACAAAATATATCAAAGAAAATTGATTAGTGCTGATGAAAATTTAATAAATGTTACTGTAGTGATTCTTTTTTATTCAGGTTAAAAATTTAGTGCGATGTGGGTTGCCTACCTCACTGTGTTTAATTAGGCAACACACTTTATAAGCTTATAATTTTAGTCCTTTTTCAATTCTTAATTGAACATCCTTTTACTCAAAGCACATTTATCCAGTAAAACTGTGTTTTCTGTTTTCCACCTCCATCAATTTTACTATTTTACTTAACATGAATAGTCGTTTCAATTTCAATGTAAATTGTGAGGTTATGTTGGTCAAAATCAAACAAATTTCATAACTCAAAAACAAGGGGTAGTCAGGTAGGAAAAAATACAGCACTTACTTTACAGTACAACAAAATCGATTTAGATACCTCAACAATGTCAACTATAAACAACTTAACACCTTTCAATTGTGAAAACACCAACCTGGAATTTTTCTACTGCAAAGAATGCAACTTTCGGTCAGAATTAACCCTCCACTACAAACAACACGTCGACGAAAACCACGGAATCAAGAAAGAGCCTGAAGAAAATTATTCCAAAGTAGAATACACCATTAATAAATATATTTGTGAAATGTGCAGCTTCCAGACCTACTTTATGCTTAAATGGTTGCAACATATCGCCAGTTGTTTGAAAAACACCCAAACTGCTCGACCTTCCACTGACGACGATTCCACCTGGTACAAGTGTGACTTCTGTGACCACAAATACAAGTCCAAAGTCTGGTTAAACAAACACACGATATCGAAACACTTGAACCACGTCTCCACCTGGTACAAATGTGACCAGTGTGAGCACAAGTACAAAACAAAAAGCTGGTTAAAGCAGCACAAAATTTCGAAGCACTTGAACGACGACGAGATAATCTGGTATCAATGTGCGATTTGTTCTTTCAAGTTCAAACAAAAATCCTACTTAAAATCGCACATGTATCTGCAACACACCGACGAGAGGAGCATCCGATGGTATGAGTGTCAAGAGTGTTCGTTTAAAACCAAGTACAGGTTTAAGTTCAGACGGCACGTTAAGGTTATCCACGAGCAGGATATCAAGTGGTATGAATGCAAAGAGTGCGAATACAGAACGAAATATTCGGCGGAATTGAAAATCCATACAAACGTGTGTCATCTGAAAGGACAAGACATCACGTGGTATGAATGTGAAAAATGTCCATACAAATCTAAAAGAAAAGGGACTTTGAGGTTCCACGTAAACGCGCATCATGTGGAAGAGCACAATGTTAAGTGGTACGAATGCGAGAAGTGCCCATACAAAGCTAAATTGATAACTTTGTTGAAGAAGCACATTCGCCGACGACATCTAGATGAAAAAGACATAAAGTGGTATGAATGCAAATTTTGCCAATTTAAAGCCAAATTGAAAGATACTTGGAAGCGTCACTTGGCTGTGCGACATTCAGAAGAACAGGACCTTAAGTGGTACGAATGTAAACAGTGTTCTTATAAAGCTATTCGTACGTCAGCTTTGAATAGACACGTAAACGACCACCATTTGGATGCTAAAGATGTGAAGTGGTACGAATGCAAGGATTGTGCTTATAAAACTAAGCAAAGTGCGTCGTTAAAGAAGCACATACTCGTCAAGCATTCAGACGATCAGGACGTGCAGTGGTTTGAGTGCAAAATGTGTCCATACAGAAATAAAATTAAGTGGAATTTGCAAAAGCACGAAAGAAAGAAACATTTAAATGTAAAGTAAGATAGGTGTGACGCTGTCTTGTAATGAATAAATTGGAGTACAAATAACTTTTGTTAGGTTAGAACTAGTGATTGTCAAAGTTGCTCGGGGTTTGTGAACGTACTCTGGCAACACTTATGCAACCAACAATACGCAAACATTGTTTTATTGTATATTTGTAGAAAATTACAAATGTCTTTCCACCATTTACAAATAAATTCATTTCTACGTATTTATAACCATATTAATTCCATAAGGTCACTTGTCGCACGTTAATTATATCAATGAGTGCTACTTATATGTTTTTCTAGAGGACGGCGATAACGTGACTTAAATTCACACTTATCACACTGAAACTTCTTACCACCTGGATGTATCAAGCGTATGTGCTGCCTCAAAGAGCATTTATTTTTATATTTAACTGGGCATTTTTCACACTGATACCACTCAGCTTCACTGTCACATACATTTTTGTTATTTACATGGTCTTTTAAACACTGCGAACAATTCACCTTATAATCACATTGATCACACTGATACTTGTTACCACTTGGATGTTTCAAGTACATGTGTTGTCTCCAAGACGATTTAATTTTATATTTAGCTGGACATTCCTCACACTGGTACCACTCAGCTTCAGTGTCACTTACATGTTTGCAATTTTTATGGTCTTTTAAAATTTGCGCACTTGTCGTCTTAAAATCACACTGATCACACTGATACTTTCCAGAGAATTCTTTATGCTGCTTGCGCAGGTGACGTCTTAAAGATCCGTTAGTTTTATATTTATGTGGACATTTTGTGCACTGATACCACTTAACTTCACTGGCCTGTGAATGTTTAGTGTTCATATGTTCTTCTACTTCAAACGAACTACATGATTTGTATCTACAGTAATCACAACGATATTTCTTGCCATCTTCATGTATATTAATTATGTGTTTCCACAAGCTTGACTTGGTTTTAGCTTTGTATGGACATTGTTCACATTGATGCCACTGAATCTTGTCATCGTCCGTATGTTTGTTAATTGTGTGTCTTCTCAAGCTGTCCGGATTTTGAAAAGTGCGCGAACACTTTTTACATTTGAATGGTTTATTTTCATTGTGTACATTTCTCATGTGTGCTTTCATTCCACGTTTATATTTGGTTTTGTGCCAGCATTTATCACAGTGATACCACTGGGTTTTATCACCCAAATGTTTGTTCCTTATATGTAATCTTAATCGTTCTATGGTTTTTGTCACATATGGACAATGATCACACTTCTGCCATTTGATGTCCTTTTTGTCTGTGTGTTTGAGGTAGACATGTCTACTTAAATGAGCTTTTCTTTTGGCCTTGTAGGTACATTTTTCACACATATACCAGCAAATTTTTTGTAGATGTTTTCCAGTTGTGTGTAATTTTAAATTGGTGGTTCGTTGACAAGCTGTAGTGTGCTCAAGAAGTTTAATTGAGGTATAAGTTTCGAAATCGCAATTTTTACAACTGTAGTTGTGAATACTGTAATTAATATCTGGCTGAAGGTTGTTTTTTTCACTTGAGTGACACTCTTTAATGTGTTTCTTCAAAGTGACAATAAAATCTGTCTGGAAGTTGCAGTCATGACAGCAATAAGTTTCTACATTGTCATCACAGCTGAAATGCATCATTAAAGAATGGTTGCGTTTGGCATGATTTTCCATAAAGAACGATGATGTTGTGAAGTAGGGACAAATCTGGCATTTCTGAACAATACTAGACAAAGATTTCATGTTGTAAAACTTTTCAGAGTGGGTGTACGTCGACATCTGGTTAATCTGTAGACATAAATCTGTACCTTTTAACATGTAGATTATTTTTTCATACCATGTTTTTTAATAACCATTCTTAAAATGGACTCGAACGTGAAAGCGACTTTATAAATCATAATTTTTAGGTTAGGTCAATTTTATAGGTTAAATTGAAATGAGTGCGTTCAGATTTTTTTGTATACATTGTGATTGAAGCATTCACATCTAGGGGTCCGAACCCAAACATCTCTAGAGAAATAACTATTTTCCGAAAATAACCTAATTACAACTGTAAACTTGTCTCAAATTTTACGTGATATACTTGATGTTGTATCATGGCCGACTCCATTAATCTCTAAAGATTTAACTCGTTACAATGGAAATTTGCAATTTAACACCTTTAAATTTCACAAGTTTCTACAAGATTAATAGACGCAAAATGAGCTATATCTTAACAAATACTAGAACCGCCCACCCGCCTCGTATTTTTTATGAGGGATATGACATTTGCCGAAATAAGTCTTATCTTAGCAAGTACTAACCCTGTCCACCCACCCTTTACTTTCTTAGAGGGTATCTCATTTGCCAAAATCAGTCTTATCTTACTAAGTACTAGCCCCGCCCACCCACCTTCTCTTTTCTTGGAAGGTATTTCATTTGCCACAATTACTGTTATCTTAGCAGGTACTAGCCCACCCTCTGTTTTCTTGGAAAGTATGTCACTTACCAAAATTAGTGTTATCTTAGCAGGTACTAGCCCCGCCCACCCACCCTCTCTTTTTTTGGTAGGTATGTCATTTGCCAAAATCAGTCTTATCTTACCAAATACTAGCCCCGCCCACCCACCCTCTCTTTTCTTGGAAGGTATGTCATTTGCCAAAATTAGTCTTATCTTACTAAGTACTAGCCCCGCCCACCTACCCTCTCTTTTTTTGGAAGGTATCTCATTTGCCAAAATTACTATTATCTTAGTAGGTACTAGCCCACCCTCTCTCTTCTTGGAAGGAATGTCATTTGCCAAAAATTGCTGTTATCTTAGTAGGTACTAGGCCCGCCCACCCACCCTCTCTTTTCTTGGAAGGTATGTCATCTGCCAAAATCAGTCTTATCTAAGCAAGTACTAGCCCCGCCCACCCGCCCTTTATTTTCTCAGAGGGTAGTACTTGCTAGTACTTGCTAAGATAAGTCTTATTTTGGCAAATGACATCCTCTGTGAAAATAGAGGAGGTGGGCGGGGCTAGTACTTCCTAAAATAAGACTGATTTCGGCAAATGACATACCTTCCAAGAAAAGAGAGGGTGGGTGGGCGGGGCTAGTACCTGCTAAGATAATAGTAATTTTAACAAATGACATACCTTCCAAGAAAAGAGAGGGTGGGTGGGCGGGACTAGTACCTGCTAGGATAACAGTAATTTTGGCAAATGACATACCTTCCAAGAAAAGAGAGGGTGGGTGGGCGGGGCTAATACCTGCAAAGGTAAAACTTCTTTTGGAAATGACATAAACTCTGAAAAAGTAGGGGGCGGGTGGGCGGGAACTTGCTAGGATAAGACTAATTTTACCCGTATTAAACTTTCTCAGAGGGTAGGACTTGCTAAGATAAGTCTTATTTTGGCAAATAACATATTATCTTAGCAGGTACTAGCCCCGCCCACCCACCCTGTCTTTTTTTGGTAGGTATGTCATTTGCCAAAATCAGTCTTATCTTACCAAATACTAGCCCCGCCCACCCACCCTCTCTTTTCTTGGAAGGTATGTCATTTGCCAAAATCAGTCTTATCTTACCAAGTAGTAGCCCCGCCCACCGACCCTCTCTTTTCGTGGAAGGTATCTCGTTTGCCAAAATTACTATTATCTTAGTAGGTACTAACCCACCCTCTCTCTTCTTGGAAGGAATGCCATTTGCCAAAAATTGCTGTTATCTTAGTAGGTACTAGGCCCGCCCACCCACCCTCTCTTTTCTTGGAAGGTATGTCATTTGCCAAAATCAGTCTTATCTTCATTAATTCTTTAGAGATTAATGGAGTCGGCCATGGTTGTATGTATATGTTACAGCTAATATCCGAAATCCGTTATTATGCATAATAACTAGACATTTTAGGAATTACGCGTAATAACTAAACTTGTCAGTGATTATGCATAATAACCGGAATGATTAGGAATTATGCGTAATAACTGAAAATTTCAGTTATTATGCATAATAACGGAAACGTTTAGGTAATATTGATAATAACTAACAGAGGAACAGGAATTATGCATAATCTTTTCAAAAAAGCTGCCCACCCTGCCTCGCTTTCCCCTACATATCACATGTACAGTTGATTTAGAAAAAAACGGGACAAATTACAGTAACATAAACGTTATATTCCCATTGCCTTTCATTGATCTATGAGAACCTGATTTGCTCATTTTTTGTGAAATCAGCTGGGCATGTTAGGCAATATGCTTAATGACTAATGTTTCAGGTATTATGCATAATTCCTGTTCCTCTGTTAGTTATTATCAATATTACCTAAACGTTTCCGTTATTATGCATAATAACTGAAAATTCCAGTTATTAGGCATAATTCCTAATCTTTCCGGTTATTATGCATAATAACTGAGAAGTTTAGTTATTACGCATAATTCCTAAAATGTCTAGTTATTATGCATAATAACGTATTTCGGATATTAGCTGTAACATATATACACGTTCACGTCTGACAATTTTTGCGTATTATACACCCCAGAGACGACTTCGTCCAATTTAATTTTTTTTCAATAAGCAGTCATAGCAATCACAGAAAAAGATGACAAAAATGTCAACGCGAAATAAGGACAAAATTGAAAAAATTAACACTCAATTTATTAATGGATCAGATTACAACGAAAACGAATTTATAATAAATGTTCAAAATGCTTGCCTCCACTATCGTCTCAAAGTCCTATCCTAGGTTCAAAATTTCTACGAACTCTGTGTAACGTGTCGGGAGTTATAGATCTGCATGACAATAAACGTTGCGTAACAACGGTCGGAAACTCGTGGTTAGGTCTCGACTGCTGGGCCAAGTCGACAGCGTCACGTCATCCCGACAGTCCCTGACTTCTATTTAAGACCTGCATCTTTTGTGCAGATATTGCGGCGGCTAGCTCGACAGGGAACCGCGCACTCCGCGTCTGCTACGTGTTTCGGTGTTATTTGAACTCAATTCCATTTAAATGTTGAATTTCTATAACTCTGACATTAAACTACAATTGAACAAGTGTTACAGTTTCAAAAAGAGCAATAAACAACATTAAAATTCGCCCTACACTCTCGTGAAATTTTTAAACAGCAAAGAATTCTTATCTGAGATTAATAAGATTTAACGGACAATTTATATGATGGAAGCATTAATCAACAAAATATTTACAAAACAAAAAAACTAGCCAAGATTCAAAAATACAAAAGAACTGGTGTGAAAGGAAACTTGTGCAGACAAAAATTTACGTGAGGTTAGAAACTGCAGAGCATGAAAGTTTACGTTCCATTTAAGTTATACAACAAGAAAATTACTGAAGTTAAAATTGTGAGATAAAGAAAAATTGCAAAGCTAACAAATTTACATGAGGTTAATATTTTATGTCCATTAGAGTTATCGGTTAATTTTTAAAAGTGAACTTATTCAGCTGCATTGTCATCGTTTTACATTTCCCCAAACACATAAAAAAAAATATGGCAGGCAAACTGGAGGTTCAAAATGGCATCGGACGAACGCGTCGTTAAAAAAATGAGTCAAAAATATGTCTCTTAGAAATGTGATCTATCCTGTGACACTGTACAAATAATGTCGTCCCCCATGACTCACAATGTTAAATTATGCCACACTTTAGCAACTATTCAAACAAAGACTTTACATACGTTAAATTATGCCTTGATCCGAGTGATTGGTCACTTAAAACTATTAGTTATGAGAGTTTATAACGTGAACTGTCCCAGTTTATCCCAGACAAAACACATGATAAATAAACAACACAAAATGTTTCAGGTGTTGCGAGGAAAGCTCCTCGGTGATGTAATTATCCACGTTGCGAGAAAGATATCTCGGTGATGTGATGATGATAATAACGATGATAACTGTCTAAAGGGAAAAATGTATAATCCCTCGTACCTCAGTTCACGATATTATGAATTCTACCACACATTCACGGTCTTTTCTCAGAGTGGGGCAACGTTAGGTTAATTTAACTGCCGTAAATAAACTATTAACAATCTTGTGTGAGGAATTAAGAAGTGTTATAATGTAATGTGTTATCCTGATTAAGTGAATTTCATGAAATCTCCTAGTAAATGCTCTATCTAAATAAATTCCCGATTGTTAAGCTGTGTTAGAACTAGTTAACGATTAAACTCCTAACATGCACGGTGCATTTATAAAAAATAAAACAAATTTACACAACGTGTTAGCGTCGGTCGAAAAATTCACTTATTTTCGCTTGGAAAAAACCGCAAGAATTAACTACTACAAAAATAGTAAATATATTTCTAGTGCTTAAAAATAAATATAAAACTTATATTAATTTGAGACAATGAATTATTACATTACGTTTTTAATAAGAACACCTCATCATTTCATTTCTATATATTCAATTTTTTGTTTTTAATTGCATTTATAAGATCGTTGTCAATGAGTGCTGCTTATATGTTTTTCTAGAGGGCCGCAATAACGTGTCTTAAAATCACACTGATCACACTGAAACTTCTTACCACCTCGATGTATCATGCGTCTGTGCTCCCTCAAAGAGGATTTATTTTTATATTTAACTGAACATTTTTCACACTGATACCACTCAGCTTCAGTGTCAGATAAATGTTTGCTATTTATATGATCTTTCAAACACTGCGAATAATTCGCCTTATAATCACACTGATCACACTGATACTTGTTACCACTTGGATGCTTCAAGTTCATGTGTTGTCTCCAAGACGATTTAATTTTGTATTTAGCTGGACATTCGTCACACTGGTACCACTCAGCTTCAGTGTCGCTTAAATGTTTGCTATTCGTATGGTCTTTTAAAGATTGCGAACTTGTCGTCTTAAAATCGCATTGATTACACTGATACTTTCCAGAGAATTCTTCATGCTGCATGCGCAGGTGACGGCTTAAACCTCCGTTAGTTTTATATTTTTGAGGACATTTTGTACACTGATACCACTTAACTTCACTGCCCTGTGAATGTTTAGTGTTCATATGGTCTTCTACTTCGAGCGAACTACGTGACTTATATGTACAGTGATTACAACGATATTTCTTACCGTTTTGATGTATATCGCTTATGTGTTGTAACAAGGTCGACCTTGTTTTAGCTTTGTATGGACATTGTTCACATTGATGCCACTGAATCTGGTTCTCGTCCAAATGTTTGTTAATTGTGTGTCTTCTCAAGCGGTTTATATTTTTAAAAGTGCGCGAACACTTTTCACATTGGAATGGTTTATTGTCATCGTGTACATTTGTCATGTGTACTCTTATTCCCTGTTTATATTTGGTTTTGTGCGGGCATTTATCACAGTGATACCACTTACTTTTATCACCCAAATGTTTGTGCTTTATATGTGTTTTTAATCGTTCTAAGGTTTTTGTCACATATGAACAATGATTACACTTCTGCCACTTGATGTCCTTTTTGTCTGTGTGTTTGATGTAGGCATGTCTCCTTAAATGAGATTTGCTTTTGGCATTGTAAGTACATTTTTCACACGGATACCAGCATATTTTTTGTAAATGTTTTCCAATTGTGTGTAATTTTAACTGAGCATCTTGACAAGCTGTAGTGTGCTGAAGAAGTTTAATTGAGGTATAAGTTTCGAAATGGCAATTTATGCAACTGTAGTTCTGAATACTGTAATTGATATCTGGCTGAAGCTTGTTTGTTCCACTTGGGTGACACTCTTTAATGTGTTTCTTCAAAGTGACAATAAAATCTGCCCGGAAGTCGCAGTCATGACAGCGATAAGTTTCTACATTGTCATCACAGCTGAAATGTACCATTAAAGAATGGTTGAGTTTGGCATGATTTTCCATATAAAATGGTAAAGTTGTGAAGTAGGGACAAATCTGGCATTTCTGAACAATAGTAGACAAAGATTTCATGTTGTAAAACTTTTTAGAGTGGGTCTATGTCGACATCTGGGTAATCTGTAGACGTAAAGAGATATAACCTTTTAACATATAGATTATTTTTTCATACCATGTTTTTTAATAACCATTTTTAATAGTGATTAGATCGTGAAAGTGACTTAACTTTACTAATCAAGATTTTTAGGTTAGATAAATTAATTTTATAGGTTAAATTGGAATGAGTCAATGCCTTCTAAACTTACAAGCCATGATGTTGAAAATCGGCAACACTGTAAGGTAGTCCGATGTCATCCAATTCACGTGAGCAGTTTGTGTTTGAATTTTTTTACTTTTGAGACGGTTTCTGTTATTTAAAACCACCCTACGGCATTGATTAAATACATATAGATAGACCCATGCTATTGTTTGGAGCGAACAGGCCAACGGCCGGCGAACAAGAGATGGCGCACCAACGGTCGGCCGTCAAACGCCGGCGAAAAGCTTGGACACCAATCACGCGCATAGGTAACACAAATCACACTAATAATATATTTAATAAATCTACCACTCGATAGAGGGCGACGAAAAAATGTGTAAAAATCTCATAGTTAGCATTTAAATAATTTGCAACGTTGCCAGATGAGCCTAACACAAATTTGCCGTTATTTCTAGCCAAGTAGGATTTATTTCGTTTAAAAGTTTCTGATAAAGAAATGGGATTATTATAATGAATAAAAATAAATAAAACAAACAAATTATTAAGTACTTGTTATTTTAAATACTTGTTAGTGCTAACATTATTATAAATACGGTCCGGTAACTCAAATTTTATAGAAAGAGTGAGACGTTTCAGGACGAGGCGACCGTAGGGAGCCGAGTTTTTAATTTCGAAACGAGTTCTGCGAAAAGAGTTATCGGAGGTATGTCGTTATGGATTTTATTTCATACTGTCAACATATTTTTTTTGTTCGATAAAATAATTACTATTTTGGAAAAAGTTCAAATCAAGTCACTTTTTCTGACATCGTTAGCAACCGCTGTTTGGCTAATGTTTTAATTTGTTTATTCGTGCAAATCAGCATCAAATGTTTAAACTAAAATTTATTAGTCTAGAGACGGACAGATATATACTAAAGACAAAACATATCCATTCATATATGTCTTAAAAAACGGGTAACATATGCCGCATAAACTAAAAAATAAGACATTTTCTTTCACATTTTATATTGTAAATGCAATTAAGTATATCGATAACTCGCTACTGAAAATTTATTGAAATATAATTTCTGCAAAAAAAAGATTGTTGTGGTTTTATGGTTTATTGACATAGTTTACTTATTTAAAATGAATATTTTTCATACATAGCACAAGTTCTTGATATTATTTATTTTAATTTCAAATAATAATTGTGTTTCCTTTAATTTTAACCAAGAAAATTTTTCGGTTATTATCCAACATACTTTTGTACATTAAGAAACTCCATTCCACGTCGCGGGACGTTACAGAACAATATTTAAGTAAATAAGCTTCTCCAAAAAGAAGTCGTTTTTATGTGTTTTAAAACTCACTCTTTTATCTCCGGACTTTCGGCTTTTTAATGTTTCACTTCGACACAAGAATATAAACAGTGGAAAAATGGAACAGTTTTAAAAACTATTCATCTATTTGTTCTGTCTTGCAGCGAGAAAGGAATATAGCATATTGTACCCACATTTCATAGTAAAAATATGGATCCGGTTTAAAATTTTACCTACCTACTTAATTACGTTAACAAACTAAAATTTTCATTGAAGAGACAGGCTGTTCTAGGAAACTTTATTACAAATCTCTTCATTTACGAGCTGCTGAAGGACCGCCTGTCTCATTGATAATTCTTACCTACTTCAGTTCTTACCTGGCTTGTACTTAAGAATGAAGCGAAAAATGTTCCAACAATAAAAACCAAAATGTACAGACTGGAAATATAGTAAATGGGGTAGTACCTACATACAAACGTATGCGTAATAGTTCGTTAGACATTAGGTATTTATCAAAATTAACCAAATCTCTTAGTTTACGCACTATTGGACGAGCACTCCTTAAAACGGTCAGAATACTTAATCGCATTATTCCATTCACACCTACCTTAAACTTTGCCAGATGAACCTAACACAAATTTGCGGATATTTCTCGTCAACCTGGTAATATTTGATTTTGAAGTTTCTAGAAGTATCTCAATGGGAATATTATAATGGACAAATAAAACAAACAAATTATTGTTATTATTATTTGTTGTTTTAATCCATTAGACGCTTATAGGCTATCGCATACTTTTCTTGAAAAATCGGTAATAAATTCAGTGAAGCATCTTTGCCCCTTAATTCCTATGGGTAAATTGGGATTTTGAATAGAGATCGCAGAAACATTTTTTATGGTTTTATGGTTTATTTACATAATTTACTTATTTACAATGAATGTTTTTAATATATAATACAAGTTCTTGATATTATTTATTTTTATTACAATTAATAATCTTGTGTTATTTTTCATTTTCAACAAGAAAATTTTGTCGCTTATTATCTAACATATTTTTATACAATGAGAAACACCATATGTTTCACATCACAGGACGTTGCAGGAAAATACTTAAGTAAATAAGCTTTTGTTATTTCACTTCGACGCAAGAACCGTTTCAAAGAAAACAAACAGTGAAAAAGCGGAACAGATTCACAAAGTTTTCTGTTCTTTTTTTCTTCGGTTTTGCAGTGGGTGGGAAATATGGTGTATTGTACATTTTACAATAAAAATATCGATTTCAGGCAAATTTCCGCACCACCAATGAGGTATTGCCACGGCGCGTTTTTTTTTTTGTTTTAGCAGTGCTATCCCCAATAGGCCTAATGCACTACTTGCCGATATTGATTCAGATAATTATCCGCTGAATTAAGACATGATACCGGAAAACTGACACAAATAAACCACTCAATTTACAAAAACTGCAGCTTAAAATATCCTGATTTTTTTACATGCATTAGGCCTATTGGGGATAGCACTGCTAAAACAAAAAAAAAAACGCGCCGTGGCAATACCTCATTGGTGGTGCGGCAATTTGCCTGAAATCGATATTTTTATTGTAAAATGTACAATACACCATATTTCCCACCCACTGCAAAACCGAAGAAAAAAAGAACAGAAAACTTTGTGAATCTGTCCCGCTTTTTCACTGTTTGTTTTCTTTGAAACGGTTCTTGCGTCGAAGTGAAATAACAAAAGCTTATTTACTTAAGTATTTTCCTGCAACGTCCTGTGATGTGAAACATATGGTGTTTCTCATTGTATAAAAATATGTTAGATAATAAGCGACAAAATTTTCTTGTTGAAAATGAAAAATAACACAAGATTATTAATTGTAATAAAAATAAATAATATCAAGAACTTGTATTATATATTAAAAACATTCATTGTAAATAAGTAAATTATGTAAATAAACCATAAAACCATAAAAAATGTTTCTGCGATCTCTATTCAAAATCCCAATTTACCCATAGGAATTAAGGGGCAAAGATGCTTCACTGAATTTATTACCGATTTTTCAAGAAAAGTATGCGATAGCCTATAAGCGTCTAATGGATTAAAACAACAAATAATAATAACAATAATTTGTTTGTTTTATTTGTCCATTATAATATTCCCATTGAGATACTTCTAGAAACTTCAAAATCAAATATTACCAGGTTGACGAGAAATATCCGCAAATTTGTGTTAGGTTCATCTGGCAAAGTTTAAGGTAGGTGTGAATGGAATAATGCGATTAAGTATTCTGACCGTTTTAAGGAGTGCTCGTCCAATAGTGCGTAAACTAAGAGATTTGGTTAATTTTGATAAATACCTAATGTCTAACGAACTATTACGCATACGTTTGTATGTAGGTACTACCCCATTTACTATATTTCCAGTCTGTACATTTTGGTTTTTATTGTTGGAACATTTTTCGCTTCATTCTTAAGTACAAGCCAGGTAAGAACTGAAGTAGGTAAGAATTATCAATGAGACCGGCGGTCCTTCAGCAGCTCGTAAATGAAGAGATTTGTAATAAAGTTTCCTAGAACAGCCTGTCTCTTCAATGAAAATTTTAGTTTGTTAACGTAATTAAGTAGGTAGGTAAAATTTTAAACCGGATCCATATTTTTACTATGAAATGTGGGTACAATATGCTATATTCCTTTCTCGCTGCAAGACAGAACAAATAGATGAATAGTTTTTAAAACTGTTCCATTTTTCCACTGTTTATATTCTTGTGTCGAAGTGAAACACTAAAAAGCCGAAAGTCCGGAGATAAAAGAGTGAGTTTTAGAACACATAAAAACGACTTCTTTTTGGAGAAGCTTATTTACTTAAATATTGTTCTGTAACGTCCCGCGACGTGGAATGGAGTTTCTTAATGTACAAAAGTATGTTGGATAATAACCGAAAAATTTTCTTGGTTAAAATTAAAGGAAACACAATTATTATTTGAAATTAAAATAAATAATATCAAGAACTTGTGCTATGTATGAAAAATATTCATTTTAAATAAGTAAACTATGTCAATAAACCATAAAACCACAACAATCTTTTTTTTGCAGAAATTATATTTCAATAAATTTTCAGTAGCGAGTTATCGATATACTTAATTGCATTTACAATATAAAATGTGAAAGAAAATGTCTTATTTTTTAGTTTATGCGGCATATGTTACCCGTTTTTTAAGACATATATGAATGGATATGTTTTGTCTTTAGTATATATCTGTCCGTCTCTAGACTAATAAATTTTAGTTTAAACATTTGATGCTGATTAGCCAAACAGCGGTTGCTAACGATGTCAGAAAAAGTGACTTGATTTGAACTTTTTCCAAAATAGTAATTATTTTATCGAACAAAAAAAATATGTTGACAGTATGAAATAAAATCCATAATGACATACCTCCGATAACTCTTTTCGCAGAACTCGTTTCGAAATTAAAAACTCGGCTCCCTACGGTCGCCTCGTCCTGAAACATCTCACTCTTTCTATAAAATTTGAGTTACCGGACCGTATTTATAATAATGTTAGCACTAACAAGTATTTAAAATAACAAGTACTTAATAATTTGTTTGTTTTATTTATTTTTATTCATTATAATAATCCCATTTCTTTATCAGAAACTTTTAAACGAAATAAATCCTACTTGGCTAGAAATAACGGCAAATTTGTGTTAGGCTCATCTGGCAACGTTGCA